AAGAAAAAAATTAAAAAAAATTAGAATAAATAAAAAGAAGATTATGATGTTGTTATGATGAGTAGCTGACTGGAACTGGCCGGTTGATATTAAAGGTATTTATATACTACTACCTTCACTACTACTACTACTACTACTACTACTACTATTACTATTACTACATCACTTTACTTGATTATTATTTTCAAGATGAGAGTTATTATTATGGAACAAAAAAAAAAAAAAGAGACGGTTAATGATTGATGATGATATATTTTATATAAAAAAAATTAAATTAAATTAAATTAAATTAATAATAAAAACCATCAACAACAACTATCACCGGACTTTCGCTTTTTATCAAAATGCGGATTTCAGCACTTTAAAACAATAAAAAAAAAAGAGAGTTTTTATTTTTAAATAATTATTTAAAAGCTACCAAGCCTTTGCAGAAACGGACAAACAAGAAATTTCTTTCTTTTCTTTCTTTCTTTCTCTATTACAAAAACTCCATCTCTTGCTATCTTTGAAAAAAAAAAAAAAAATACAATAAAAAAAAAAAACTACTAAAAAATAAAATAAAATAAAATAAAATAAAAAATAAAAAATAAAAAAAGAGAGAAAAAGACAGCGTTACACCTTTTATTTTTTTCCCCCCCCCAGTAGCGGCGGTTATTATTATTATTAATTATAATGATAATAACCACCACCACCACCACCACCACCACCACCGACCTTTCTTAAGTTGCTGACAACCAAAGCTTTCTTGATTGGATGATACATGCCCCAAAAAAAAAAAAAGAAAAAGTGTATATATAATAAATAGATAGATGATGACTACCATAAATTTGTATTTTTGTATTTGTTGTCAACTACTTGAATTAAATCTGTGGCGTGCCATTTTTTATTTTTTTTTTATTTTTGATGGGGAAAATATTAACAGGGGTTGTTAGTAACTTTGTTCTTGGCAAAAAAATAAAATAGTTGGGACAAAATTTTTTTTTTATTAATTTTATATAATAATAATAATAAACTTTATATTAAATCATCATCATCATCAAGTTATTTTACAAGTTCAATTAACTAATTATATATTTAATTATAACTGAGTTATTATAATTATAATTATTTATAACAAAACAAAAATAAAAACTAGTTGATTATATTAAAATTGACAAGAAAAAAAAAAAAAGAAAGAAAGAAAAATACCAAATAAGGAAATTAAAATGATATTACCTAATATGATAAAAATAAAACTTAAATATTGCTTCGTGAACCATTATTATTATTATTATTATTATTATTATTATTATTATTATTATTATTATTATTATTATTATTATTATTATTATTATTATTATTATTATTATTATTATTATTATTATTATTATTATTATTATTTTAACACCAAAATAAAAAATAAAAAATAAAAATAAAAAAAAAAATACATTTCATAAAATAACTACCTTTTTCTTCTATTTACAACTCCAAATCTAATGTTGCTTCCGCTTCAATCATCCCCTTAGCATACCCAAACTCCATCCTACCACGCTCAATATCCTTCTCACTAAACCCTAAAGACTCTTTCGAATGACTCAAAAATTCCTCAGGAGGCAAGGTTTTACGACCCAACTTGAAAACATACTTTGATAATCCCACTGCTGCAAGTTTCCCCCTCTGCTCATTATTTTGTCCTTTATTATTATTATTATTATTCTTATTATTATTCGATGGTGCAAACTCAAACCGTGATACAACAAACATCCACTTCCGGTCCCACCCAAGTACCCGTGACCGAACAACATACTTTTGATATGGCTTAATCTCTCGCTTAAATATGCATGCCACAGATCCTAATGGAACATAAGGATACCGTCCATCCCGAGCACGGTAATATAAAAAGGAATCCCGGAAAATATCAAGCAATAAATCTGATCTTGCTAAATCCAAATCTGTAAAATATGTCGAATTACTCTTATGTCCATTTAAATCACATTCCATAGCAACTGCACGACTCCAATACTCATTAGCATAATAAAGCCCACGAATTGAATGATCTGAACTAAATAATGTATGTGCTTGTGCTGCTGGAATAAGTTGTGGAGCTGGAGTTAGCGAAACAGTAGATGATGCTGCACTAACATTGATACTTGACGATTGACCACTAATTGACTTATTCTCATCCTCCAAATTATTTTCTTCATTTTTTTTCTCCACAATATGCTTAATTTCTTTATTATTATTATTATTATTCTTGTTTTTCTTCTTTTCCAACCTTGGAATAATGATTAAATATTTGGCCACATAATAGTAAAAATGTAACGACCATTTAAGCGGCAACACCTTATAATTGCCAATAAGAAAAACAATTAAAAAATACTTTGCAATGGTTGAAATTAACGAATAACTTGGTGTAGTAACAGCTCCCATTGTTGATACGTATTCGATTGTGGTATTACTCATAGTCGAAATGGGTGATAGTGGTGGTGGTGATAAAAAAAAACTAAAAAGGGTAAAGAGGAGGGAAATTCCAAGATATTTATTATTGTTATTATTGTTATTATTATTATTATAAGATTTTCTGGTTTATTATTCTTTCTTTTTATTCTTTTTTTTTAAATCTCTAAATTTAAAAAAAAAAACAAAAAAGCCGAGATTTAATAGCACAATTGAATATCACACACTAAACAAAACAATAAAAAGAAAAAAAAAAGTTTGTTTTCAAATCTTTTTTTTTTTTATTTTTATTTTTATTTTTATTTTTTTTTTGAGTCAGAAATTAATACTGAGATTTTTTTTTTTTTTTGAAAGGATGTGAAAAAAGAAGAAGGGGGCAGAAAGAGTGAAAGGAAAGGGAAGAATTGTTTGACCGGACAAGAAATATGATTTTGAAATCTTTCAAATAAAGTCTAAGCTTAGAAAATAAGAAAAATATACCACGTCCTTTTTTTTTAAAAAAAAAAATGGCTCGGTAAGTGCGGTTTTTTTTTTTTTTTTTTTTTTGTATCAACTCATCCAAAAAAAAAATATACACACATATACCGAAAATACATACAAATTAAAAAACGAAAAAACCAAAAATACACTTAACATACAACACACCTCCCCCATATTTAAATCCAGATCATCAAAAAGGACTTTAAATCTTAATGAAAAAAAAATAAAAAAAAAATCAATTATACTTGAAATTTACAAAAAAAAAAAAATAAATAAACAATAATACCATAAATATTATCCTTAAAACAAATACCCCAGAGAATTATTATAAATCTTTTCCCAAACACTAGGCGGAAACTCTTCCAACCGACGCTTCTCAGCCTCCAAAAATAACTTCTCTTCTTCATCCACCTTGCGCTTCTCCATGCACTCATAATCAATCTCCAACGCACCTACCCGGTGTGTCTTCTTCACCAATTTATACACCCAAAATGTAATAATGAAAATTGGAATCCCCACATACCCCGTGACAAATGACACGCTGTCAAAATCAAAGATAAATGCAGTAAAGTTCTTAAGTAGTGCAATCATACAACAAAATACCAATGCTACCCAACTACCAATCTTACCCAGCGGTGCACGATAAACCATCTTGGAAGTATCAATCTTTTGAGCTTCCATTCCCTTGACAAAACAAATATGAGTCCATAAAATACAAATCCAAGTCAATAATCCCATCACTGAAACAATATTGACAAAAATAGTAAAAACCCGTTGCGCACTCGACGAAATACACAACAAACTTAGCAACCCAAAAGTAGCAGTAAACCCAAGCGAAACATATGGAATACCAAACCGATTCACACGCAAAAATACCTTGGGAGCAATTCCATTCGATGCTAGCCCATACAATGTTCGTGTCGCAATGTACATATCTGAATTGGATCCAGACAAGATAAAAAGTAATAACGCTGCATTAATCACCTGGTCCAACTTACCAATCCCAGCATTAGTAATGGCAACAACAAATGGAGAAGCTGCTGCCCCTGTTTTCCCAGATTTTGTAAATGCAAGCCCAGCATCATTGTAAGGTACACACATACCCAAAAACAAAACAGAAACAATGTAAAATAAACAAATCCGATAAAATGTCAACTTAATGGCTCTTGGAATATTGCGCCGAGGATTCTCAGCCTCTCCAACAGTTACACCAACCAACTCAGTCCCCATAAAGGCAAATACTGCAGTCACCATCACACTCAAACTTGACACAACCTTCCCAGCACTCCCATGCATCACTTGCCCATTTTTTTCAAACGGTCTAAATGCCCCTGGATCTTTCCAATACCTAAACCCTCGGCGGTCATGATCTGGCCCCCCTCCAAGTGCAATCACCATAGTCAAGAAAATTAAACCCAACATGGTAACAACCTTGATGCATGAAAGCCAAAACTCCATCTCACCAAAAATCTTTACTCCAAATAAATTCAAAGTCACAAGTGTTACCAAAAATATAGCCACCCAAATCCCTGGATTCACAACCTCTCTAGATACCCAATACTGAATTACCAACGCTGCTGCAGTCAGCTGGTTAGGTGCCACAATAATATACTTGATGTAGTAAATCCAACCAACTGCAAACCCTAATGCAGGATCTGCAAACCGCGATGCATACCCAGGGAATCCCTCAGAAAGAGGTAGCCATGTTGCCATTTCTCCCAACGCACACATAACTAGCCACACAATTACTCCCACAATCATAAACGACAATAGCAGTGCTCCAGGACCTGCAGCAGCTAACGAGGCTCCAGATCCAATTACAAGACCCGTGCCCAGTGCACCACCAATTGCAATCATGGTGATGTGTCTTGCTTGCAAGTCTCGATTAAGTCCACCATGACCTGCACTATCGTTACCACCATTGGCGTCAAAGTCGCCGGAATGAGTATCTGATGAAGGCCCATTCACAACAGCTTCTTGATAGTAACCACTGTCATTATCTTCAGGTCCCTTCTTTTCGACAAATGAAGAAGAGGGTCCCTTTTTATTAAAGAGAGAAAGCTCAACAGAAGAGCTAGGCGAAGTTCCAGTCATAATCTCGCCATTTTTCTTGATGGGAGTCATTAGATTTTTGAAAGTATTAAACATTACTAATTAGATTTTTTTTTTATTTAAAAAAAAATGAATGAATGAATGAATGAAAGAAAGAAAGAAATAAAAGAAATGATTTGAAATGATGTTTGTGATAATAAACTATTAATATTTTAATTGAGAATGATGATGAAAAGAAATAACAAAAAAAAAAAATTATTACTCAAAAATGAGGAGATCTTCTTGCTTTTATATTACTCCCAAGACTATTTTGTAAAACATGTTCTGATATTGACGTGAAAAACGAATTTCTTTACTCAACGGTATGAGCATTAAGCCAATTCCTAAGTACATTTTAATGATTTATGCTTTTGACAATACGAAAAGTAAACACTTATTGTTATATTTGAAAATAAAGATAACAAGATCTATTTTTTTTTTTTTTTTTTTTTTTTGAATTTTCGTGATAAGAATAAAAAAATAAATTCAACTAAAATTCAAAAAAAAAAACATAAATTTTTAATCTTAATTAAATGCAAAATGTTTTTGTTAAACTTATTCTCTTGAATGCTTTCCCAGCATTGTAAACAAAATTTCTGCATGATTCAAGACTCATTGAGCCGCAGCTAGTCACAAAATAATTTTTTTTTTTATTCTTATAAAAATTCCAAATTAAACAGTATGTCAACACCATACAAAAAGAAACATATTGATTAAATAAAACTACACTATATACACATCTCCCAAAAAAAACTACATTCATTACTCCTTTTCTTTTTTTTAAAACAAATAACCAAGCGTATTGTTGTAAATCTTCTTAGCCATTGACGGAGGATTATCAATCTCGTCTTGGATTTGCTGCTTCAAAAACTCCTCCTCCTCACGATCAATCTCGTGTCGAAGGGATGGGTAAAAGTCAATTTCCGTGGGCTTAATATACTTAGTCTTCATAATCACCTTGTAGCCCAAAATCAAAATCAAAAAGATAGGAATACCAATGTAACCTGTGATAAATGCAGTCTTGTCAAACTTAAAGACAAACGCAGTAAAGTTCTTAATCAGTGCAATAACAATACAAAAACCAAGAGCAATCCAACTGCCATATGGTCTAAAAGGTGCCTTGTAGACAATCTCACTATCAGGAATACCTTGTGCCTTCATGCCTTTAACAAAACAAATATGTGTAATCAAAATGCAAATCCAAGTCAACAGACCCATAATAGAAACAACATTGACAAAATATGTAAAAACCTTTGCAGAACTTTGAGACGTACTCAGATAAGCAAGTCCACAAAACATGGAAGAAAATAACAGCGATACATATGGAATGCCCCATCGATTTACCTTGAGGAAAATCTTGGGGGCCTTGCCATTGGCTGCCATTGCATAAAGCGTTCTTGTAGCAATGTACAGGTCTGAATTAGAACTTGAAAAGATAAAAATCAAAATGCATGCATTAATGATTTGATTCAATTTACCAATCCCAGCATTTGAAATAGCAACAACAAAGGGAGAAGCAGCTGCACTGGTTGTTGCCGTATTGGCAAATGCAAGCTTGGAATCATTGTAGGGAACACACATGCCCAAAAAGAGAGTCGAAACAACGTAAAAAAGCAAAATACGATAAAAAGTCAACTTAATGGCACGGGGGATGTTACGGCGAGGATTCTCAGCTTCACCAACTGTAACACCAACAAGTTCTGTACCCAAAAAGGCAAAAACTGCAGTGACAAGTACAGATGCCCATGCAACAAATCTACCCTCAGGACCCTCAATAGTGTGACCATTTTTTGAATACTCTTTAAACGCACCGGGGTTTTTCCAATATCTAAATCCTCTTCGGTCATGATCAGGGCCACCACCAAGTGCAATGATAAAAGTAGTAATGATAAGACCTAACATGGTAATAACCTTCAAACAAGAAAGCCAAAACTCAAGTTCACCAAAAATCTTAACACCAAACATATTCAACAAAATAATCACAACAAGGAAAACAGTAATCCACACACCAGGATTCACCTTTTCTCGTGGCAACCAATATTGAATAACTAGTGCACCAGCCACCAACTGATTCGGTGTCACAATAATGTATTTGAAGTAGTAAACCCAACCAACCGCAAAACCAAGGCATGGGTCACAGAAACGAGAGGCATAGCCAGGGAAACCTTCAGAAAGCGGGAGCCAGGTGGCCATTTCACCCAAAGCACACATAACCAAGTACACAATAAAACCAACAATAATAAAAGATAGAAACAGGGCTGCTGGGCCAGCCTGGGCCAGAGCAGAACCTGAACCAATCACTAATCCAGTCCCCAGAGCACCACCAATGGCAATCATGGTAATGTGTCGGGCCTTCAAGTCTCTGCGCAATTTGCCACCAGCTTCTTCAATAGCCTTGGATCCAACACCGTGTATTGCCTTATTTTCTTCCATCATGGCTTCTGGAATTGTGTCTGTGTATGTGAAGATGTCCTTGTCATTGCCAAATTCTGCCGTCTGGTTGCTCAAAATTTTTTCGTCATAACCAAGAGGCCGGCTGCCTTCCAGATCATTATTAAAATTTGACTTTTCCATTTTTTTTTTCTTTTTCTTTTTTTGTTATCTGGGAATATGCTAAATGAAGAAACCCAACTAATTACAGATGAAGAAAAAATATATATATATATGCAGAAATAAATAATATGGAGGAAACGTGGAGTTGAATGCAAAAATTGAAATATGGGGAAAAGGGAAGCAAAAGAATAAAATAGAAGAAAAATTGGGGAAGAAAGAAAGATGGAAAAGAATAAAAAAAAAGATTAGAATAAAAAATTTTTTTTTAACTAAAGACGTCTGTTTGCTATTTATATAAAAAAAGTAAATGCTATACAATAATTGTTTATGCTTCAATTTGAAATAGTCTTCCGACAAATTTTTTCATCCTACAAAGTATAAATAATCCAAATTGCATGAAATTTTGATTAGTTAAGCTTGTTTACCTCTAAAACCTTTACAATAAGAGAAAGTATATATATTATTTTAATAGAAAGAGGAAGAAAATAACCTTTCTCCTTCATATCCAATAGATCTAGGTAAAAAAAAAAAGACAGGCGGGACATGGCGTAAAAATCCAACAATGGAAAAAAAAAAGTATTCGTATGGATACCTTGAGCCTGGAAAAAGCAGGATAAAGCGGGGTTCCCATGAAAAAAGATGAAATAAATCGAAAGTTTAGTTTTCTTATCTTTTGCTTTCTTAAACTTGCTTCTATGACTACTTTTTCAAAAATATACTTTGCTTAAGGTTATTTAGACTTTTATATATATATATATAAATATATATAAATATATATATATATATATATATATATATATATATATATATATATTTATATATATTTTCAAATATTGCTTCACTTAAATATTTGGGTAAATGAAATCAAATAAAAATATTGAATTCGAGCAACTACCAATTTGTTTGAAATGTAAAAGTTATTTTTTTTTAAAAAAAATAACAAATTGTTACCTTATTTTTTTTTTTTTCCAGGGCCAACTCGCCGCCAAAAACCGTATTTTTAACAATAGGTGACCGTTATTTCTACAAAACAGGAAATAAATAGTAGTCATTAACTAGTTGTGAACTGGGAATCGTTGAAGGCTAAAAAACACGTTCTTCTTTTCTTTCATAGTGGAAATTGTTTTTTTTTTTTCATTTTCACTATCAAACAAAAAAAAAAGATTATCTATAACCTTGAAATTAATCAAAAAATTTAAGACTTTCATAAAAATAGCAAATAAAAATTAAACGTCATACCAAAAAAAAACAAAATAATTTTTTTTTTCTTGGAGATGGATAAACGGTAGAAAGCAATTCCATCTTAGTGCGCTGATGGATTGAAGCAATGCGAAATAAAGTTATTGCCGTCCATACCCTTCTTGGCGCACACTTTGGTGATGAAGTACCATTTTTTTTTACGTGTCATATAAACTTTAAGAAAAATTTTTTTTTTATATCTATATATTCATCTTTAAATTCTTTTGTTCTTTTCCTTGTTTGAAAGACCTATATAGAAAAAAAACATCAAATCAATTAAAAGTTATCGAATCATGTACTTTCTTTTTTTTGGGCTCAAATTTTTACTTAATCTAAAGCTTTTTTTTTTTTTTTTTTGATTTCTGTTAAACATAAACGTCTCCAAATTCCTTCAGAATTATGTTCGGTAAACTGCGGGATGTAAAGCCAACATAATGATTATGCTTAAGCCTATTTACTATGTTAACGTTATATATATACAGGTACTTGGTTAGTACACTATTGGTGACCAACCCAGACGCCATCATGAAATATTTAGAAAACTCCTTCATATTTATGTATATATACGAAATCCATGAACGAATAGTGGCCTACTGAAATATTCATAAACGATTTAGATTTTAAGTGTTAATATTTTTGTATCTTTAAAGGTTATTTTACGGCAAATATTTGCAAAAAAAATCATTATGGAAGAAAAAAAAACATCCGAGATTTTTTTTACTGGTAGCAGATCCAATTATGGAATCTCTTCCGCGATAATTCTATTTTGACAATATACTGAAATAGACCCACTTAAAACATAAATATACAAATTCAGGACTGGCCTAGCTTTTAAATTATATTTTAAATTTTTTTTTTTTTCATTTTTATCTGTATTGTTATATTTATAAAAATTTCAGTAAATGAGGGGACAGGCCTAAGTATGGTCATCTATTCACAACATTAAGCCCTTATTTCCTCGAGGCTACAAAAAGTTTTTCCGTGCCAACATACTAAATTGCTCGCTGTTGGATTCTAAAAAAAAAAAAAATTGTAGAATTGAGTATAGACTTTAGTAGAGTGTGAATATATTTTGGGAAATTAAATTTATCTAAATGAATGATGGAACTATCTACTTCAAACATGATAACTGATTATTTCTTATGAGAACTTCTGAGCTATTGATATTACTAAAAAAGCCGTTTTATGTTGAAAAAAAAAACTTTCACTTAACATGTGCCAACCTTACATGCCTAGAAAACGGTATTCAGTTTTGAAAAAATCATTACATGTGAGATCAAAAAAATATTCTTACAAAAAGATTTGCCTGTATTTGAGCTTTGAATCATAGAAGAATTACTTAAAAAAGATTTAAAAAATAGTCAATAGCTTTCTAAAAATAGTGGTTATTTTATTATTTTGAGAAATTTCCATGAAAAATGCCAAGAATTTCGATATTCTATGAAAAAAATCATGAAAACAAGTAGCACAACAATGAATTGAATCTTACTAATAAAGTAATTTAAATGAAAAAAAGGCAACCAATCTACCGACATTTAATAAAAACTTACATTTCCATGATTTTTTTTTTCAAATAAATAGCGAACGATGTACAATAATACTTGATCAATAATTGGTTAGGTTTCCCTTGAAAAGAATCAAAGACACACTTTTTCTAGAATAACTTTAAAAACTTGCCAAGAGCACCTTAAAAAAAATCCAGTTAAAATAATTTTACCGACGGAGTTAAAGCATCATATTGTTCAAGGATTCAATGAAAAAAAAATGAGCAGAGAACTAATAAGATTTGAGCACAATCTTATCATTTATAAATACTGAATGTTCTTAAACTATTTATGTAAACAATACAATCAAAAATAAGAATAACCAAAAAATCTTTACTATGATTTTTATTAACAGCCAACATTAAATTTGAAACATTTTTAAAAAAAAAATTATGTCTTGGGAAATATTCAAGAAAAAAAAAACTTTTTGGGTTTACCCCACGACTACCAAAATCGTTGCGGGGTATTTACTGTTAGGTCACGTGAAACATTAAGTAGCATTTTATGGTTAGGGCTTAATTTAACATTTTAAAACTTTTTAACTTCGTTGCAATGCCCTACCGTACAAAAATATACCAAATATCGGGAACTTTTAGAATAACGACATGAAAGACTTGAAAAGTTTTTGAATCTCAGCAGTATATATTCTTCAAATACAAAATAAATAAAATTTTTTAATAAAAATACCTGGCTAAATACTTTTTATTCACGAGTTATCAGTTTTTTTTTTTAAGCTGAACTCTAGTAAATCTATACACCAAAGAACAAAAAATTAAGAAATTTCTTTCAACAATGCTTAATAAATGATTCAACCATATCATAATGATGTATAATTTTTTAGTTTCATTTTAGCAATGAATATTTTCATTGTTATTAGGTTTACAAACTATAGTTGACGTATCTTTTATAAAGACCGTCCAGGTTTATTTGTTTTTTTGCAACTATGACATGGCTTCATTTTTTAAAAAAAATTCAAACTTTGAAACCCCCACCTTTAACTCAATCAAAATTAAAAAGCAAACAAATTTTATCAATTACTTTAAATTGTTTTTATATAAAAATATTTAGTTTTTCGAGATACTTTTTCATTTTTAACATTTTTCAAAAAAACTTACTACCCCGCTCAATAAATGTATTATTAATACCATTTATACAAATAATATATATATATATACATATTTTTTTTTTTTACATTTCAAGTTATTTATTTGATATTTTCTTGTTAATATTATCTTATCGTTAGTTTCATTGTTTCTTAATGAATAATCCTGTTCTCATTTATCTATGTCAAAGGGTTAGGGTTGTTACCCTAACCTTAGCAATTTACCTTTTGTGAAAAATTTCCTGAAAAAAAAAAAAAACGGGATTTATTTGCTTCTCACCAAACTTTTAAAAAGTATGATACTTAGGCCGTCTTATACAAGTTTATTACGCCAAAGTATCCGTCTAAGAAATAGGAGCATTTCCCCGATAATACAAAATTATCGAAAAGTTGAAACTTATACGCCAAGTTCTAACTTGTATGTACAATAGGGTCACTTTGGGAAGATAACACACATTCTTCTAACACTATATTTCTAGATACGAAAACATAATAATGCCACCAACTCGTTCCGCTGAATCCGCTTTTGAATCCGAAGATTCCTCTGCCAAGAGAGTGAAAGTTGATGATGAAAAATCTACAGAACAAACTTCTGCTGAACAAACTAGTACTTCGACAGAAAAACCGGCTGTAAAGTCATACTCTGCGCCCAATGCTGGAATTTCGGAAATTGATGTTGGAATTACCCAGTTTCTGAGTCCTGATTTGAAAGGATTTAAAGGTATTTTGAAACAAAGATACTCTGACTTTTTGGTCAATGAAATTGATAAGGACGGTAATGTTGTTCATCTTACTGATACCGGATTTTCTGACAAACGTGACAGAAGAAAAGAAAGAAGAGAAGAACAGAGATCCACTGATGATCAAGACACCAAACCAACAAAAACTCCTTTTGAACTTAAACCAGAAAACCGTGAGAAATTGGTAAGCCTTCTTGGTGAAAAGACTGTTAATGATATGGTCGATCTTTTGACCAATGGATCTAAAGTTGTTACCGAAACTCCAATTGAAGATAAAGATGATCGTACTGTTATCCACAGAACTGTGCGCGAAGCATTTGAATCTCGCTTAGAAACCCGAACTACCCCTGAGAATACATTCATTATTACTCTTTCATCCGGAAACAATAAGTTCAGATCTAAAGCAGATCGTCTTGGAAAGAGCAGTGTGGGAGCTGCAAATGCCAATATTGGTCTCCAAAAAAACTTTCTTCATTTTACTCTTTACAAAGAAAACAAAGAAACCATGCAAGTTGCCAATTTACTTTCGAAGTTTCTTCGCGTTCCTCCTAAAACCGTTACTTATGCCGGTACAAAGGATCGTCGCGGTGTCACTGTTCAACGTGCCTGTATTTCAAAGACTCAAGCCGAGCGTCTTAATGGCTTAAACCGAACTTTGAGAGGTATCAAGCTTGGCGGGTTCAAGTATGAAGATTACCAACTTAAACTTGGAGATCTCAAAGGCAATGAATTTTACATTACTATTAGAAATGTTGATGAGAAAGACAATGATGTTATCAATGCTGCGCTCTCGTCTCTTCGTGATAATGGCTTTATCAACTATTACGGTATGCAAAGATTTGGTACCTTCTCAATCTCTACCCACACTATTGGTGTTCACATCCTGAAATCTGATTGGGAGACTGCTACTAGCCTCATTTTGTCACCCCAAGAACTTGTTATTCCAGAAAGTGTTGAAGCTCGGAAAGTTTGGAGTGAGACTGGTGACGCAAAGAAAGCGTTACCATTAATGCCCAGAAAGTGTGTTGCGGAGCACTCTATTTTGGAAGTTCTGAGTGAAACCCCTAACAGCCATTTTAATGCTGTTATGAGAATACCCCGGAATCTGCGCATTATGTATGGACATGCTTACCAGAGTTACATTTGGAACACTGTCGCCAGTGAACGCATTAAGAGATTTGGTGCTAAAATCATTGAGGGTGACCTGGTTCTTGTGGATGAAGCTGAAAAGGCTGCTGCCAAGGCTGAACAAGCTGAAGAGGACGACGAAGACTTTGGCGAAGAAGATGTTAAACCCGATGTTTTTGTACGTGCTCGACCCGTCACTAAAGAGGAAATTGAATCTGGTAAAAAGACAATTTTTGATGTTGTTCTTCCCACACCAGGATTTGATATTAAATACCCTGAAAACGAACTTAAGCAGGTCTACATTGATGAAATGAAGAAGGATGGTTTGGACCCTGATAACATGAGACGTAACATCCGTGAATTTTCTTTGGCCGGTAGTTACAGATACCTTCTTTCTCGCCCTGATGTTGTTGAATGGTGGATTAGAAAGTATGATAGCGACACAGAACAAATGGTTAAGACCGATTTGGATTTGTTGCAGGAGGAACTTCCGGAGGACAAGCGTATCATTGAAAACTTGGATGAAGGTTCTAAGGTTGCAGTGCTGTTGAAGATCCAGCTGGGAACCGCCCAATATGCTACCATGGCTCTTAGAGAAGTAATGAAATTAGACACTAAGCGACGTGGTGATGGTCTTGATGTAAGAAATACAAAGAATTAAACAAGTAATGTTTATGTTTTTTTGAGGTATATAATGACCCTAATATTTATGAAAAGCATTTAATAGAGTTATTTTTTTTAGTTTATCATTTTTGTATATTTGTTCTTGGCTTTAAAAATCGATGGGACTGTTTCACTGAGTTAACAATTGATTCTTTGACAAATATATTTTAGTCGAATTAAGCTTTTAATGAAATATTTTAAAATCAGACTTTCATAAAATTGAAAAACCCCTTTTCAATCTTTTTTCTTTACGTTTTAAGTTAGTCTGTGTGCTTATGATTAACCTACTAGTAAATACAATGTTACTTAAAATAACTCATGATTGCACGTGTGGCTTACCAAATTAGGTAAGCCGCACAAGGTTCTAACCTTTCAAGTTACCACATATTGGATTTTAATTGACTGGTTTCACCGGAACCCACCTTAGTTGTTACATTCATATCCGGTCAACATCTGTTAAATCGATTTCCCCTTTCCCTTCTTTATCAAAGTAAAAATGACTATAAAAGAACGCCATTTATTTGTTTTGGTTCATGGGTATGATATATCATTATAGAATTTTTTTTCATTTTAATTTTATCGAACTATATGTGTTTACTAATCAAACTATAACTAGGCTCTTTGGGAGACCTACGAACCTGGAATGCGTCAAAGAGTCGCTTGAATCTGAATTTCCTCCTTCAAAAATTGATGAACATGGCGTCGACATTTTTCTTATTCAAGGAAATGCTGCATTTTATTCTTATGATGGGATTCGGGTCGGTGGACTTAGAATTGTGAATGAAGTAAGTTGTACATGTGCTTAGTAGGAAATGATGTCTAACGTAAGGCAACATAGGTCTCGGATTACTTGAAAAAAATGAACGGCAAACCGGGAGACAAAACACAAAAAGATATTGTCTACACAAAAATTTCTTTTGTAGGATATTCCCTAGGTGGACTATGGTGTCGGTTTGCAATTGGCGAGTTTTATCGACGTGATATTTTTCTCTGTCCTAATAAAAAAGATAACGGCGCAAACAAGCCTGAATGGTTACGTCAACAACTTTCACCAGAAATCTATACCACTTTTGCCACTCCTCATCTTGGCAATGTTTTTCAAGGAAGTAAGCCTAGAGCTCGTTTTTTTAACGTTCTTGGTTCAAGTTTATTAGGATACTCTGGTCAGGATCTCTTTTTAGTGCCTGCTGAAAACACAGTTCCCAATGGGGACTGGATACTTGAAAATGATGCTTGGAAAGGAAAATCTTTATTGTCGATAATGAGTGATCCAGAAAGTGTTTTTTTTAAAGGTCTCAAACAATTTCGAGAAAGAATCATCTATGCTAATGCAGTTAACGATCTAACGGTCCCCTTTCATACAGGGTATATGAGCCTTCAAAACCCGTTTCGAAAAAGTGGTCATGTTCTTCTCAAAATGGTGACGTTATCGTCTGATTCTAAAGATTTAAGTAATGCGAACCAAGGCGATAGTGTTATAGACGAGAACACTCCCTTGGCCAAGGATCTGAAAACAGAAGGAAACATACGCCAAGTAGTAGTTGATGTCAGTAGATCTAGATATATTGCACATCCTTTTACAATAGATAAAGATGACAAGCAAAAGGGTAAATCATCATCGAACTCTACTCCTTCATACTGGGGTGTTTTGACCACTCTCGTTGTTCTGGGACCAATTGTTTTTCCTATTGTGATTCTTGTTTCAGGTATTGCGACATTATTTAGCTCTTGGAGAGTAAGAAATCTAAAAGGCGATACAGCTGGTGGCATCAAGGAGCCTGCTGTTGTACCAAGAAAACGAAGAAACTCGCTTAAAGAAGAAATTGCTGAAGCGACTGGCCGTGCGATAGACGATTACGTTGTTGAGACAGACTCCACTGAAGTCGAGGGAAACAGTGCTGTAGAAAGGGATGAGGAAGAAATAGATGAAACAGACGATAATTATAATTTGGAAAGTGGAGTTCCTCTTTTTGATAAATCTGTTCCTTACCTGAATCTTTCGGAGGATGTCAAGCAGATGTATTTTAATTTGAATGGTAACGGCTCAGGTACAAGCGAAGCCAACTCCAACAAAGGCTTGATTTGGGACAAGAGAATGGTTTATCTTTATCGGTTTAATACACACAGCGAAATCATCAATCGAATGAATTTTAAAAACAATAGAGGACGTTATGTCGTTCAAGATTGGGTTAAAAGTATTTCAAGTAAATTGTAATTATCATTCAAGGTCTTTAGTTTTTTTTTTTTGAACAAATAAGTGATATATTTGTAAATGAATTTATTATTATTATTACTATTTTTGTTGTTTATTGTCGACAGGATTCAGGTCCTTGAATCTACATTGGCGTATTTCAAACTTTTAAGAAACTAAGCTCATTATAATTATTACTCTAAATCTTGAATATGATAATAAAATGTACACTTATAAGTGTATATCATAATCGATTATGATTATCACCGTTATATATATCTGAAAAGTTGATAATCTAAAGTTTAAATAGTTAACCATTAATCATTGTACAACTGAAGGGAAAAAAAAATTTTTTTCTGTTCGATGAATATGTCATTTTAAAAAGACTTCAATTTGTTTGGCATGAATGTTATGTTTTTGTAAACTTATTTAGTGTGTTAACAATTTTTTGAGAAATTAAAAACAGAACTTTCTTATCTTGCTAGTGAAAACTATACCCTATTAAAAACAAAAAAGGTCTTTTTAAATAAATTTATTTTTTCTAAGTAAAAATTAAAATAAAATGCATCTCAACCTCCCATAAAGGCTCTTAACAATAGGTGTTAGTTGTTATTTGTTCAAAATCTGTTTAAAAACTGCACTTTTTTTTTAGACGACTGTTAAAACTTTAATCATAAAACTGATTTCAAATTAATTTCCATTGACTTTATAAATTAATCAAAAAAAAAAAAAGATATTTAAATTTTTTTTTTCAACCTCTTAATAATATTTAGACAATTCTATTGGTTGATATCATACTATCTTTTCTATGTATTAAAATGGTTGAATGTTTTTCAGAAAACGCCTCTTTTTAACGATGAATTACGTAATAAATATATGTAATTTTTTTGGTTATTTTTATTGGTTGGGAACTTTTGCAACACGCTTTCTTCGCGTGTTTTTGTCACATGACTAGTTTTTATTTATTTTTACCGAATAAAGAAATAAAGTAAACAATACAATTTTTAGCGGGAACGCGGGATCTTTTTATTTATTTATTTATTTTTTTTTTTTACTCTTCTTTTTATTGTTTTTAACAAGATATCTCTAAATTTTAGATATCTCTAGTATAAATACTTAACGACTTGTTGAAATTTTCGGGCAAAGCTTATTACTCATGACTATAAAACTTGATCCATCGAATTTGAAAAGCTGGGATCATCTTTCTCGCGAAGAAAGACTGCATTTAGATATGATTGCGCGCAGGATATCTCAATCTAAAAAAGTTATTGCAGTAACAGGAGCCGGAATCTCTTGTAATGCAGGAATACCTGATTTTAGATCAAAGGATGGTCTTTATAACATGGTGAAACAACAGCATCCAAACACTGTTGTTAAAGGGAAGGATCTTTTTGATGTTGTTTTGTTTGGTGATCAAGCAACAACTTCGGTTTTTTTTACATTTATGGCCCAACTACGGAAATGTACAATGGCTGCCACCCCTACAATGACACATAAATTTCTTAGACTGCTCAAAGAAAAGAAAAAGCTACTTCGATGTTATACTCAAAATATTGATGGTCTTGAGAGTAAGGTCGGATTAACTATGGGTGGTTCCAAGCCACTGGTGCAACCTACTACTACTACTACTACTACAACATCGGAAACCCCAAAGAAATTAACAAAAGCTGCAATGCTTAAACAGATTGATGTTGTTCAGCTTCATGGTGACATTCATTCTTTAAAATGTGGTATATGCTCTTCTGTTTTTGGCTGGACCGAAAGTTATGAGCAGTTGTGTTATCTAGGAGAGTCTCCGTCCTGTCCATCTTGCGAAGAGAAAAACAGTCTTAGACAAGCTCGTGGAATGAGACACAGTAATGTTGGAGATCTCAGACCGAACATTGTTCTGTATGGTGAAGAACATCCTTATGGAGATCTAATTGGTACTTGTGTGTCGAAAGATGCTAACTCTAAGCCAGATGTTATGCTAATTATTGGAACATCGATGAAAGTTGTTGGGCTCAAGAAATTAATTAAAGATGTGGCCAAGGCGGTTAAGAGTCCAGCGACGCCAAGGAAAAAGGAAGGGATAGTTGTGTTAATTAACAAAACTGATATTGGTCTTAGCGGTTTTGAAGATGTTATTGATTACCATATTAAAAGCGACTGTGATGATTGGGTAATGGACTTGAAAACTAGAATACCCAATTTGTTTTCCATACAAACAACTTTGGAAAAGTATGCTGTTTCATCAGCAATTTCTGAGACAGAGATAAAGGAAGAAGCTAATGTTGTTTCCAAGAGTTATGTTGAAAATAATGACGTTATATTGGTTTCTCCTAGTACACCAAGCAAACAGACCGCTAAAGTGGGGAAAATACCACTTCCCACGCCGCCTTCTTCAGTTGATAATAATTTGGCGAGACCAATGACCCATTCAGTAATGCAACAAGAAAACACAAGTGCATTTAGCTCCATTACTAACCACACATCAATATTGTTATCTCCACCAGCTACTCCTATCGTTCAAAGTGATGAAACATTTGGTATTAACAGGGAGTATGACGTTGAAATTGGTTTGTTTATTAATGAAAAGGCTGCATCCCGAAACACACAGCTGCTAAATGAGTGGTCCAAACGCCCGTGTTCCAAGGAGAGGGTAGATTGTACCAGCTGTGACGAAGGGACAAGAAAAAGAAAGAGTAGATTGGAGGATATTTGTGTTCCTGTTAATAGAAATAAACGAAGACGATAATTTAAAAACTTTAGCATAAAAATATAATAATTTTTGTTAGACAAGAACTTTTGATGGAGATTTATAAAAAAAGGAGGTGTTATTCAAATCTGGCTGTTTTTTTTTTTTTTTTTTTTTTGTTATTAGTTAAATCTTTATCCGAATAGTTTTAAATGTTTTTTTTATTAATTTAAAATTTTTTTTAAAAGAGTCAAGGAGGTAGTAAATACATATATATACATACAAACATATATCAAACTCCTCTTTTCATAAAATCATATAAATTTGTGCATCACACAAAAAAAAAATGGGTTTATAATAAAACTCACATTTTCTTTAAATCTAAACTTTGTGTTTTCAAATTAAAAATAGATTTTGTCTAATATATATATATATTTGAATATTTGAATATTTCTGTTGATCCATTCTATGACTCGTTGTATCAAAGAATGAATCTTCAGTTTAACCTTGAAGCCAAGTGGTATAATCCTAAGGACGATTTAAGGTTGTTCAACATATATATTTATCAAGGAAATATACTCACCGGCTCATCACCCTTATTAACATTTGGTTAAAGTTTTAAGTTATTTCAAAAAAAAAAATAAAAAAAAAATTTCTTTTGATAGTATATTTCATTTGATTAGGTGAAGATAGTTTTATGTAAGAAGTATGAAACAGTTTTGCAAGTTGTTTTTAATGACCAGGCCTATGAAATTTTTAGATAGGAAAGTTACACTTTCTGGTCTGAGGAAACTCTTGGAGCCTGTAAGAATTGAGTTTAAGGCCAATTTTGTTGCAAAGAAAAAAATAAATAAATAAAAATAAAAATAAAAATAAATTTAAATTTAAATTTAAATTTAAATAAATAAATAAGTTTAAAAGTACAAAAAGTTCGGTATTCACACCACTAGCACCGGCAATTTCGTTAAACCTAATTTGCATGATACCATGTTTGACGTATCAGAAGTAAGAAATAAAAGATAGTTCTCATCAAAATGGCTTAATATTTCTTTTGTTAAACCTGTAATTGTTTAGGTAATTTGTAGAGGAAAAACTGACCCGGTGCGTTTATTCCTGGTACCAGTAGGCCTATTGACATACATGAAGGCCCTGAGAGTCATTTAAATAAAGCAGAACATTTGCTTTATATAAAGTAATATAATATTACCTGATACTTTTTATGGGTAAAAATCAAAAGAAAAAATAAATAAATAAAACTACTAAATGATATAATTTAGGACCACGTTTATGAATTTAATGAATTTTAAAAAAAAAAAAAAAAAAAAAAAAAAATAGATATTACAGGCACAATCGTTTCTTAAACCCTTGCACCAGCTAAAGAATTGCTATCTGATCTTGGAATTTACAGGCGAAATGGGATAGCTTGTACTAACAAATCTCAACAATACTAAAATTAAGCGAACCCAATTTTATATATATTGATTTGACTGCCCACGCATTATAATATTAATATGAAAGACAAGGGAAGAATATACTAGCCATATTAGGATATATATATATATATATATATATATATTAGTTGAATAAATTTCTCTTATTTTTTTTATTTTTCAATGTCTAAAAGTGGGCTTTTTACTGGTTTAGTATGGCACGAAATAAGTTTAAGATGTTGGAAATTTGTTAAGAAGAGTGTTCAAAAATTTGTATATCAAGCTAAAAAAAAAAAAAAAAAAAAACCAAGTTTAGGAAGATGTTCAAGTTTTTCCAGTTGTAACTCATCACATTTTTAATTTTTTTTTTATTTATTTTTTTATTTTTTTTTTTTAATGACATGTTAGTAAAAGCAGTTGGGTCGGTGCTGGTATGACATTTACATAGAGGAGTACTCCATCAACTACACTTTTTGCAGTTAATTGTATGTTAAGACTGTTAGTATTACTAGAATGGCAACCTGCGTAATTCGTATTCATAAATAAATTAATCCTTATGCATAAAATCACAAAAACTCAAAATATTAAATTTCTGGCCACAATTTGTTAATTAACAAGTTATTTTGTTAAAACATTAAATTGTTTGGCAAATATTAAATATTTAATATTTCAGATTTTTTTTTTTTTTGAAAATTTTTATAAAAATTTATAAAAAAAAAAAAAAGAATTAAAAAAATTTCTTTTATTCTTAAAGAAATCACTAGAAACTGATGGAAAAAAAAAAAAATAAAAATAAAAAGAATCCATGGAACTTTTCCCATATAAACCATTTAGTTACAGTAACTAAATTATTATTTTTTTTATTAATCAAATTTTAGTAATCCTGGCTGTGTTTAGTATGTAAAGTGAATTGCCGAGAAAACGAATGAAGAGTTTGAAATAAGAAAGCCTCTTTTTTTTTTTATTTTAATTTTTAATAATATTGTGCGGCCAAAGTCAGCCGACAGAGTTGACATATGCAGGTTACATGGCACACAATGTAAACACATCCATCACATTTGATATTTACAACTTTTGTTTTAAATCTAGTTGGTACAATATAATACAACATTTAAAAAAAAAATTTTAAAATTAAAAATAAAAATCAAAATCAAAATCAAAATAAAAATCAAACATTAATCTTATTAAAGTGAAATCAAAAATATAAATTTAATAAAAATAAATATTATCCTTATTTTTTTTTAACGATAAATCAAGTTTAGTTTTATATATTATTATCTTTTATGTTTATAATAACTTTGGTGAATTTAAATCAAAAATCAATATGAGACTCATTATTAACAACAATAACCGATTGTTAAAAAAAAAAAAAAAAAACAGAAAAAAAATTTCTGTGGCTTCTAAATTTTCATTTTTTTCACAGTTATCGTTAAGTTTATTTTCTTTTTTCTTTTCAATTTAGAATTCAGTTATATTAATGAAATTAATGAAAAAAAAAGTTTTAAATGACTATTTGTCCGTAATGTATTTCAATAACATTAAAATTAACAATTAATGAAGCAGCTTAATTTAAATTTGGAAAAATAAATGTTTTCAATACTTTATTCTTTTTTTTTTAATCAATTCTCACCTTCTTTTAATTTTTTTTTTTTTCATTCTATTTTATTTAATAAGAATATCTTTAAAAAATCTTTTTTTTTTCAAAAATTTCTCCTTTAAATTCTTTATATATTGACAAAATATGATCAACATGAAGAATCTTTGATAATAAATAAGTTGTTTAAAAGAAAACTCCTAGAAACATTTAATTTCAAGAATATCTAGATCTAAAAGAATCAGACCATTATTACCTTATAGAATATTATAAATTTAAAACCAAAATTATGGCATAAGATATATATGTTGAAATCTCTTAATTTAGAATCATTAAATTGTTTTTTGGTTTAAATTATCAAATTCCAATATTGAGGTTTTCTTTCTCCCTTCTTTAGTAACTTATTTTTTTCTTTTTTTCTTCCCTAGTTTATTAATGAGAAACAACTAAAATTGATATCTTTAGATACTTTATAAAAGTGAAGTTTTTTTTTTGTCTAATTATTAGTGACTGAGAAATATTTTCTTTCATTTTTTTTTTTAAGTATTGTATAATGATGGTGGTTTAGTTTTTTTTTTTTCTTTTTAAAAAAAAAAATTTGAGTTACAAATGAAACGATAAAAGAAATGGTAAAAAAAGAAAAAAGAAAAAAGATTATCTTTTCTTTTAAATTTATATATTTTTATTAGGAGATATATATATTTCAAGTTTTTTTTTTTTTTTTAATTTTCTTTTTATATATACTTGGTAAAAAAAATTGTTTTTGGTAATGAAAAAAAAAAAAAAAAAAAAAGAGAAGAGTCTGGAAAATCAGTTAAGTTAAAATTTTTTCAAGTAAACAATTTTACTCGGCTTTTATTCGGCATTTTTTTTCTCTATTAAATTTGAAAAGTTATTTTTGATACTAATTGAATATATATAGTTGTCTCATTTTTTTTTTTTTTTTTGATTTTGCACATGTTAGCTTGTTTTTTCTTTTTTTGTATATATATATATATATCTTTTCTTTTTTTTTTGTTTACTTCAACTAAATATTTTAATTGGTCTTTGATGGATGAAGGTATTTGAACTACAGTTAAACCTTTGAAAGGCCCAGGTTTTGAAGCGGTTTTTGTTTTTAACCATGCACAGGCCTTATTCCGGTTTCCGTAAAGAACTATGGGCCGGTTCCCCGAGAGTAACAATTTTTTAACGATGTAATTTTTTATATATAATAATTTTATTTTTTTTTTTTTCAATTTGATTAAGATTATGATGGTATTAATTTTCAATATTGGTGTATATATATATATTTTTTTTTGTTAATTTTGAAGTTATCTGGTGCATTTAAAGAATGAAGTTTTAGTTTTGTCCAATATTATTATTATATTTATATATATAAAGATAAGTTCATTATTACTACCTCCATAAGTACAACATTTAACGGAGCAAAGGGATAACCTTAATTTTTTGCTATAAAGATTCTTAAAATATAATAATAATGATAATAATAATAATAATAATAATAATTGTTATCTTTTTTAAAAAAAAATTTAAATCTATTTAACAATTTTTTTTTTTTTTTTTTGATTTCTTAATTTTTTGCTACATTCTAACTTTTTGTTTTTATTAATTGATTATTTTTTTGCTATTTTAAATGATGTGTGCGCCTTAAATGGTGCAACTTTTGAGACACCAAAACATTGATACACTATTAAAATAATTTTTCGTTTTTTCATTTTTTTTTTCAAAATCTTTTCTAAATGAAATAAATAAATATATATATATATATATATATATATATATATATATATATATATAAAGTCATTATCTCATTGATTTTAAAGATAATCTGATATTCTTTGTTAAACTTTTCAAATACATATATATATTTTTTTTATATGTCGCTGAAAAAAAAAAAAAAATACTAACAACAACAACTAACAATGACTTTTGACCGGGATATGTCAAACATTTTGGTTACCGAAATAGTTTGCTTCTATGGAAAGAAGGAAAACGCACCAAAGTGTAGTATACAGTTGCCATACATCCATGCACACATGAGAGGTGTTGTTAATGATGATGATAATCAATAAATAATAATAATAATAAATAGCCACTATTTTTTCTTTTGTACGCCTATTTATGTGACAAATCATCCGCACTTTTTTTTTTTATTTTTATTTTTATTTTTATTTTAAATTTTTTTTAAAAATTCCTCCCGCATATTCCATAAGAACACCAGTATATATATATATATATATACCTTTTTTTTTTCCCTTTTCTTTTTCTTTTTTTTTTCTTTTTTTTTTTTTTTTTTTTTTTTCCCTCTTCCCATATTCCTATTTCTATTATCACTATTCTATTATATCTCTCTTAATTTTTTTTCTCCATTCTTTAATTATATATATATATAAATTTGCATCTCCTGCTTGCCAGATCCTTCACATTGAGTTTCTCTAGCGCATTTCTGTAACAAGCGCTGCCCCGCTCTGAAATGGGCCAAACCCTTAAGAGCAAAGTCCCCAACCCCGACTCGGCACAGCAAGATAACAACAACAATAACAATAACAACAACAATAATAATAATATCAATAACATCAATAACATCAATAGCATCGATAACATTAATAACATTAATAATATCAATAATATCAATAATAAAAATAAAAATAAAAAAAACATCAGCAGCACCAGCAATACCAGTAACAGCACCAGTGCCCAATGTTTACCCGCATCTTCCTCATCTGTTACTTCGGACCAACGGCCAGCAGAACTTCGCAATACCTTCCCTCCTAGTAAAGTCACTAAAAGCTTGGCTGACTTACCCCCAGAAATCATATGGAATATTTCTCAGTTCATTGTTGAAAGCGAATGTGGAGTTTACCACTCAGGAATTAGACGGTTTGATATGATCAATCTTTCGTCCACATGCCGGAAATTTCGCTCCTTTTTAAGCCCAATCATTTGGAATACTATTAAAATTGTCGAAGAACATAACGTTGTTAAAATCATGGTTAGGTCAAAACCTTCAACTCCTAAATGGTGGCTTGTATCTGCTGAAACTAATCATACAATTGATGGAACTCCAACATGCAAAAAATTCCCCCTGTCTCTACTTCAATACGCATCAAAAGTCCTTTACTATTCAGCAAAACGAATCTCTCCAGAAAAATATGTTGAAATGTCCTCTGAAAAAGCTGCTCTATTAGACTCAGACCCTGAAATTTCGGCTGTTTCTCTCATACACCCAAATGTCTTACCATATCTCAAATGCATTTATTTTTCCGGTTCTTTCTGGACCCCTGAACGGTGCAATCAGGCAGCCCGGTGCATTGCCAATTACAATACCCGGAAACTAAAGGTTATTTTTTTTCACATTGGTGGTATCTCACTTGCTCTTGATCTTTACCCACCTCTCAATCTACTCCACTACATTTATTCCGCAAACTTTCGCATTCAATCTCACGAAATTGAACTCATCAATAAAATCCTCCCACATCTCTCACAAACTCACATTCTTGAAATTGAAACTGCCCCACATTTCGATCAACTTCAGCTTGTAAACTCTAGTGTCGTTGGAAATCGCTCTCTTGTTCAGCCTAGCTCAAGGTTCTTGACCGCTGTCAGTAAAATGCCCCAACTCACTGAACTTATTCTTCATGAGTCTTCTCTAAACGCAATTGCACTCTCTGCTATCGATGGCTCTTGGCTCCCACCGAGTTTGAAAAAACTACAATGTGTGACGGGACATTTTGTTAATACAGACCCAGCAATGGCCCGCAATTACTATAATCAAATCAAAGATCTTGTTTTTGCGTTTGGTCCTCAGTCATTAGGATTCGTGGCATTTCCATTTTCCAGTTTGGTCTATTTGGAGTTAACTGATGATTGGAGCCGTCTTACCTATCAGGCTGATATGATTCGACAAGCAATTTATAATAATAGGCGGTCTCTTAAAACTGTGGTTTGCTTTTCTTTAGATATGCCTGAGATTTTATTTATTGCACGAAATCTTTTCAATCTCGAAGTATTAAAGGTTTTCCGGTTTAAGGAAAGTTGGAATGCGCCTAAGGAAACTATTGCGACATTATTTGAAGAGTTTATCAAGTACAATGGCCGACCAGAGGAAAAGAGCCCAATTCTCAAACCTGAAACATATGAGTCTAAACCCCCCATTAAACCTTCAAATTTTTATCACATCTCACCATCATATGTTTCTTCTTCTTCTTCTTCATCCTCTTCATCCTCTTCATCCCCTTATTCTTCTACTACCTCTTCTTCTACTTCTTCTTCGGCTAATACTATCAATACTGCTGCTACAGTTCATGGCACCCGATTGCTTTACCCAATAAAAAATATTCCTTCCACTACCTCCTCTTTTTACAAGGATCCAAAATGGGAAGAGCCAGAAGAGTACAATGGCCCGCCTCCTAAGGGTTTGTTGAAAAGTTTGACGCTCCCGGTTCAGCTAAAGTCAATATCATATTCAGCATTAGAAAGATTTGTTCTTCACTTTACCAATCTTAAATCTCTTGTTTTCTATTATTACTACCCCATTCTGTATACTTCGACATCGTCCAATATGAGGTTTAATAACATATGGGCTAGAATCCAAGACCTCTTGTCAGACCCCCCAAAGGTTGAACCTGAAGGCTTTCAAGGGTCTAGTTATGGAACAGGTCATGGATTAAATATGGGCTCAGACAATAATTATGGTCGGGAAAATAACCCCCCACCTAGAAATGAGACGCCAATGACGGAAGAGCAGATTGCAGAAGCTAAACGAATGTTTGGCAAAGTTTTGAGATATTGCCCTGGATCTTATCCAGAAATTAATAAATTTGACGATAAGATGTTACATTTTTACATTTGGCTTGATTTGATTCGTGAATATCCATTTATGTCAAATAATGAGATTCGTGAGGCAAACCCAAATACGGTCTCAATAGATGATGAGGACGATAGTATCTACAAGCGAGTTATTTCTCGAAATCCTCTTCCAGAGTATCGATCTACAAGTCGCTGGACGACAGATCGCTCTCCCGTTGATTTAGTTAAAAAAAGTATGGAGGAGTTTTCTTCTAGAGGTTCTGCCATGTCATCATTATCAACTTCATCAACTTCATCAACTTCTTCTTTTTCTTCTGAAGCCAACACCAGTGCAAATGATGGCACGAGTCAAAGTCAGCCGTATTCGTTTTCTTCAGTCTCTTCATCTTCGACCAGTACTATTCCTCGGTCAATGCATTCAATTTCGTCATTAATTTCAGGACCATTACCTAAAACTTTGCCAAAAATGCCTTCAGCATTAGCATCTGCATCTGCATCTGCATCAGCATCAACATCAACATCAACATCAACATCTGCATCAGCATCAGCATCAGCATCAGCACTACCATCAGCACCAACATCTGCATCAGCATTAACTTCTTTCTCAGCAGACTCTTACAGCACGAATAATTTTAATGATGCAGCTTCATCGTTGAATTTGATAGCAGCAACTGAAGTTGCTGCATCATCAGCTGCTTTGTCAGATACTTTTGTTTTAAGCGCTGTTTCGGAATTGCCACTGCCATCACGGCCAGAATCTGACGACAACAACAACAACAACAACAACAACAACAACAACAATAACAATAACAATAACAATAATGATAATGATAATAATAATGATAATAATAGCGGTTTATCTCTTAGAAGTGCATCTTCTAGCCGCAGTTTCATGTCGATACCATCCTTAATTAACTCCACGGTTGTTGAAAATATGCCTGCATCATCATCATCTTCATTGAATAATGAGTCTGCAGAAGAGGCAAACCTGTCTACTTATCATGATAATCCAAATGATAATATCCAATCTTAAAAATAATTAACAATAGATTGAAATGAAACGAAATGGCAATTCTTTGTAACACTTGTATTATGTATTATGTAGTAGTTTTTATGAATATAAAGGCTTTCAACAATTCAATTACAAATAATACACTTATTTATCCTTTTTTTTTAATTAATTAATTAAATAATTAAATAATTGAAATTTTCTTTTTTCTTTCTTTCTGTAAAAAGATTGATTTTGATGATAGTCATTTAGAAAATTCAGTAATAATTTGAAAATACGAAGCAGTCCCTTTTTTCTCTGTTTAGCGGTCTGTCTGCCAATCCACATAGGTTAAGCAAACTTTACCCAAAGTCTCTAAATGTATATTTTAGGCCACCAAAAAAAAAAAAAAAAAAAACAAGTAAAATTTAAAATTTAAAAATTTAAAAATTAAAAATTAAAAAAAAAATTTAAGCAAAGCTGATATAATCACTATGTTTAGGATTATTCATCTACCGGGTGACGGTTTCCAGCATTCCAATGAAGTACATGATCATGAAACGTAACAAACGGTTTCTTAAAGTCTTTTATTGAAAGAGTGGCTGAAAAAAAAAATTAAATAAATAATATAAATAATATAAATAATATAAATAATATAAATAATATAAATAAGATAAATAAGATAAAATAAGATGAAATAAGATAAGATGTAATTAAATAGAATGAAAAAAAAAATAACAATTCTAAGATATATATATATATATATATATATATAATAAAAAATTAATTGAAAATATTAAAGGTTATATGAAATAAATTTTTAAACCAATTTATTTATTTTTATTTTTTTTTTTATAAAAAAAAAAAAACATCGTCTAATATATATTATTATTATTATGGCAATTGGCCATCTATTGCCATAGGGGGGTCACCCTTTTTTTCTTAGAGATAAAAAAAAAAAAAAAAACCTAAGATTTGCCAGTTTTGGCAAACTGCATATATACGCAATTATTTAAGCATATACAAGCCATAAGCTGGGAATCCATAGAAAAAAAAATAAATAAAAGTTACGTTATTTCTTGAATTTATTTTTATTTTTATTTTTTTATTTTAAAAAAAAAAAAAAAAAATTCGGGTTTTAAATGTTTTAGGCAGTTCATAACTATGACTTGTAATATTTCGGTCTTAGAATTGGACTAAGCCGAAATATCTTTGGATAAATAAAATATACATTAAAAAGAAAGTTTTAAACTTTAGTAATATTTTTATGAGAGCTATTCAAATATTGTATATATATATTAATATTACTACTAACATTTGTTAATAACTGCGGGCTTTATTTTATTTTTATTTTTATTTTTATTTTCTCTTTTGCTTCAACTTTGTTGCCGAAAAAAAAAAAAAAAAAAAAAAAAAAAAAAAAACACCGAGATACCGCCAAAATTTTGAATTATTATTATTATTATTATTATTATTATTATTATTATTATTATTATTATTTTTTATTATTATTCTGTAAATATTGTTTATTATCTCAAATATTTTTTTAATTTTTTTTTTCTGGGTACATCATAGCTTAATAAATTTCCCCAAATCCCGTAATGATTAATTATAAATAGTTTCATTTTGGAGCTCAAAAGTTATAAAAATTGATTTAATAGTAGCAATATTTTGTTATTTTAATATTTTTAATATTAATATTAATATTAATATTATTACTTTCAATGTAAGCTCCTCAGATCATTAATCGCAAAATATATATACTTACATAACTTTCTCTAAGTTTGTCGTCATTCTTTTTCATCAATTTTGAAGATTTAGTTAAGCTAAGCTCAGGGATTAAAAATAAAAATAAAAAAGCACTTTTTTTTTCCCCTAAATTAGTTTAATTGAACATTAGAATTAGTATATAAATACTTTTAAACAAATAATTAACAGAAATAGGTACTGATTACAAACCCCGAGCAAATGGTTTCTGGTGAGCGACAAATCTTCATTCTACTGTTAACAAAGTCGTACAGATTTATTTATTTTTTTTTATCTCATAGTTTCATTTTTTTTTTTTTTTTTTTTTTAAAAACCCCCCCCATCATGCACCTTCATATGATATGATCCCACTAACTATTTCATCCTTTATTTCATTTTTCGTTTAAATGAATTTTTTTTTTTTTTTAAAGAAAAAAAAGTATGATGACATTATTTATAATTAATTTTTATATTATTTATAAAAGATACCCACCAATTGAAACCATTCTGTGATCAAATATGTATCCAAAGATTTAAACAAAGCATTTAGATAAATTGCATTTAGAAAAAAAAAACATTTGTTTATTATTATTAAATATATTAAATATATGGGAAACTTATCATCATCTAATCACTAATTTTGTTAAGTTATCAATCTTTTCTTCTTTAAAGATTGAACGAACCATTTGATATTATTGCTGCATGATATATATGCAATAATATAGATGAAGTATATTATATTATTCAAAAAAAAAAAAAAAAACAAGTTAAAATAATTCAATTCAACTATTATTATTAATGCTGATGATGATGATCTTGATTTGACTTGATTTGACTTGATTTGACTTGATTTGATTTGACTTGATTTGACTTGATTTGACTTGATTTGACTTGATTTGACTTGATTTGACTTGATTTGACTTGATTTGACTTGACTTGATATACCCTATTTCCATACAAATTTTTTGTTATTATTTGTGACAAGTAACACAACATTTTAATGCCTATTTGTTCTGTGTAATTACAACATTACACACACTACTTGTTCAAGCTTACATAATTTATTAATATATCATGTGATAAATATGATGAGTCAACATTACATAATATGTTACATGAGAGATGTGAAAAATTTTCTTTCTTTCTTTAGAAAATTTTTTTTTTTTTTTTTTTTTTTGTTTCTGTGCGGCCAGGGGAGGGAGAGAATAGCTGGCTGAGTAACAACTCCAAATAACATCCAAAAAAAAAGTTTTTTTTCCTCCTTTTTTTTTTTTTTTTCTTTCTTCTTTTTTTTTTCCCTTTTTCAAGCTCAGATTTTCTTTCGAAAACACCCCCCAATCTCGACCTCTATCTAGGCTTATTTATATATATACTTATATATATATATATAAATATTTTAAAGCTCATTTGGCTTTGATTTTCTAAAAATTAAAAAAACCCAAAAAAATCGAAAAATTTTTAAAAAACCCTCCTTTTTTTTATATTTAAAAAAAAGCATCACACCCAAAATTTAAACGTTCTACGTTTCAAAAAAAAAAAAAACCTTTTAAAATCACCATCACCACCACCACCCCCCCATTCATATACCATAATTCGAATCCTTAATTGGACTAGTATTTGATACCCCCCCTCATATTCATTAAAATGTCTACTGAAGCCGTTGCCGCTACTGAAAAGGCCCTTGAGCAGCTCAACATCAAGGAGACTACCGCTCCTGAGGCTGAAGCTACCTCTTCCACCGCCACCGAAGCTCCCTCTACTGCTGAGGAGGCTACTGCTCCCGCTACTACGGAGTCTGCTTCCTCTCCTTCTGAGACTGATTCTGACTCTAACCCCTCTGCCAATGTTTCTCTTTACGTTGGTGAGCTTGATCCTTCCATTTCTGAGGCTATGCTCTTTGAGATCTTCAACCAGATTGGTCCCGTTGCCTCCATCCGCGTTTGCAGAGATGTCGTTACTAAGAGATCTCTTGGCTACGCTTACATTAACTACCACAACTCTGCTGATGGTGCCCGTGCTCTTAACGAGCTCAACTACACCGCCATTAAGGGTCGTCCTTGCCGCATCATGTGGTCCCAGAGAGATCCCTCTCTTAGACGCACTGGCGCTGGCAATATCTTTATCAAGAACCTTGATCCTGCTATTGACAATAAGGATCTTTTTGATACCTTCTCTACTTTTGGTAAGATCCTTTCTGCCAAGATTGCCACTGATGACTATGGCAATTCCAAGGGCTACGGGTTTGTCCACTTTGAGACTACCGAGGCTGCTGAAAGCGCCATTAGAAATGTTAATGGTATGCTTTTGAACGAGCGCAAGGTCTTTGTTGGTTTCCACATTCCTAAGCAGGACCGTCAGTCTAAGAATGACGAGCTCAAGGCCAAGTTCACCAACGTCTACATCAAGAACATCTCTTCTGAGACTACTGATGAGGAGTTTGAGGAGCTTTTCAAGAAGTACGGTAACATCACCTCTTCCACCATTGCTCGTGATGCTGAGGGCAAGTCCCGTGGCTTTGGTTTTGTCAACTTTGAAAACCACGATGATGCTGCCAATGCTGTCAAGGAGCTTAATGACTTGGAGCTCAATGGCAACAAGCTCTATGTTGGCCGCGCCCAGAAGAAGTTTGAGCGTGAAGAAGAACTCAAGAAGCAGTACGAAGCTGCTCGTCTTGAGAAGAGCAACATGTACCAGGGTGTCAACCTTTACATCAAGAACCTTGATGATACTATTGATGATGACAAGCTCCGCGAGACTTTCTCTGCTTTCGGCACCATTACCTCTGCCAAGGTTATGACTGACGAGAGTGGCAAGTCCAAGGGCTTTGGCTTTGTCTGCTTCTCTGCTCCTGAAGAGGCTACTAAAGCTGTTGCTGAGATGAACCAACACCTTGTTGCCGGCAAGCCTCTCTACGTTGCTCTTGCTCAGCGCAAGGATGTTAGACGTTCTCAGCTTGCTCAGCAGATGCAGGCCAAGAACCAGCTTCGTCTCCAACAGCAGGCTGCCGTTGCTGGTGGTCTCCCCGGCCAGTACATGACTCCTATGTTTTACGGCCCTGGCCAGCAGCCCGGTTTTATGGGCCCTGTTCCTGGTGGTCGCCCTGGCGTCCCCTTTGGTGGCAACCCTCAGGTTATGCTTCCTCCTCCTCGCCAGCAGGTCATTCCTCCTCCTCCTCAAGGTGCTTGGCCCCGCAATGTTAACGGCCCCAACCAGAACATGCTTCCTTACATGGCTGGTGGCTTCAACGGTGGTTACAACAACCGCGTTCCTCGCCCTGTTCCCTTTGGCGCCCAGGGTGGCCGCAACGGTGGCCGTGGTCAGCGTGGCCCCGGCCCCATCCCCGCCAGAGCCGGTGAATCTTCCCTTAGCGTTATGGTTGCTAACGCTCCTGAGGAGGCCCGCAAGCAGGTTATTGGTGAGTACATCTTCCCCAAGGTTCTCAACCACGAGAACATTGCCAATGATCCTGAGCTTGCCAGCAAGATCACTGGTATGCTTTTGGAGATGTCTGTCGATGAGCTCGTCAACATTGCTGATGATGTTCCTGCTTTCAACAACAGCGTCCACGCTGCTTTTGAGGCTTACAATGAGTTCCTCCAGAACAGTGCCAACTCTGCTCCTGCCCCTGCTGAGGGTACTGCTCCCGCTGAGGCTCCTGCTGCTGCCTCTGCTTAAATGCAAGATAATGATCCACATGTGAAGTTATAACTTCATAAACCAAAAGTCGAGAATATATATTTTATGATTTGGTGTTTTTTTCTCCACTTGTCGCCCACAGTCCTTCCAAAAGTTATTTATGTTGTACTTATTAGTTTATATTTGATTTTTTTTTAAATTTTTTTTAAATTTACTTGTTGCTTGAAACTGTTTTTATTTTATTTTATTTTGTTTTATTATTATTATTTTGTTTTAAAGATTGGAAGAAGATTCATCTGATTGTAGTTTTATTTGATTCCAATCAGAAATAAAAGATAGATTAGGAATCTTCAATTCTTTGGTCAGTTTATCAAATGTTTTTTTCTTACCAACAACAACACCTTTATCAGCCTCCAAAAGAGCTAAGGTATCGGTAGAACTATCTCCAAAATACCAAAGTTCTTTACCCAGCTTCTTTGCCTCATCTTTCAAAGCTGCAATAATTCGCTTTTTATCGTTAGCAGTGCGAACATGGCCGCGTGAGATTTTAGGATCAGTTGCGCTATTAACATGGTCTGGATGAACATCGTAATTTATAGAGTCATAGTCAGCAGGGAAAATATCCCCCGTGACCCAATCAATGTCATTACTGTAAATTGCAATATCGTTACCCGGGAAGTAGTGGTCAAGTACTCTGCGGATCAAATCCGCGGACCAGTTCACACTAACAATTGCAATCTTGGGATATTCTTTGGTATCATCTTTCTCTTCACCATGAGCAGGGTGAATTTTCTTGATAAGATCCCACCAACCGTCTCGGAAAAGCACCTTGCCGACTTGTGCTTGAATAAACTTGGGGTCAATGTTTTCAAAGAGTTTTGCATCCTCTACACGCTTTGCAGACTCGTATTCGATTGGCTTAAGACCAAGTAAAAACTCAATTTCTTCTTCAAGTTCAGGCGAAATTCCTTCTTTAGATGCTGCTGCTGCCACTGCAGATGCAGCCACCTCAGCATCATTATCTTCTTTTTGAGAACTAGCTTTGGATGATGATGGCTGGAACGACCGTGAGTATTGCGTATAATCATTAAGGAACTCACGAACAAAATAGTCCCATTTAGGTTCAAAGTCAGGTTTGCATTCGTAGGCAGCAGCTCCTAAAAGATGCATGGTGTCTAAACTAGTCACAGTCTCATCCCAGTCGACAATGAAATGAGAAACTTTGGAAAGATCAAGTTCCAAGGGAGCACCAGCTGGCTTTACCATTCCATACATATTATTTTATTTTATTATATTTTATTATATTTTTATTATTGATTAAATTAAGAATTATGATATTGTGAATTAGACAAAAAAAAAATAATATTAGATGTGAATTTATAACATATACTAAAAAAAAAAGAAAGAAATTATAACTGAAATGTGAGTTGAAAAACAGTCAGCTTTTCATGTGGGGTTTGATCATTGACAGGTGTGAAATGACTACTATATTGAAATCCGGTAAAGCACCGTGACTTAAAATCCTTATTTTTTGGGCCTCGGACTGAATTTCTGAGAACACCAATCACGTGATAACATTTCATTTTACTTCCTCGGTAAAAGGCAGATTCACACACAGTCTCTAAGCCCATAGAAGATCCCCAAAGGCATGTCCAAATGTACATTTTAATATTTAAATCACTAAATTCAAAGTGAAATCGTATACTATGGCTGACATTGCGCAATCGATATGCACATTATGAGCAGTGAAATAATAATAATAATAATAATAATTAAATAGGCTATTAATACCAAAGAATTTATACCATCTTTGAAGAACTATAGTCTGTAGTTATTTCTCTGAAATCATTGTGTTTACTTATTAGACTTATCGTCAGAACCGTCTTCGCTTGCACCCTTTCCATCAGAATTCCCGTAAGAGTAATCTGCCATTTCGATATCATCATCTCCATTACTTCCTTCTTGCTGTTTCTGAATTTGCTTCTTAGTTTCACGGTTCTTAATTGTTCGTGCAACTTTCTCCGTTTCATTGATAAATATTATACCACCACCTCCAGGCATAAGATGTCTGTGCTTTTTGGGACGACGCGCTCTGGTTGGAGGTGCACCGGTACCAACAGAAGCTGAATTTTTGGCTGCAATAGCAGTTCGGTCTGCATCACTGTGAAATGGGCTATAGTCGTGTGACTGGCCAACAGAATTTTTACCTTCTAAGTCTGCAGATTTCTTATCACCGTTTGTGTGCGATTTCTTATCTTTATCAGATTTTCTTGTGCCCAAAGAATCAGATACCTCCATATCACTATCAGCTTCATCTGAATCGTTTGAATTCCGTCTTGATAATCTATTTTCAGACTCACTTTCGGATTCACTGTTTTGACTGTGTGTATCTTCATTATCTTGGCCTTTCTCATCTTCTTCTAAATTGTCGTCAGAATCTTCATCCTCGTGAGGTTGTTCATTATCTTGTTCATCATCTTGATCGTCATCATCGTCATCATCATCATCATCATCATCATCATCATCCATTTCGTCATCCATTTCGTCATCGCTAATCACATCATCATCTTGCTTTTGTGCCAGTTTCTTTCCACCAACCAAAAATAGTTCATCCTCTTCGTCTTCATCAAGGCCAGTATCTTCGTCACCTCCATCATGATGAGAATTATCATGCTCTCCATTCTGGTTGATACCGTTAGAAGAAGTTGATCCACTACTTCCAACACCAAAACCTTCCAAAGTTGTTTGACCTTTACCAAGTTCAGGTTGAGATACCAGACCTCGAGAAATAAGTTCAGAAAGCTTTTTGGGCTGTGGTATCAATTCTAAAAATTAGGTTAGTTTATGCCTTTTATTCTAGTAAACGAACACAAAAAAAGTACATAAAACTTACCTTTTAAAAACTGAAGTTGCTCTATGCTTTCAACAGAAGATGAAAAATCCTTATAAGTTAATCTTTTGCGCTTGTCACTTCGAGCTCTCAGTAATGCTTGCTCTGTGAAAAATTGGATAAAAAGTTCCTATGCTATGTTAATTGCAACACCTTATGAAAAAATAAAAAAAATAACTTACCGTGGCTGCAGCAACAGCATAAACTGCCGGCGTAGAAATTGCTACAATATCATAATCCTGTTTTACAATCCGCTTAATTCTAGCAACAGGCAGCTTGGATGGAGGCTTTGATGAATTGTTGATAGTGTCTTTCCTGGCTGAAGTTTCGTCGAGGGGTTTCTTATTATTCTCGTTTGACGTTTGTTTTTGTTTTCCTTTACCACGGGGTCTACCAACTGGACGAGACTGCGATTGAGCTGGTTTTTGGGTTGTTGATGAAGAGGCCTGTTTATCGTTTTCGGCTTCTTGAGAGTTCACTGAGCTTTGCTCGTTAGTCTCATTGATTGACGCGCCTGCGCTTGGGGTATTACTAGCAGATTTAGAAGATTCTGGGACATCCACATCAACATCAACATCCATTGCGTCTTCGTGTGGACTGGAAGAGCCAGCAGTGGAATCAGCGGGTTTGGTGTTTTCTTCAATGTCTATTTCAATGGGCTCTATTTCCGTCATTTTGGTTTTTAAAATAGCTTTAAAGTCCCTCCCAAAAAAAAGTGATGGAAAATTGTAAAAACAGCAAAAAAATATAAAAATAGGGTGAAAATAGCCAAAGTTTTTTTTGTTTATTTTTATTTTATTTTTATTTTTTGAAAAAACAGAAAGTCAATAGACTTGTTACAATAAACTATTACATAAATAGTTACACACGTCATTTATCAACGACACCTAGTCATTTTAAACCTTCAACTTAACATGCTTATACGAAACCCTGATCCCGGACCTTTCTTACCAGTGACGCTAATTGCATTTGATATCTCGATCTTAAGAACATATTTTAACCATGCCGATTTAGATAAATGAAATCTTTTATTGCATTCTTACTTAATATTTAGCTTATAATACGGTGTTAACCATTTAAATTTCACTCATATTCCCCCCTCCTTAATCTCTCTTCCCTTTTATTCAATAATGTCTAGCTCTTCTCGTCACAAAAGAGCACATTCAAACTCTTCTGGAATGTACGTCATGGACATCATTTTAAATGTCGAATTTGATTCAACTAACTTTTAATATCATTATAGGTCAAATGCCTTTTCTTTGGCTTCTTTTGATTCATTTTCATCAGACCTAAGCCATGATGGTTTATTAAATAATAATCAAGCTTCTGGCAGCTCAGCACACAATACAGAACGTTCTGGTCCTGAATTACACAACATTTCAATTGATTTAAAAGACATTGATGAGATTAGACGATATGAGGACTTTTCAACTATTGACTGGGTCGAAGATGCTGCTAGAGAAAATCTTAAACGACGTCTTAAAATAAAACGGCTACGTGAAAGAGCTCGACTAGACCCTAGAAACCTTGAAAGCGGAACAAGAAGACACAACTACCAATCACGCGTATTTTCTTTTCTTTCTGATTCTCTATCGGCAGCTCAGGCATGGATAGTACTCACTATAATTGGTTGTGTCTTGGGAGCTCTCGCGGGATCGGTAAACATTATCACTGAATGGCTTTCTAATTTACGAACAGGTCACTGTACATTAGGTATCTACCTAAATCAAGAGTTTTGTTGTCCAGGAGGTCAAGAGTCCTGCGCAGAATGGAAGTCATGGACTGGCTTTGTAGTGACTGATTATATTACTTACATTCTTTTCTCAACAATTTTTGCATTCACAGCTGCATATCTCGTCAAATTTTACGCACCATACGCAGCAGGTTCCGGTATTTCAGAAATCAAATGCATTATTGCCGGCTTTGTAATGAATGGTTTTTTGGAGTTTCCCACATTAGCAATTAAAAGTTTGGCTCTTCCCCTAACCATTGCTTCTGGACTTAGCGTCGGAAAAGAAGGACCTAGTGTACATTATGCTGTGTGTGTGGGTAATGTCATTGGAAATATGTTTTCAAAATATCGACACAATAGTTCAAAAATGCGTGAAATTTTGTCTGCATGCACAGCTGCTGGTGTAGCTGTTGCTTTTGGAAGTCCAATGGGTGGTGTTTTATTTTCGATAGAAGAAGTTGCCTCCACGTTTCAAATCAAAACAATGTGGAGAAGTTATTTTTGTGCGCTTGTCTCTACAATTGTTTTAGCTGGAATCAATGCTTTCCGCACAGGTCAAATCGTATTATTTTCGGTTAGTTATGATCAAGACTGGCATTTTTTCGAAATAGTTTTTTTCATCATTCTTGGACTGTTTGGAGGCGTTTTCGGAATATTTCTCAGCAAGTGGAACCTTCGGGCACAAGGATTTCGCAAGAAGTACCTGGCTAACTATGCCATCCAGGAAGTGGTTTTCCTGGCATTCATTACAGCCGTCATTTGTTATTTTAATGCTTTCCTTCGCTTAGATATGACTGAAAGTATGCAGATACTTTTCCGAGAATGTGGAAATGGATTTGAAGAAAGTTTTGTTTGTGATAAGTCTCAGCGTGGCCGTGTCATCATGTCATTGATATTTGCAATTATTATCCGCACATTTCTTGTTATTATTTCATATGGCGCCAAAGTCCCAGCTGGTATTTTTGTTCCTTCAATGGCAATCGGCGCTATTTTTGGCCGTATTGTGGGCACTGTTGTTCAATCTCTTCATGATACATATCCCTCCAGTTCATTTTTTGCTGCATGCCCACCAGATGGTCCTTGTATCACTCCAGGGACATATGCATTTCTTGGAGCTGGGGCCGCATTAAGTGGCGTTTTACATATTACTGTCACAGTGGTAATAATCATGTATGAGCTTACAGGTGCTTTGACTTATATTATACCAACAATGATTGTTGTTGGAGTTACACAAGCAGTTGGTGATAGATGGGGTAAAGGTGGCCTTACCGACCAAGCAATTTGGTTCAACGGATTTCCCTTTATTGATACAAAAGAAGAACATATTTTTAATGCTCCTGTCAGCAAAGCCATGGCTCGCGAAAACCTAATTGTTTTCACAACTACCGAAATGACGTTGGCACAAGTCGAAAAAATCCTTGCTGAAACAACACACAGAGGTTTCCCTATTGTTGACGGACTAGATACCAAATATTTGTTAGGTTACATTGGCCGTTCAGAATTAAAATATGTTATTCAAACAAAACGGTCACAGGGTCAGTCACTTTCTCCAAACGCCAAATGTTACTTTTCATCTGCGACTTTTGATCGTAGTGCTCGTCATGCTCGTAGATCAACTGAGCATGGGTCTAATATTGGCAGCAATAGCTCTAATTCAAACAGCAACATGATTATGTCAATTAGTTTTGAAAAATTTGTTAACTTTACACCGATAACTGTACAACCACAAGTTCCACTGGAAACGGTTATGGAGATTTTCTCACAACTGGGACCTGGAGTTGTTTTAGTGGATTACCAAGGAAAACTTTGTGGCCTTATGAGCCGAAAAGATATTCTTCGATACCAATTTAAAGTTGAGCATATTTACGCACCAAAAGAGCGAGCTCTTGATCGATCAGCTGCACAGCAGGTAGACCAAAAAGTTTGGGAGACAATTGTTTGGTTTGTTTCTCTGACGTACAAGTGGATTGCTAGAGCGATTCCAACAAGCATTTTAACTCGGCTTGGAGTGGGCCATGGTTATGAGTTTACTAATGGCAATTCTTCAGGTGGAATTACTCTACAGCCGTCGGTGTCCTCATCTTCATTAAGATGGCAACCAGAGAATCCAGTTTCAAACTAATGAGCCTTTTAACATTTAGTTTTATATATGATTTAAACTGTATATTTTATTTTATTTTATTTTTATCTTTTCTCATCAATCTAATTTTATCAAAACATTTCATCGAAAAGTGTTATAGTTTTTCTTTGCAATATCGAATTTTGAATATTAAGGAAAACTCCGCAATTTTACCCGAAATTACTCAACTTTTTATACTCTAACCAGTAGAAAAATTATTACATGAGGCAGTGATACCGAACGTTTAATTTATTGTATTTCCTAATTAAGAAATAATTGCCACAGAAAGAATTTGAATCTATTTCCCTTTTATTTAATAGCCGCAAGAACCTCGGTTAAAATATCCAAGCATCTTGAAGATAGGTATATTTTTGAACTTTCCGACAATGATTCTTGGAGCCTTTATATTTATTTCTATGTTTTTTTTTTTTTTCTTTTTAAATTTATCAACATTTTCAGAAGGAGTTTTACTTTATTTTTTAAAACTCCCATGGACAGTATTATAATGTTTTCAAAAAGAGTATTAGTGATTTATTTTGGGATTTTTCAGTTCATTCCGAACACTAGCTCTTTAAATTCACCCCTTATCAAACTGAGATAATTCTGACATACAAATCAATAATTGTAACTAACCAATGGCTTTAAGGCCTTCGGGGATTCCCACAGTAATGTCGAATAAATTACTATTAATTATAGATATCTAGAATATATATTAATTATATCAGTTCATAATCCTTTTTTCTATTATTCAATTAAACTAGGAATGCCTTTTTCAAATAAATTTTTGATAGAAATTTTTTAAAAATAAAACAAAGAAATAAATCGGTATATTGTAGTAATTGAATAATATCGTTATTTTAGTATGGATATCGCAGGAATGCTATTTTTCCAAGTTTTCATATATGCAAATTTCGATTTAACATCATCCCTTACGCTATTTTTATTATTCAATATATGGATACCATCTTATATAAGATATAACATATGATACTTCTGATAATGGTATCACTGGTATCGACCAAAACTTTAAATTTGATTTTTTAAACAAGTTTATCTTTCATGCTTCTTAATTACTATAATTGAAGATTACAAGAAATGAATTTTTCTTGAAAAAAGAACCATTACTTACAAATTTAAACGCAGATATAAAAGCAAGTTGAAGATTGGATTATAGTCAAATAAGTTACCCCTAAAGTTATTTTGGAAACAATTAATCGCGCTTACCTTTGACAAACATTATAGAGTTTATTTTGACTCTAAACAAGAAAACATGAAATCGCTAACAATATTTGCAAGTAGAAGTTTACGTTTCGTCAAAAAAAAAAAAAAAAATCGGATTGCTTATAAATATTGCGCGCACATTTACACTGAAACGTTTACTGGTCAAGAAACATTGATTACACTTGGGCGGTTAACATGTTACTGAGACCAGAAAAAGTTAATTGACGATTGAAAAACGAGTAAACGGTTGATAAGTGGTTGAAACTATTGAATGATTTAAAATTACGGTGAATAAAGTATTAAATAAAACTTTAGAACTTTGTTGCTATAACTGATTGATTATTTGGCTTTTTTTTATTTGAAAAAGAATTTCCTTTTTTCTGTCTCGCTTCTTATTTTCTTCTTTTATTTTTATTATTTTTTTAAATGACCGAAAGTAGTCGAACGTATAAAAATTTGAAAGTTGTTGTGAAAGCGTAAATATTTTTAGCGAATAAATTAGACATGAAAAAGAAAAAGAGAAAAAATTAAATGTGAGAAGGAAGAAAAACAAATAGATGTCGTCAAACTAGGGTTAAGCAAAAATGAATCTAATGGTAGTCTTCACGCTCACGGTAAGAGTCAGAAACAGGGGGTGGAGGGCCAGGATATCTCTCACGCTCATCTCTGTAAGGTCTTTCTTCGCGCATATCGCGAGGAGGGAGACGATCGTCACGGGGAGGGAGTCTGTCATCGCGAGGAGGAAGTCTGTCGTCTCTAGGAGGGAAGCGGTGCTCTTCACGAGAGTAGCGGCGCTCATAGCGGTCTCTATTATCGCGAGGAGGGTATCTTTCACGGTCGTCCATACGATAACGGTCACCTCCTCTTTCACGGTCACGATAGTATCTTTCACGGTCATCATATCTGGGACGGCGGTAAGGGTCATCGTAACGGGAGGGACGGTCATCGTAACGACGGTCCTCGTAACGAGGATAATCTCTTCTGTATCTGTCATCAAAGCGAGGTCTACCTCCTCCGCGGCGGGCCTTGCGAGGGCCGTAATACTTACCAGGAGTGGGCGTACGAGGTCTTTTCCGGCGAGCCTTTTCAACTGAAAGAGTGCGGCCGGCAATGGTATGGCCGGTAAGCTCCTCAATGGCCTTGTCAGCATCAGTGACATCAACCATGTTGACAAAGCCAAAACCACGAGATTCCTTTGTATGAGGATCCATCATAATTTGGCACTTGTCGACAGTACCAAATTTGGCAAAAACAGAACGAAGCTCGTCCTCATCGATAGTCTTAGAGATGCCGGTAACAAACAAGTTAGTCCCTTCATTGCGGGGGTCATCTTCTTCCTCAGCTCTAAACGTCGGGGTGTTAATGTTCTGAATTTTGTGTTGTATTTGGGAGTTGCAAATTACCTTGGGCCTTGCTGAGAGTCACGGGGTTCAGGATCATCCCTGTCCTCACGTCTGGGAGAGTCAGATCTTCTGTCGTAAGCAGCTTCAGGACTTAAAGATCTTTCACCACCTATCAAGTGTAAAAACACAAGGAAAAAAAGAAGTTAATACGCGTCTTTCAAGTATAAAAAATACTTTAGAAAGAATAATACGCGAGTAGAATGAAACTTTTTCAAAAGTAAAATAACCAAAACAACCAAAACAAATAGCAAAGCTCACATCTCACTTCCGTTCAATCTAAAAATTTTTAACAAAAAACAAATTAGTTATTTATACTAACCCTCGCGATATTCATCAGCTCTATGGGTATCGGCCTCTTCGTAGTCGGTCATGATGGCTTTGGTGGTTGCTTTTGGTAGGGTGGAATATGACAAAAAGGGATGTGGAAGGTAGAAAGAAAAACCCTTAGATGGTGGCAATGACTTTTTTTTTTTGGTGATGACAGCAAACCCAAAAAAAAATTTCATTTTCAGACCTTATTATACTAAGATGTGCGCACATTTGATCACGTTCAAAATTTTCACACTTTACAAAACATTCCAGCCAATCCACCATTACCACCATTACTACCAAACAGAAACTCGAGTCCTTTTTTTTTACAATAGGCCGACTGTGTGAATTACAACCACAACCAACAATGTTTTCCCGTTTATTAGCACGCTCCACTATTGCTTCTGCCAGAGTTTCCGGTGTCAGATCGCTTTCATCTTTCACTTCGTCGGCCTCTCCCATCATCTGCAGACCAGTATGCCGTACACCTATCCTTTCCTCCTCATCATCTCTCCCCAGACTCCAGTCTTCGGTCCAGCAATTAACTCAAAGCAGCACATCCATAATATACCGTGCTCAACAGGTTAGACATGCTACCCTTAACCAGATTTCTCGTCGTGGCCGTTTTAATACCCTCCTTAAACGCCACAAAGCCAAGCGTTCTATGACCCCTGATCTTAATCGCAGTCCATTTAAGAAGGGTGTTGTTCTTCGTGTTATGATTCTCAAGCCTAAGAAGCCCAATTCGGCTAACCGTAAGGCTGCCAGAGTTCGTCTTTCCAATGGTAAGGTGGTCACTGCTTACATTCCTGGTGAAGGCCACAATGCTCAGGAGCATAGTGTTGTCACCATCAGAGGTGGTCGTACCCAAGATTTGCCCGGTGTCAAGTACAAATGTGTTAGAGGTTTGGGTGATTTGGCTGCGGTCTCCAATAGAAGAACCTCGCGATCTAAGTACGGTGCCAAGAAGCCTGCTGCTTCTAACTAGAGTCACTTTTCTTTGTAAATTGTTTTCTTCATTTTTTTATCTGTAAATACTTGTGAATATTATTTTCCTTATTCATTTTTTTTAAAAAAGAAATCTTTATTGAGGGTTTATTAACAAACAAAAAATAAAAGAAGAGACAACGATTCAGATATTTATCGTCGAACAGTATCAAATCTGCGTCCTGACGCGGTTTTTCTTTCCTTGGTTTCTTCATTCTCTGGTTTTGCGCGGTTAAGAACCTTAAGAAACTCCGAAACACGGTATCTCATTCTAGAGTGCATGTAGGCCTTAGAGCACTTGATATGATAGTGGAAGTAATCGCGGAAGGTTTGAATGTGACTGATACAGTTCTCACGACGCTGGGGCTTGAGATGTCTAGGGAAAAGAACAAAAGTGACGTAGCCGACATTATCGTCCGAAGCCCGAACACCAGGTAGGTCGCGAATTTCAAGAGGAGGTTCCTTCTGTGAATACAAAACCTGCGGAGCATTTTGAATTGCACGGCGACGAGCATCCACAAACTCCTGAAGGAAAACGCGCCCAAAAATGCGATCTGTTTCGTCCTTAAAAATAGTAGAAAAGATAACCGTCACACGATCGTGCGAAGGCTTAATAAAGATAGACTCTTGCTCGCGATAGTGAATAGCTAAAACTTCAACCTTAGATGCCTCTGGAACGTACAATTCCAAATTTTGCTTGGCAGCATCAGCTGCCAATTCGTCAAACTCATCAAAGGCACGCTCAAAGGGGGCAGCCAAAGCTGTTCGCTTAAGCAAAGAAATCTTGTCAATCAGAGCTTCACGTTCTGTTACATCAAGGCTCTGCAGCTCCTGCAAGTCAAGTAAGAGGGAAAAGTTGTAGCCAGATTCCGGAGTAGGCAAAAGATATGCCCCGTATTCGCGCTTCATGATTTTGTCGACATTGTATTTTTTTAAGTCTGGAGCACACTTGATGTACATGGAGATGAGGATTTTGCTCTTTGTTTCTGGAGTGGAGATGTGGAAAGTGACATTGTCAAAATCGGAGACAATCTGGTCAATGGCAATAGGCTGGGCACCCGGCTCCAACCGCTCGGTCAAAATGCTCTTCAAGAGAAGATTATGATACTGTAACAAGAGCATGGTAGCGGGTAATTGGGACGGGTCTCGTTGGTCGTATTTATAAAATGGATTGCTTCGAAAAGCTTTGAGGTTGGGTGAAATGTTCAAGAGAGAAAAATACATACGTGGGAACTAAAAAATGGCTATGCAAAAAACCCTAGCCCACATCTTCATAAACACACAACAAAAATAAAGAGAGGGAAAAAACCCCGCATGCAAAATTAAAGTCCTTCATTTCCAACATCTTTCGCTTCTACTCTTCTCTCAAAAATCCATCCCTTATTTTAATACCAAATTTTTTATCTATTTTCGTTTGGTAAAAAAATTCTTTTTACAGTTCACTATTGTCATCGATATATATACCTATCCTAATTACCTATAATTTTTTGCCTTTATTTGCTCAATTCAACTTAAAGCACACGACATTTCTTTTGTTATTCTATCACAATGATACCCTACATTCGATTGTTTACATTATCGATACTCTCTTTTATAACCAAAGTTGATGGAAATTCTATATATGATTCTCGGGGAATTCCAATTGTTATGCCTGACGATGGCGTTCCAACTTGCGATCCTGCTGGTTACTACACGCAATACCCATATAGCGGCTATCGTATCAGCCTGGAGGTAAGGGTCCCCCAAAAAGATACAAAAAGATTGTCAGAACTTAGTTATAATACCTTAATTAATTCTCACTATGAAAAATTTTTTGTTCTATCAGTCTGTGATATGAACTTCGTTACGGGCGAACTAGGCATACCTGTTAGTAACCACGAAGATATTTGGAACAAAACAATATGCAGCGACATAATTCCTCTTGGATTTGAAAATGAAGATAATCTTGAAGATGAGTGGCATGAAAATTTAGATGATGTTAATGCAGCAATGACTTTTTATAGGAAAAAAATTTCGACTGGAGTTGGAGGTCGACTGAATGACCAAAGTAAGCTTGAAGCTAAAAATCATCCCTACTTTGACATGTTTCTCAATTATCGGACACAAATGTTTCATCGTAATGAACCAGATGTACGACCTCAGTATTGTTTTCATACAGCTAAGGCTCAAAAGTTTTTGGAGAATGGACAAGATGAATACTTTCGGTCAAAACTTACTCCTGAATGGGACCGACATCTTTTAACAAACAGTTTTGTAGGAGGTCTTTTTGATTGCTATGAAAACAATATCACTACGTATGATCCTATGACTGGTGATATTGTTTGTGGACCTAATAATATTAGGCCTGTTTTACCACTTTACCGAGATAATTGGCCATATATGTGGACGTCGATTGTTGTCAATGAAAGGACCGATACAGAAATCATAAAAGGAAATGCACAAAGCAATGAAGATGAAGAATTTGGTGATGAACAACTTGAATGGGCAGTTAGAATACCTTGGTTATATACCCCTGATGTGTACGACAATGGGTTCCCAAAAGTCATGACTGAAACGAGAATGGTTTTACAACCGTCTAATCAAGCATTTAAGAGAATTACAATGAGAAAGTTATACCACGATCCATGGGTTAAAAATGTGAATCCGTTTGAAAAGATGTATTAATTCGTTTTGTAAAAAAAATTGAAACTTTTATTTGCTTGGATGTGATCATCTATCGCTAATTGATCTAATTCTAGTAATAAAATTCGTGCGAACACTTTTAAAATCAGTGCTGTATGCATTATTTGACAGAAGATCTGAAATCAATAAATTTCGTAGCATATCATCCCAGGACCGTAATCCCCTTGAAAAGATGGTATTTCCCTGAATGCTTTGGGGATATCTCTGAATATATTTTACAACCAAAAACACGAGCAAATGGATAACAATAGCGTCAATGATAGCTCGACGTAATGCACAAAATAATGATCCCAAAAGTTTTAAAAGCCAAGACTTGCGTTTTGGTGGAGATGCGGAGCCCGGAGAAGAAAAAAATGATGATTCTATCGATGACGACGTAGATGATGATGGGTCAATATCTATGTCAGATACTAGACCAAACTTCGAAAGAACACGTCGAAATTTAACCAAAGATGTATATATAATACCATTTCGGTAAATATCGCTATCATCAGTGATTGTGGTAGATGAATCCTTGCGTTGTTTAAGTCGTTTATTTTTCGAGCGTTGGTCTCCACCAGAGCCAGACGGAGGTTGCTGCTGATGAAGTGGAACAACACCATATCTTTGCCTAATGGCCATAATTTCCTCATTTATAGTTTCCAAAGCCCAATTAACGTCACGTCGCCATTTTTTCATTTCAAGGTTTTCCTCACGCAAATTGGAAACATCCTCACTGCTGCTTTCCAAAACCCTAGCATCATAAAACTCCTCCTCTCTAACTCCAGGTCCTAATTGTGAGTGACTTTCGTCAAGATCTCGGCCATGACGTTGACCTATAAACTGCTGACCTTCTTGAAGACTACTTAATCTTTTTGTTTGATTAAAATCGCTTCTTTGCATTCCTTTACCTTTACCCGAGCTTGGTTTAGGTGTTGTAGAGTGAACGCTTCGGCCACTCAGGTACGACTCCGCGCGGTACATGCCAAGTGCTGAAGGCGGGATACCAAGAGTACTTTCAGGTAATGGGTAATAGGAAGATGTTCCACTAGCTCTTTGTTGAGCATTGCGAAGGCTTGCAATTTTGTCTTTCTGGTTGCCAATTGATGAGTATGATGAAGCTCCTTGTTGCTGCTGACGCTCATTGTAAGATCTAAGATTAGATGCAGTCAACGGTGCAGGGGAATTGTCGTGAGCAATAGAACCTGGGGATGATGCTATATCTTGCTCGGAAATCGTTCGAGTGCGATGTTTATGGTGTCGGTGACGCGGTCGGCTCAAAATTGAAGACCCTACACCACCTGTAGCGGAGTCATCCGAAGAGCTAGGTTGCAGGTCTTTAATTTGGTCCCAAAGATACTCTAAATCAGAAACCAATTCAACTGCTTCTTGGGATTCGCTAGCATATGTATGCATTGTCTACATTTTTTGTTAGTTGTCATTTTTTTTTTTTTTTTTGGAGAGGGGGGACGGTGTTATATTCTTGTTGCCGAAACTTCTCCACAATTTCGGTTCAGCATACCTCAATAAGAAATGCAATATATCTGCGCTTAGCTTCGGTCTTCGAAACACCCTCTTCCTCTTTCCAGGCTTCCCTAAAAACATTAATGTTTAGCAAAGTGAAACTGTTAAAGAAAATAGTGTATTGTTTTTAAAAGAAAAAAAATTAAATCGCGTGTGTACTTACCACTTGCGTCGATCAGCGACGTCTTCTGGGGATTTACCGGTAGGCCGAGGCATTATGCCCTCTACATCTCCCTCTTAATGAAAGTTAGACACTAACTTTTTTTTACTCAATATAAAAAAATGACAAAATTAGATCGTGCATACCTGTCGCTTGTTTATAAAGACCATAGAGTTTGATACGACTATCTACAGGTGGCTGAGGAAGGCTTCCTGGGCCTTTGCGAGCCGAAAGTGTTTTGATCGTGGAGATGGCCTTGACAAACACACGATCTGTATAAATTGTTAGCAATAACGAAAAACACCGATAATTATTAGCATACCAATTGAATCCGACATCTGGAATATCTATTTTACTAAATTTTCTAATGATTTTTTGAGTGTATTATTTTTTAATATTTTATTCTAGAGGAAGTGTATTTGAAAATGGATGGCAAATTAAAGTGAGAGTTGATAACAAGGAGAGAAAGGGAAAATGAAGGAGAAGATATGTTTATAATAATAGTCACGTGTATTAGTTACAAAAGGTGTTACAAGAAATATTTGTTTGTTTGTGTACAAATCCAACTGTATCACCATCATCATTAAAGAACAACATCTTCATTCTCATCCTGCAAAAAAAAAAGCCCCAGTTCAGCATTTTTAATTCTCATGTTAGGGTCAGAGAAACAAAAACTTGCTAGACACCAGTAATAGAATAAAATAATATTTGCTGAAAATTTTGCTTTGTTTATAACATTTCTTTGGTTTCACATAGGCTTTAAGTTTACTTTGCCAACGAGCATTCCCTGTGCCACCGTTCAGAAATGAAACCATCAATGAACCCAAATCCGCAGAATCCGTATATTTCGTCAAAGATTAAGATAGCTCAAAAAACCAATCTACAAAACGAAGATTATATTGCTATTACAGAGAAAGAGTCATTAAAAGATGTTAATAATCCCAAAGAGCTTGCTACTTCTAATGTCTCTACCCTTGCCACTCCAAACCCTATTAAAAAATCTGCCCTTGAGTTAAACAACAGTATAAGGAAAGAGATTTTGCTTTCCAAATCTAGTTTACCTATTGAAACACAAACATCATCGAGCAAATTGAACATTGGGTCATTGGATAATGCAAAAGGTGCAATATTTGAAAATCGCAACGAAATTAGACAACCCGGAGAAGGAATTACTTTCGCAGCTTTTGGCAAACCCTCCAGCATAAAGCCAAATGTAGTTAATAAAAACAGGAAGCGATCTTTTGATTTAATAAGTGATGGTCTATCAAAAGATTCTTTGAAATCAAAAGAACCTGCCCCTAAAATGGCTGCTTTAGAAGCCTCTAATTCAATGCATGTTAATAACACACCAAAAATCCCCCAGCCAACAGTCCCGGAATTAAATCAAAGTGGTAAAAGCAATACAACTGCACCTATACTTTCAAGCACAAACACAGTAAGCGTGCAAGAGAAAAATACATCTAGTTTAGATGAAACGGTTCCATTTTCCTCTTCTCGAACATTTCCAGATTCTGCAATTAATACTGCTGCGAGCAAATCCATTGCGACCAGCGGTGGTACCCATACTAAGAGTCCGCAAGATCAAGGGAATACTTTGCGGCGTGATAGCAAAGGTAAAAATCCAGCTCAAATTTCGGTGCTGCCACACCATATTCAACATACACCTTTTGCTTCTGTTCCTTCATCTACTTCTACATTAGCTTCTACTTTTATCCCAGTTTCTTCTTCTATCACTACCGCTGCCACTGCCGCTGCATCTGTATTGACTTCTTCTCAACAACCACCAGCGCAAAGTAAGGTATTAGAAAAAACAAAAGCGACTCCTACTATAAAGCTTGAACCTGTATCTCCGCGAGAAAAAGAGCGACAGAATCAAGAGCTTAAAAAAGGTACTAATTCGGGTTCTGTTAGCGGCTCATCGCATCTCGCTCAAAGTATTCCATTTTTACATCCCCAAGAATTGGCCCAACATCAGAATAAGTTTTCGAATTCTCATAACCCAGAAACAAGTCTGGGAAATAATTCACATAAATCAGGTGGACACTCTACCACTCCAAATTCTACTTCAGCATCATCCATGGTTTCATCCAGACTCCATGACGATAGAAATACTGTTTCTGCTTCCGTCGGCATGAGTATTTCTCAAAATCAAAGCCAAAGCCAAAGCCAAAGCCAAAGCCAAAGCCAAAGCCAAAGCCAAAGCCAAAGCCAAAGCCAAAGCCAAAGCCAAAGCCAAAGCCAAAGCCAAAGCCAAAGCCAAAGCCAAAGCCAAAGCCAAAGCCAAAGCCAAAGCCAAAGCCAAAGCCAAAGCCAAAGCCAAAGCCAAAGCCAAAGCCAAAGCCAAAGCCAAAGCCAAAGCCAAAGCCAAAGCCAAAGCCAAAGCCAAAGCCAAAATCAAAATGCTCATGTTGATAATTCCAAAACTAATCCAGCATTGAATCGATCACCAGCTTTGGTCAATCCACAGTTTTCGACCCAAAATCATAAACAGCCTCAAGCTCAAAATCCTAATCAGACTCAAGCTAGTGCTCGATCTCAAAGTCAAAATCAATCACCAGCAAAACACTTGGCTCAGATACAGGCCCAAGCTCAGGCTCAGGCTCAGACTCAGGTTCAAACTTCAGTTCAAGCTCAAGCTCAAGCTCAAGCTCATTCCAAAAATCCTCAAGATAAAAAAAGATTTTCGATTCAATTCCGAGAAATTATTCAATCCCAGCAGAAACACTTTGAAATTCAGCTTCAAAAAGATCTTAGTCTTGCAGAGTCGCTCCAGTATAAGGCCAAATTAAAAGCATTGAAAGATATCCAAAAATGTATCAATACCAATCAGCTAACCCCAGAACTTATTCGTACTTATCAAAATTTAACCAAAAGTGATCTTCCACCGGAAATTTTGAAAATTACAAAATATCCACCGATTCAGTCTTCTGTAGCGCCGCAACAGGTGCAAGAATCAAAAATGGCAAACGAAGCTCAGAAAATACACATTCTGCAATCATCAGACTCACATTCTGGCATTGAGGTACCAAAGGGAAGGGCTAATGGTGAAACTTCGTTGTATAACCGTCCGCCTTCTAATTTAGAGCATGATTTGGAACCAAAGGCTCAGAAAGGACCCCCTGTGGGAATTTTTCGTGCGCCAAACTTTCAAGCTCCTAATAACATGCAATCAAATACAGTAGGGCCTTCTAGCCAATCATTAAAAGAATCACAAAAGCCTGCTGAACCAAATACTGAACACCCCATTCAAGGTCGCACCTATAACCATCATGCATCAAAAAATTTAACCCCTCAACAAGCCAGGCTCGATGCAGAGCCTAAGAGACGAACTAGCGAAAATGAATCTGGGTCGCCATTGCCTCCTGTCTCCGAGAAAGCGCATCCACCTAAAACCCGGAGAACGGCTGAAGTGCGCTCAGCTCCGTCACAATCAGTGCCACCAAAGCCAGCAGCTACTGTGTTCCAATGCAAAAGCTGCAACAAGATTGTTTCAGATTCTTATGCATGGGTCGCTGCGTTGTCAGACGACAATGGGTTTGGAATTTTTGTAGTTAACTCTGTTGTGCCTGGATCAGTAAATGTTATTCGAGGATCAGGCCCGTTAACTGCGCAAGAGGGCCCTGATAAGGGCGCTTCGTATTTTGAAGCCGAGTGCACAACTTGCAACAAGATCATTGGGCGGATGTACGTTACAACACCCTCGCACTTGGATTTTGCCAGAAACATGTATACGTTCATTGTGAAGAACATGACTTATTATAGTGTGGGAGATCTCATGTACATGCCACAGGACATTTCTGAAACGATTGAAGAGCTACTGAAGCCATCACCAAGTACCATGTCGAGACAACTAGCTATGGTGGAAACAATGTTGATTACAATGCACAAACAAATGGAAGTTTTAACTCGTCGATTATCTCAGTATGAAAAACGAGATGCCCAAAAAAAAAACAACGGATAAACCTAACTACATAATAATTAATAAATCTTATAGAGTAACTTGTTCTTTTTTTATCATTTTATTTCTACAATGTCTAGAATTTCTAATCTCTTGAAGGGCCAGAAACACTCTCAATCTCCTTTTTACTAATACTGAGACCATGTTTTGTGTGCTTGCCCACCAGTTGAATCTTAAGACCGCGGTCGGCAGATTTATTTTTCTTCTTAGATTCAGGGCCATTGAGAACGCTTGTTGGTAGAATAATTCCTGCCTCGCGGGCCTCGTCGATTTGACGGCGACGTTCTTTCTTGAGTTCAGCTGCCCTAGACTGTAGAACCTTCATATTAACAGCGCGTTCACGTTTCTTCTTCATACCAAGAAGATCCATGCGCATCTCCATAGTCTGGACACGAGCTTGGCCAAATAACCCGCCAACACCAGGACTGTTGCCACCAGTAATGGCGCTCATCTTGCCGTTTCTACCTTCAACGTCATATGCAGATGAAATGTCGTAGCCCGAAAGTTTGCCCTGAGAAGCAGCATCTGCGAGAATATGCGACTCGCGGAGTAATCGTTGCAGCTCAAGATCATTCTTAAGGTCTTCTTGTGTCAAAATCTTGTCTTCCTCTTCCTCTTCAGGAGCTGCTGCAGCTGCTTCAGCGGCGGCCTTTTCTTCGATCAAACGTTGGGCAACGGAAGCTGGTGCCTTGGACGACATGAATAGCTTCTTCTCACGCTTGGAAGTTTCAAGACGCGGTAAAGAGCGCCCAGCTTCTGAATATTTTACAACAACAGGTGCTTCATCATCAGAAGATGGTTGCTGCTGTTGTTCTTCTTGCTCGCTTTCGCTATCAAATTCGTGAAACATAGACTCAAATGCGTGCCCATGCTGGGGTATCTCAATATCCCATTCATCTTCCTTTTCTTCAGTCTTTTTCTTGTGAGATTGCTTGGATGCTTTTTTCGTCTTTTTACTTTTTTCGTTCTTCTTTTCTTTCTTTTCCTTCTTTTGTTTGTTATCCTTTTTAACTGGATCAGTAACGCCAGCAACCTTGCCAAACTGCATCTCAAATTGCCGTCGCATCATGTCCATTACCGAAACCTCGTCTTCGTTAGCATCACTGTCATCGCCGTCTTCCTCAGATTCTTTTTCTTCTCCATCTTCTTCATCATATTCTTCTTCTAATTCTTTCTTTTCTTGTTTCCTTCGCTTAATTTTAGGTTTTTCTTTCTCGGATTTCTTATCCAAGCCCACGCTACTGGCCTTGCGTTTTTCGCGTCGCCTTTGTTCTTGTTGGTGCAGTTTTTCGCGCACAGATGCCATAGTTTTGCTGTTGGATGGACGCTGCAGTTTCTGTTTAGCCAGCAATTTCTGCTTAAGCTGGAGCGCCGAGCTGAGCCCGGAATCTGAAAGTGTGCTGTAATTTTTAGGGGCCATTGTTGTGTAGATGGATTGTTGATAAGTTTTGAAAAAAAAAATTTTTTACCAGGTCCCAAAAAAAAAAATATTCAGCCTTACCAATATACAAATCTTTAATTTAACTCTCATAAAATTCAATCTCAATCTTTCTTTCAAAATTTTTTTTTTTTTTCAACACAACCTCAATTCCTCCAATCCATTCCATTCCAAACCAGCCCAGGAAGCTGTACAAACTAGAAAAACAATGACCAAGTTCCGAGGTTGCATAGATATTCATAACGGTGTTGTGAAGCAGATTGTTGGTGGGACACTCGATACTGGTTCCCTTGCAACTAACTTTGTTTCCGAACAACCTCCAGCCTACTACGCACAGCTGTACTCGTCGAACAAGGTTGCTGGAACTCACGTCATCAAGCTCGGTCCAGGGTGCGATGATGCTGCTGCTGAGGCTCTTGCGGCATGGCCTGGACAACTACAAGTTGGTGGTGGGATTACAGCCGAGAATGCGGCAGCATGGCTTAATGAAAAACACGCAAGTAAGGTCATTGTGACCTCGTACTTATTCCCAGACAACAAAACGTTAGACCGCAAGCGACTGGAGGCTTTGTTTGAGGCTATTGGTGGGGACCGCGAAAAGCTTATTATTGATCTAAGTTGTCGGCGACGTGCAGACACTGAGACCGGCGAGCCACGATGGTTTGTAGCTACTAACCGGTGGCAGACTATCACCGAGGTCGAGGTCAACAAGGAAACCCTAGACGACCTGGCCAAGTACTGTTCTGAGTTTCTGATTCATGCCGCAGATGTCGAAGGTCTATGTCGGGGAATTGATGAAGACCTTGTACGCAAGCTGGGTGAATGGACTACAATTCCTACCGTGTATGCAGGTGGGGCCAAGAGCATTGATGATCTTGCGCTTGTTGAGAAGCTCAGCAACGGCAAAGTTGACTTGACGTATGGTTCTGCGCTTGACATCTTTGGCGGTAACAAGGTTAAGTTTGATGACTGCATTGCCTGGAACGAAAAGCATTAAATGTGAAATTTGTTTCATTTGTGATATTATACGATTATTCTAAAAAACAAAAAACAAAAAAAAAATTGACCTTCTTAATCATCTATTCTTATTCCTTTCTTTAAAACCAACCACCAGAAGTTGAAGACATATCTTCGGTGCTGCCCCAACCACCTTCATTGTTGCCACCTTCATAACCACCGTAGCCGCCATAACCGCTGCCACCACGGGACCCGTACATGTCCATACCTCCAGCACCACCTTCGCGGTCCACATCAAGATGGTCGCCACCGGGCCCGCCGGGGCCTTGGGGTCCAGCACCACCACCTGCGCCACGGCCGCCCTCGAGCTCCTCTATAGCAAGGACAATGTTTGCCACTTTTTTCATGAGCACGTCCATTCCCTTGAGAACAATATCATTTGGTTTCATGGAGCCGATGGACTCGACATTCAAGTAAAAGCGGTCAGGTTTTGCATTATAGTCGAAAGGATCTGTATCTTTAGGGGGTTCTTCCCAGTCGCAGTTTTTGGATTTGGGCCACTCGGCCTCAGCGCTTTCTTCGTACCAGTAGTCAGTGTGCCGCAGCTTGTTCCAAGGATCGTACTCAAAAGAAATGGCTGAACATGGCGACCACTTTGCGTGTTCTTTGGAAATTCCCTTTTTGGCGATACAACGTACACGTAGCTCTTGATTCTTGCGCAGTTTGCAAATGAGAACACCCTTACCGGCCGGGTCAGAAATCACGGGTCGGCCAACCGGCGAGGAGTCATCACGACGTGCAACTTGTAAGTCACGCGCGTAAAGAGAAAGGGTTTCATCAGTGGTATTTCTTGCGTCGAGTGTCAGCACGACAGAGCACTTATCACAGTATTGGTCACAAGTACAGTTGCGCGTGTATTCGAGTTGCTCAGCATATGTTGACTCAAGTGGGATGAGACCCAGTCTGTGAGAAATAAACTCATCTGCCAACACAGATGTGTTGACTTCAATTTCAACGAGATCGATTGCTATAAAAAAGTAGGAGTTAGATGAGAAGTTGCTGGATTAGAAAGGTTAATAATGGATACGTACCTACTGTGGGGATTTCTGCAATCATGACTCTGCGGATCGAGTTTGCAAGTCTGGAAAGTTAGAGAATGATGATATAAACAAAAGAATCCACCACTTACGCCAGGTCAACATCTGACAAAACAAACTCGACTTCGTCCTTTGCAATGTTTCGGATCGTCACCTTGGGTCCGTCTTCTTCCATTGTTTATGTATTTTTTGTTGTAGCTGTTGTTGTTGTTGTTGGATATTTGGGTGGTGAAAAAAAAAACGCGATGTTTGTATGCAATGAAAAATTGAAATTCTCAGTGCTCTTCTAAAAAAAAACCTAAAGTTACCCGGCCGATTAATGCCCACTACTCCATTTAATTTTTTTTTTTCTCTCCCTCCATAAGACTTTATTTGCTTTTTGAACATTCATACATAAACTACATCTTGATATAAAATGCGAACTACAATCATCACAAACCCATCTACAGGATCAGACCCTTTAGGTTCCGGAAACATTAGCTCACCATCATCTAACAGTTTTGCAGTTTTACTTGAAGACGACGAAGCAGCCCAAGAAAGCAATGGCGAAGAGCAAGAAGAGCAAGCTGATATTGAAGAAAGTTTAACTGAAGCCTCTTTGCTGGAATCAATTAATCAAGGTAATGCTAATGCTACGGAAAGTGTTTTCCAAGCCATTGTGAAAGCGCAGATCTTAAGGAAAAAGGAAAGACGCCGTGCTTTTAAACAAGTAGCTGCAGGGCAATCTGACCGGTTTAATGCTGAGGAAGCTGAAGATCGGCGAGCACTAAGACCGTTTGAGTCCTCCGATGAATTGGATTCTGAAGACAGTGATGAAGATGATTATGACGACTTTTCTGATGACGACTATGATGACTACTTTGATGACGATGAGAGCTACACATACCACAAGGCCCGGACAAGCAGGCCACTGCCGGACTTGCGGTTTGAGCAGTCGTACCGCAAGGCCATTGCAGGGGCAAACGGGGTATGGTGGAAGATTGCATACATTACTGTACGGGATCAAGTTCTCTTCACCCTTTTCCAGGGCTTTTTATGGCAGCTGACACTGGTGGGAATTCGCTCATGGCGCATGACCATGGCTAATAATGGTGGTCAGTGGGGGCAAACATTTGTAGGACGATTGAGTCGCTGGTGGTCGCGAGTCAATAATAACAAGATATAAATTTTTAAAGAGCAAAAAAAAAAATTGTGTTAAATAAAAATTACAAAAAAAGTATGATTTTTTTAATTTTACAACTCAGGTGCAGGACCAAAGCTGTTAGATTGCTGCTGGGGACCGCTGGGGCCACGACGGGTATTGTTATTGCTGAACCCGCCATTGCCTCCGTAACCTCCAGAGTTGGAACCATTTCGGTATCCACCATTACCTCCGTAGCCACCATTGTTATTGGAGTTGTTATTATTGTATCCGCCATTGCCACCGTTATTATTACGATTTCCTCGGTAGCCACCATTACGGTTACCGTTATTGTTGCGATTTCCTCGGTATCCATTGCGGTTTCCACCATTGCCTCCACGGTACACATACTCCTGGCCAAAAGTCTCCATGTTGAGACGGCGCTCATCACCACGACGGCGAGGCTCTTCGTTGCCCTCGAGACGCTCCTTTGTAGTAGAAGAAATATTGTCAAAGAAGGACGTCTTCTTGTCATAAAACGATGACTTGGCCTCAACGGGGATCACAGAAGGTGTTTGGATTCCACTAATTTCTTTGGCCACTTCCTCCTTTGAGAACTTGGCGTTCATTTCCGCAAAATTGAACTCGGTGCTGCCAGCAGCCACGGGACCTGTCGGCACGCGACGCGGAGGATAGGACTGTTGTCGCGTGGTAGAAGGAAGCTGTTGGTTTTGCTGTGGCTGAGAAGGTTGATGCTGTGAAGGTTGAAGTGGTTGCTGGAGCTGAGGTTGTTGCTGAGGTTGAGCCTGTTGTTGTTGTTGCTGCTGCTGCAGAGGTTGTGTGGATACAGAATCAGATTGCTCATTTTCAAGAATCTTTCCCTCAGACTCCTCTTCCTTGGTTCGGGAAGTTTCTTCTTGTTTTGGCTCAGAAGATTGAAAAGCGGGGACAGGTGTTGATGAAACGAATGCAGAGGTGGCTGGAGTAGGAGCTGCAGTAGACACAGGGGGAGGAGGCGACTTTGAGGAAGCAAAAGAAAATGCAGAAGAAGTCTTGTCCACAGGAGCAGAGGTAGTAGTAATAGAAGGACCAGTTACAGGTGGAGGGTTGGGGGTACTAGAAGTAAGGGATCCAGTGAATGATGAAGTTGAAGATGATGGAGGCTGTTGGGGAATTGGAGCAGGGGCATTCCATGAAGAAGAAGCATAAGCACTTTGTGAAGGGAAAGTTTGCTGTGGTGGTCTCTGTGAATAAAAGTTAGCAGTGTTTAAAAAAAGTATTTAAAAAAACATTTGTTAAAGCTTTCAAAATCAGAAGGAAGGCAACGGAAAACATCTCCATGGATTTTGCGCGTCGGAAAAAAAGGTTTACATCCGAAAATATTTCATCATGAAAGCAAAGGTAAAAAATACAGATATAAACATACTTGAGAAGTTATTGCCGGATCAACAAGAGGAGGAGGGGCAGGAATGGGATCTGAGATACTCAAATCCTTTACATCAGATCCTCGAAAAACGATAAATTCGTAAATGTTTTCGCTTGCAGGGAATTCATTTGTGCCACCACGGCGGCCCTCAGTGCCATAACAGCGGACATTGCGTAGAGAGACTGTTGACTCCTTAGAATTGATTTCGTGGAGAACACCGACGTATCTAATGTCGCTATTTGAGATGAGAGAGATGGTTTTGCCTATAAAGTGTGCCATGACCTGAGATTTTAAAATAGAAGGATGGATGGATTGGTAGGTAAGTAGGGGTGAAAAAAAAGTAAATGTGGTGAAGAGAAAAAGGGAAAAAGAAAAAGAGCGAGAAAAAAAGTATTTTAATGGTGGTTTGGCCTCAACAAGCAAAAAAAATAAATTAGTGGTGGGCAACACACCACGGTGGAAAACCAAAATGTAGGATTTTTTTTTAAGTGATTAGAAAACTAACAAGTTAAAAAAAAATTCCAAACCAAAATGGATGAAAATGAAAATTAAAGAAAATCCGCAGATTGGAATTTTCAAAAAAATAATCAAATATGGCTCAAGGCAATTTGAAGCCAAACCAAAATGAATGTAGTTTGAGATGATCTCTATCATTCAAAGATGTAAAACAAAAACCCTGACCTGGGAAGTCTGTTTTAAACCATTATGGGAACCAGATTTTTTAAGTATTGCACATTTCTCATCTAAAAAATGACCATGATCATTAGATAAGATTGAACCCAGATTTTCAAGTAGAGATTGAGTTAAAAGTCCACATTGGAACGTACCCAATTTAAATATAAGAATAATATAAGGTTGAATTTAGAATTAGTATCATTTTTTTTCAAAAGTTTTAATGAAAAAGAGAAAGGAAAAAATATAAAAGATTAAAAAGATTGACTTGCGCGTTCTTTTTAAATTTTAAAAAAAAAAAAATCTGCGAGAAGAATTTTTGGGGGGGAAAAGCAATGCGATTTAGATGGACCGGCAAAAGAAAACAAGAATTTAAGACAGGGTAACCCGTAACCCTTTTAGGTCTTAAACTGGAGAAGAACATATCAACCAAATAACTCCCGTAAGGAATCTTTCAATAAATCTTTCAAACAAGACCAACAAACACTTGGAAGAATCTCTTCAATACCACCAAAAATCAAAAACAACCAGTCTTCATCAACCGTCGACTTTACAATCATAATGACTTCAGTAACACCTTTACGAGCTACGGATCTACTCTATAACAACCATGTTAACCTCGATATTTTGACTGAAGTTTTTTACTCAAACTTCTATTTTGAGTATCTCGCACGGTGGCCCACGCTCTGCTTCAAAACCTCGTCGCCTGCCCCAGATGTAGGTGCTCGCGACGTGTGCACTGGATACATGTTGGGCAAAGTTGAGGGTGCTGGCCATGATTGGCATTCACACATCACAGCTGTCACTGTTGCATGGGACTACCGGTGCATGGGGCTGGCCAAGTACTTGGTGCGCGAGCTTGTGGACCGCTCAGATAATCCACTCAATAATTGTTACTTTATGGACTTGTTTGTGCGAGCTTCAAATCGTTTGGCAATCAACTTATACAAAAATCTGGGCTTTGATGTATTTAGGAGAATTCGTGGTTACTATTCTTCAACAACTGAACCAAGTGAAGATGCATTTGGTGAGTATAATAATAATAATAACAAAAATCAATTAGACTACGGTTAAACTAACCAGCTATTTAGATATGAGGTTACCTTTAAAACGAGATGTCAATCGAAGGTCCCTAGAGGGTGCTAGTGATAAATAATACCATAGCAATAAAATAGAGATAGAACAAGGTTTTTTTTTTTTTTACTAAATGTATCCCAAAGACCGTTAAAAATCGTGCAACACACAAAATCCCATATAGAAAAAATGAACTTTGAAAGTACACTGGCCTTAAGAGGAAGATTAATCTCGTTTGCGTGAAAAAGTGACGTTGCGCATGGAAGAATAAGCACACGTACTAGAGCATAAAAGCAAACTGAACCAAGATATAAAAAAATATAAACTTGAGAAAAGGGTCATCTTTTTTTTGTTTTTTTTATTTATTTTTTTTTCTTCAACTAAACACATACAATTTTATTCCATGCCTGTATTAAAACGTTTACTCGGAGGGGACTAAAAATTAAGTTAGTAAAAAATTGAATATTTCAAAAAAAAAATCAAGAAAATAAGTTATACTTACTGTCAACCTCACCGTTGTTGATAGCATCAATGGTGACGTGAGCGGGCTTGCCGTTGACTCTAGCGCCAACAGACTGGGCAGTACCCAAAATCTCCTTGACAGTGCCGGAGAGCTCCTTGGCAAAGGACTTGTGGCGCATCTGGCGAGCAATGTCAATAATCTCCTCCAGGGGAATGTTACCATTGTGCTTGATGTTCTTCTCTTTCTTTCTGTCTCGTGGGGGCTCCTTGAGGGCAGTGATGACCAAGGAAGAGGCAGCGGGAACAACAGAGACGGTAGCCTGACGGTTCTGGATGGTAAGCTGGACAGTGACACGAATACCCTTGAACTGCTTGGTGGCCTTAGCAATGTCTTCACCAACCTTCTTGGGGGAAAGACCAAGAGGACCAATCTTGGGAGCCAGAGCAGAGGAAGCACCGACTTCACCACCCGTGGCTCTCAGGTAGATGATCTTGATTTCATTAGGGTCAAACTAGAGGGTATTTGTTAGCACAAAAAAAAAATACGTCTTTTAATGACTTCACATATGAAGCTAATTTGGTAAATAACGTCTATGGTATCATACCTTAGGGGCCATTGTGATATATTATCTTCCTGTGGGCAGCTGTTGAGATCCGTACGCTGTGAACTGGGAAAAAGGGGGGAGGCGAAAAAACAGAAGGGAGGAAAAGTGCACAAAATTTTTCGCGCTGGGAGGTGTCAGCGGTGAGTGGGTACCAACCTCTCCCAAATGCCTTTACAGTATGCCTACACTACATATAGGGGGGAGGGACTTGCTTACTTACAGAGAGAGCCTGGCCATACTAGTCAGCAAACTTTGTTACAAGAATATGTTACAACATTGTGAGGCTTGAATTTTTTTTAAAATTTTTTTTCTTATTTGATTTTCTTCTGAGAGTGAAAATTTACTGTGTAATCAAAAAATAGTAAGAGAAAAATATGTTACATTATGTGTTACAATATTGAGCACGTGAATAAGGGTTGTTTATGGGTAAGGGTGCATTTTATTTTTGAGAGGGATGCAACAAGCAGTTTCTAAAGACAGTCACACGGCTGGAAAATAGAGACTAAGGCAGTCTATAGGGCCTAGCCCTAACTTTTGTAATTTTAGTTTTTTCATTTTTTTTCTTATTTTCTTTACACTTTCACTTAATAGTGTTTTGGGTTAACAATCAAGAATTCCTATATATGGATTCTGTAGCATATATTCTACACATGTAATACACATTTTTGAGGAATACAGATGACGTTTGTTGTTAAAGTAGTTTTCAATTCTAATAAAGATGATGATTGCTTAAATTACAGGAATATTTTTATTTTGATATCTTTTCCAATTATTTAAGAACATTCAATGTAAATCACTTTTATTCTGATATTCTGATATTCTGATATTCTGATATTCTGATATTCTGATATTCTGATATTCTGATATTCTGATATTCTGATATTCTGATATTCTGATATTCTGATATTCTGATATTCTGATATACTGATATTCTGGTTTCAATATAGAGTATTATAATTACTTAACTGAATGATGGGGGAGGGAGAATGTCAATTTTTTTTTGTTTTACCTGATTTAGATAGTTTAATACGCCGCACTTTTAATACTATCAAATGAGTATGGTCAACTTTTTTTTTTTTTTTTTTTCCGACTGAAGAGATTCGTCTCCGAGGTTCTTGATACACCTAAGCCAAAAAGTTCTGTGCAGGAAAGACAAAATGTTAGACATCAATTTCAAGTATAATGTGTGTTATCTATTTCATAATAATACACACAACTATAGGATCGTTAAAGAAGAAGTTTTTTTTTAATCCCCATTTATTTTTTTTTATTCTCTTGAACCAAATCAAAGGGGGTTTCAATTCGAAGTAGTGTCTTAGAAAAAGACCGGAGTTTTTTTTTTTTTTTTTTTTTTTTCAAGTCTGACTAGTTTAACTCCCCTCACATATATATATATATATATATATAATGCTTGATTGATTGCTTGTTTTATCTGCATTCATATTAAGTTTAAAAGTCTGCTTGTAATATTTTTATCCCCGCCATTTCATTATTATCAAAACCATCATCATAAGAAAAAAAAATGCCCAGAAAAAAAATTAAAAAAAAATTCATTCCATTTAACCTTTTTAACTTAAAAAAGGGTTTTCTTAAGCTGCCATTTTAAATTCCCCAAGGTTTAGGGTTCTAATCCCATACATTTTCTTCTTTATCCCCGCCAGTTTCCCCGCGCTTTTTTTTTTCTCCACACACACACAAACATCACAAACACACATTCAAGCTAAGCACCGGCCCCTCCTCCAAACTGTTCCGAGCAAGCCGCCCGCGGAGATTCAAGCACTTTTCACCGAACGGTCTCAAGGAATGCTTTTTTTTTTGCCATTATAGGCTACTTGTAATTGTAAAATAATATTAATAAATTGTAGCACAAATACATTTATTTTCATTTTTTTTTTTTGATAAAATCTGGGCGATATGGAATGAATCCTGCGATAAAACGTGGGCCTTTTCACAAATATTTACTGCAATTATGATGCGCGGGGTCCTTTAGGCTGGTTTTTCTAATAATAATAATAATAGTAATAGAAGAAAAAAAAAGCAGCCAGTCGGGGGTTGACCGGTCGGTTTTTTTTTTTTCATTTCATTTTATTTAAAATAAAACTTAAGCTTAATGGATGAGAAAAATATTTTTTTTTTTTTTTTTTTTTGCGGAGAAGCCAGAAGGAAAAATAAAAATTTCAAAGGTCTCGGTGAGATGGTCATTCTTCTCAAGGTATAAGTTATAAGGCTTATATTTACTTTCTCCCCATATTTATCAATAACTGCCGAGGCTTCTGCGGCGGCGATGAGAGCCCCTCCCACCGGGATACTCCAGCCAAAAATCAAAGAAGCTTGCAACAAAAAGATTCCATTCAGGTCTGACCAAACACCAATACTGCAAAAAAAAAAAATGAATTGGAAAAATTGCCTAAAGATAATCTAATGACTGTCATATTCTAGTTACTTTAATAAAAAAAACAAAAGCAGAAACTAACAATGCTGTTATAGAGGAAAGAATCAAAACTTATTAAGAATAAGCCCGGAGGGTTTTTTTTATGGTTTAGAAATATCCCGGTGAAATGGCTTTCTCCCTTTTTTTTTTTTTTTTTTTAGGTTGTGCCTATACAAACAGCCTTTATTAAAATACACCACACAACTACACCTACACCTACCACTACCACTATACTATTTTATTTTCATATATAAACTCAGCAGGTCCCCCCGCTTCCTCCCTCTTTTTTTTTTTTTTTTTTTCCTAACCTTTTTTTTTCTCCCCAGGTTTTTATATACATACATTTCATAATTCAACAGACAAAAATCTGTTTATATTCTTGTTCAAATAATCACATTAATAGATTAAATTAAATAAATCCTCCGCTTGGCCTACTATTGTCACCTATAAACACCCCTCATACAGCTCTCGTCATCTGCTCACGCATCATTTACATTTACTACCCCATAACCATATTTAAAACACAAAACACACATCACATTTAAACAATGCCCGCACACTCACAAGAACTTACTCCCTGGGGAAAGGCACTGGCAGGTGCTACCGGTGCTGTCATTGCAAACGTCATAGTATATCCTCTCGACATGTATGTACAATTATCAAACACATTTTCTTTAACCATTATTTACTAACTTATTAAATCACAGAGTAAAGACCAGACTTCAGGTTCAAATTAAGCCCCAGAAAAAGACAAAGCAAGGCGAAGAAGACATAGAGGCTCAAGAAGAAAAGACACAAGAGTATGTTTTTTTTTTATTTTATATTATACAATCTCTATACCTCATCTCAAAGGCTTTCAAGGCATCGTGCATATATACATCGGTCCAAATATATGATGTGCAACAGCAAAAAGAAACATCAAAAATAAAACTGTGGCTTGTGACATCTAACTGCAAGATACCCGTTAGAAAGAAGAGTCAACAACAACTTTTTTTTTTGGAGCATTCTGGCCCCCTAGTGGAATTCATTATTTTCTTTTGATAAAATATTTGGATTTTTCCTTTTTTTTTTTTTTTTTTTTTTTAAGAATTGGGACCTTTTCTTTCCAGCAACTCTTATCAAAATTTTCATGTCCAATTCATCGGCACTTTTTTTTTATCTCCCGGTACCTGCGAATCGCCGAACCACACGTGATTCCCCACCTTTTTCTTATGTAATCGATCTTGGTTAAATGAATCCGAGGCCATTTCATAAGAACCTTTTGTTCATTCAAAAGAATCTCCCTAAACCTTTAAAAATAATCAAGGTTCTTAAATACCCCAATCTTGGTCCCTGAATTTTCAATCAGTGCCCTATTGCTTTTTTTTTTTTTATTTATTTCCACCCCCCATCTTGGTATTGCTGTACTCTCGCATATAATTACCGAGCCGATACCACTTGCAAGCCGCACCTTTTTCACGTTTCCAACCGAATCTGCCGAGCCTGCCGAGGATGTTTTTTTTTTTTTGCCATTCCCCACGTATACTTTTATAGTCATACTAACTTGTTATTTAAATTTTTTTTCTATAGAGAACATTATACAGGCGCACTCGATGTGATTCAAAAGATTTACGCTAAGAAGGGCGTTCTCGGACTTTACTCTGGACTCGCTGGAACAATTCTCGGCGTCGCTTCAACCAACTTTGCCTACTTTTATTGGTACGGCCTGATCCGCAACACTTACACCTCTAAGCGCGAATTGCGTGCGCGGGCTCGCGGCGAGCCTGCTCCTGGCGATCTCTCCACTGCCGTTGAGCTCGCTCTCGGTGCACTTGCAGGTGCACTTGCCCAGCTCTTTACTATCCCTATTTCCGTGGTCACCACGCGCCAGCAAACTTCGACGCAACCTGAGTCACTCGTCCAAACAGCGCGCAGCGTTGTTGCCCAAGACGGTGTCTCTGGTCTTTGGCGCGGTCTCAAGGCTTCTCTTGTCCTCGTCATCAACCCCTCCATCACTTACGGCTCCTACGAGCGTCTCAAAAACCTGCTGTTCCACGGTAAATCCCACCTTAAGCCTGGTGAGAACTTCCTCCTCGGTGCTCTCTCCAAGTCTATGGCCACCATTGCCACTCAACCCTTAATCATCTCTAAAGTCATGCAACAATCTGGTGGCGGCGGAAAGAACAAGGATGACAAGAAGTTTAATAGCTTTGTCGATGCGCTGGTATACCTTGCTAAGAATGAAGGTCTTGCCGGTCTCTTCAAGGGCATTGGCCCACAAATCACAAAGGGAATTTTGGTCCAGGGCCTGCTCTTTATGTTCAAGGACCAGGTTGAGCTGCTCATTGTGCTCCTCATTCGTCTTGTTCGCAAGCGTCGTGTCATTGCTCTGCCAGCCTAAAATATCTATTCTTATATATATAAATATATATACTTAAAAAAAAAATACATTGTTTTCTCCAAAAAATAGGCTTCTATAATGTCTTTTTTAAACAAAATACTCAATCACTCGTCTATCGACTCCACCAGATATAACAATTGGCGTGGGCTTATCAGTTGCATTCTCTGCAGGAAGCTCCCATACATCCAAATCACGTACCTTATCCGTATGTCGAGCATCAGACCCTGAGTCCGCGCGGCCCAATTCTACTACAACTGTTCCAGTCTCAATCTCAATTCCGCGTACTATTCCATCATCACCCGTCACCCACACGCCGTTACCGTCAGTACTCCAGCGCACGCGCGGCATTGAAAACTTGTCTTGCGGCGCATGTGCCTGGATATTGTGCAGCACCAGATTGTTCATATTGCGTCGGCGCATCTCCTCCACTTCCTTGCTCTCGTGAACGTAATATGGATCCGAGTTCTCACAAACATTTCCTTGCGCAGCAGCAACAGCAGCTTCCCCATCGTCAATGGCCTCAAGTCCAAGCTGCCCGATAATTACGCGCATGTGTGGTGTGTGTGATGTCGCAACAGCATATCGGCCACTTCCATCGGGTGCAATGGCCAATGCCATAGGACTAAACGCAACAAATGTGGATGCATATTCCGCATCAAGCAAATTGGTCTTGGATAAAATTCGTAGAGCATCGCGGTCTCCAGAATTCATGTCTCCATCTTCGACATCCAAATAATACAATCGTGTCGAGTCTTGCACACACCCAAGCAGCACTAGTCGTCCGGCAAGAGGTCCTGCACTGGCAGGTAACCGGGCAAACTCAACGACCGTAGGAATTTGCAAAAACTTGTGCGACCCGACTAATGTAAACTCAACTTTTACATCTTCTCCGTCTCCCTTTACGCTTAGCCGGTATACCTTGATGAACCCATCGTACCCAGCAGATGCCAAAAGTCCAGACTTGGGGTCAAAAGTGGTTGCGTTTACAAAACGCGCGTGAGCTCTCTCGGCTCCCACACATAAGCCTGTGCCCATGTGTGTGACGACATGTCGGCCATCCATTCCAGATGTGAGTACAAGTGCTCCTCCTAATGGCACGATGCAGCGCACCGCGGCTCCAGCACCATGCACACCATGCCACACGTGCACAAGGGCACTTTTTTCATCGCCAGCACCACTACTACTACTGCTGCTGCTGCTGCTACTACTATTACTACTGCCAGCCTTTTCTTTTTGTTGTGATTGGAGTCTTCGTGTGGCATCGTAACAGCGCAGCGACTTGTCTGAGCCTGATGCAAGAACACATACGTCGGGGAACTTCGGTCCCGGGTGTCCACTGAAAAAGGGCGAGGAAATTTCTGTTTTAAATGAAATAATTTTGACGGCTGTCACAATCCCGAGAGTATCAAAGGGAGTCACAAGCTGTGTGGCTGCAAAAGATGTGAGTGGGTATTCTGAGGGCTTGCGTGCAGCATCATAGTAGAATCGTTTGGCAGGGTCGATGGGTGTATGGGTAGCTGCGTGCGAGTTAAAAACGGGCTGAGCCTTGAGATACTTTTCATATTCATTGACAATTCTTAATAAAAATAAGTATTAGAAAAAAATCTTTAAGAGGTTGTTTACTTACACTTCAAGTCGTTCATCGTCGTGGACTACAGATGTATCGATTTCATGACTCAAATCACTCGTGAAGGCTTTCAAAGTCGCGTCGTACCCCCGTTCGCGCAAATACTTTTCAATAAGTGCATCAATTTTCGCACTCAGATGCTGGTTATAAATTAGCCCGGTGTTTGAGTTGCTCATGTATGATTTCCACTGGCTCTTAAAGGCTATTAAGTTAGTTTGGGACTAAGTAAAGGATTGTAATTGCTTTGAATCGGGTGGATTGTTTTTTTGCAGTATTTTATTTTATTATAATTTTTTTTAATTTTTTTAATTTTTTTTTGGTTAGATTGCACTGAAAAAAGTAATAAAAAAACGTGACTGGGGAAAGCCGCAGTGCAGCTCAATAAGCAGCCACAACGCATTGTGGGGGATTTATCAAACAAAAAAAGGACCTTAAAAAGGCTCGGAACTTCATTCATGTTTTTTTCTGATTGAATAAATGAATGAGTTATAATAATATATAAAAATTTACGTTTTTTCTACTAAATTATTATTTCGATATGAACAAATTTGAATATGTTTATTAATTGTAAAGCTATTTTGAATAATTACTAATAAAACTATTGTCTCTAGCAAGGCTGAAGACAAACCATTGAACTTGATTTTTTTGAGAAAAATGCTGGATGGTAAATGATTAACAATAAGAACACTTTTAATTTGATTAAAAACCAAATACAAATTTATTTAATTATTAATGTTTTAATTTCTTAAAAAACAACCTGAGATAATTGTATTGTAACAAAGTAAGTATGATATTAGTTTTAATGATGAATAAACCTTTTGAGTATTTGGGCAATAATAATAGGGTGTTCATTTTCTTGTAAAGAATATGATATTAAAACTTCTTCCTCAAAAAGTTTTTTTGCAATAAAAGCATTTTGGGAAATACAATGGGCTTACATAAGAGGTTTAATTGGTAATCTGCAGTTATTAATATCCACAAACAAGATACGTTATCATATGCAGGGCCTTTTCCGTTAGATCTTCATTGTGATGTTAACAAAAGTTACATTGTTAATTATTTCTCTTATAAACTGCCCTGATGACCTACATTTTTTTTAATAATATAATACAAATTTTGCCATTTGCTTAACTAACTCATTAGATTTAAACTTTAGTGCTGTTCCAAGAATTACTATTGAATTTAAAAGTTAAGTCAATAAGAAGACCCCAAGAGGTAACCGTAGTATACCAGATTGATCGATACGATTAAAATAGAATAGAATTTATAAGTGGGAAAGTTGGGAATTAGGCTATCGCAGGTGTTGCTAAGAATCTTATTTACCGAGGTTTCCTGGAATTTTTTGTAGCCATGTTCATGCAATACTTAAAAGAGAACTTCGTTCATAAGTTACATAATGTAGAGGCAATCTTTATCACAGGTGATTATTTATTCAGGGAGCTTGAACTGGGACTTTGGGTTGTGCTTGTTGTACACAGTATTTTTTTTTTTTTTTTTTTTTTTGGTTTTAGGAATTGAGATAAAGAGTAGGAATGAAATGTACAAATCTTTTTCATTTTTAGCACAGTTGAAAGATGAAAAGGTTACATATATATCAACGTGAAGTACAAAAAAATATCTTTTATTTGATGAATAGTTAACAGTTTGATGTATTCGAAACTTTTTATAGGGAAACTTAGCCATTTACTTGTACAGAAGGAGGGATGAATAATAATGGTTAATAAAAAGTTCCATCCATAAATACCCGCATGAAAATATAAGCTTAACGGCGTATAATTTTCGAGCAGCAAATGATTAAAATTAAACGTTTATTAATCATTATAATGAAAAAAAGAAGGTTGAAAAAAACTTTATAAAGATAACAAGTGGTTTAGAAGAATCCAGAGATTATTTGACTTAATTGGGGGGTATTTTTAAAATGAAAATGCCAATAAGATCTCTGTTTGCAGAATTACAAGCAATTGCCTTTACAATTAAATTAATAGTTTTTAAATAATTTATTAGACGTAAATTACACCTCCATTAACTCATATTTATATAAAATATAATGTTCTTCAGATTGTTTCCAAATCCTTTTTTATTATTCTTTTTTGTCTTGCCTATATTTCAGATCCATCTCTTCCCCCATATTTTGAAAATACGCAAGGCTGAACAAAAAAAAGGTCTCTCATCAACAAGCCAAGTGCTGCTGTGTCTTGCTTAAAGCAGATACTGAGGCTCAAATTTATACCTTGTAAAGGCAGTCAAGAAAGCCAGCAGCCAAACGGTCTGCCACACCCACAGTCTTGACACTCCCTGCAACACCGTAGAGCACGGTAGTATCGCTCTTGGAGCTTTCCGGAGTGATATTGCTTTCCTTGAGCTCACAGACCGTAGCCTTAAGATCAGTAAGAAACTCATCGACAACGGGGACTGTCAAACGGGTAACTGCAATGTGAATGGCTGCGGGTCTTTGCAGGGCATTGAGATGCCAACCCTTCTTGTTCATATGATCGGCCAGGGCATAGACAGACACGGCAGACGACTTGAACGACACCACAGAGCCAAGAGGCTCCCCAATGACGTCGAGCAGGTCCTTGAGATCTGGGTCTTCACGCACAAAAGACTTGATACGACGAGCAGCCCCGACAATCTCGCGACACGACTCAGTGTAGCCCTTTTCGCCGATAGCCATCAGGGTTGCCCAGCAGCCAACCATAAGGGCACCTGGACGGGATCCAGCCAAAGTTGGAGAAGCGTAGAGACCACCAGTCCACTTTGCAGTGATGTAGTACTGGTACTGACGCATTTCGTTTGTGCGGTACATGATGATGGAAGAACCCTTGGGAGCAAAGCCGTACTTATGAGTGTCGCAGGAAATGGAAGTGACACCGGGGACTCTAAAGTCAAAGAGCGGGACGCCCTTACCAAAGCCAGCCTTGTCCAAGAAGGGGACAATAAAGGAGCCGAGGCAGGCGTCGACGTGGAGAGGAATTTTATAGCGCAGGGCTAGTTTACTAAGACCCTCGATATTGTCAATGATGCCGTGGGGGAAGTTAGGGGCAGAGCCGGCAAGCAAGACGGTATTTTTATTGATGAGACGCTTGACAGCCTTAAGATCGACCTGGAAGGTTTTAGGGTCTAGAGGAGCATGGATGAGCTTCATTTTAAAGTAGTAAGCGGCCTTGTCGAAACCAGCGTGAATGGTTTCTGGGGCAATGATTTCGGGTTCTGTGATTCCACGCTCACGGAAGGCCTTTTCACGAGCGGCGAGACATGCGAGGAGCAGGGATTCAGTGCCACCAGAGGTGGAAGTACCTTCTGCGCCCTTTGGGGCATTGTAAAGTTTAAGAACCATTGCCACGACTTCTGACTCCATTTTGCGGACAGCGGGGAACACGTCAGGATGAAGTTGGTTTGCGACTGAGTAGAGAGAGTAAGCCTTAGATTGAATTTTTAAAATATCCTGGCCACCGTGGTAGACGGCACCCGAGACTCTACCTTCTTCCCATTTGGTGTGTTTCATTTGGGTATTTCTAATTAGGTTAGAAGAGAATAAGGATATTTATGATTGAGCACATACTTTTCGAGTTCCTGGGTAACTCTGTCCGGAGACCAACCGGACTCTGGGAGTTTAGTATAATAGGTGAGAGAGCGGTCAATGAGATCATCTTCAATTTTGTCAAGGACTTTGGTGACTTCCTGGTCGACTTTCTTCTTGACAAAGGGGATTTGCTGGAACTTTGTAAAGAAGTAAGTTGCTATGGAGTGCCATATCAGCTGAAGGAATGAATGATTGTTAGTTACGAGGGCTTTTTTTTTGTTGGGATATTGGAAATTCTTCACATACCAGAAAAGTACCAATTGGCCCGTACCTCCAAACATGTCCCAAGGCTTTATTGAAGTATTTTACGGCAAGACTTTTAGGGTTAGTGAGAGGGTTTCTAGAGTGTAGATTTTGAGAGGACATACTAGGCAAAAACTAGATCGCGGAATCTTGGAGATGTTAGAAATAGAGAATTTCAAGGTAAAATAAAGAGAAACGTACCGCTCAAAAGGTGAAGCATTTTCATAGTAAGTGAGAAACTGCTTTGTCAAAGGCTGGTTAAGTAGTTCTACAGCCAGAGGATGCTGGAGCGCAATGTCGAGATACTCATGGGCCTTTTGGATGGCTGCACAATCTGAGTTCGAAGAAAGCAATGTCATTGGGAATGGAATGGAATAAAATAAAACTAAAGGAATTAGAAATACTTTATAAAGTTTTAATATTAAAAAAAAAAAAAAAAGATTAAAATGGGGGGCAGGAAGAAGGGATTTTATGTCCCGTCAAAAAGATTGCGCGCTATTTTTTTTTTTTAATATTATTATTGTTATTATTATTATGGCTGACTGAGGACTTAATTATTGGGATTTCATTGCAAACCAACGGCGGCGCTCACCGTCACCCAGTCGGTGGAAGAGGTTCTCGGAAAACAACGCCGAGCAGACCTATTATGCCCTTGTTACAATTCTAGATACGGCTGTTGTAATTATTGTCATATAATTGTAATTGTAACATCAGGGTTAGTTGCATTCATTTTTCAGCTTTTTTGTTTTTGTTTTTTTTTAATACATTCCCAAAATGACTTTATCCAAAACAATCCCAAACATCTAACCCATCAAAATTGTTTGAGATGATGGAAAAAAATACAAATACACCGGCCCCAGGTCATCCAGGCTACGCGGAAATTCCGGGCCATGGATCCAAGGGATCTGCATCAAAAAGAAGGAAAACTGCAGACTCAAAGACTAGTAACACAGCATCATCAACATCATCAACATCATCAACATCATCAACATCTGCATCATTAGCAACAATAGATATGACTGTTTCATCCCCTGGGGTGTCTGGAGGACCCACCATACAACGTCGATCTACACCCAATCCTGGAGCCTCTGGAGGTTCCTCAGGCACTGGTCGACGACGAGGTCCTTCTGCAGCTGCTACAGCAGCAGCGGCTGCAGCAAAGTTTGCAGAACCTATTCTTCAATTCCCAGTCCGCATCAACCCCCCACCACCACAACCCCAAGATGCAGGAATCATCCCGCATGCCCCGCACCTGGTCCCCGCGTCTTTCGACGAGATTGCACGTCATCCTCTCGTGAAACCGACACCAGAATTAAGAGAAGCCATTAGTGGAGTGGTAGGAATGGTATTAGGGGGAGTAGTAGGAGGAGGCATTAATGACACGCCTGTGTACTCTCCGCGACCGATTATGGGTGGATCGACAGTAAACACCATGGGCGGGGCCGTTGCAGCAGCATTGGCCACGGGCCCATTGTTGGCACAGATTCAACGGCCTGGATCAGCGTTTAGTACGGGCACCGCAACACCCAATGCAAGTAGTAGCCGGGCGTCTTCCAAAGAGGGGACACCCGATGCAACAGCAGCAACGAGTATGACAGAAAAAAGCAATGATAATAAACGCGCGTTATTATACTATACAGACGACCATCCACAGAATCGTCGAGGGTTCCGATACACACACTGCAAAGCAGTGGGGTCTGCGCTGCCGGCATTACAATACACAGCTATTGAGGTTCCACCATATGCTGCTCGGGCGTCTTATTTTGATCGGTCGCCGAGCGTTGCACTTTCTAAAGATGCGATGACGGTGTCGACGTTGCGGGGGTTTAGCACAGCTCGGGCCAATGTTTTTGTGCGAGAAGGTCACTGGTACTACGAGACTCGGATTCTACACGGCGGGGAAAGTAAGGCTGTGACAGGTGGGGGGTCTGGTACAGCGGCGACATTTGTACCTAATGGGGCAGGAGGCATGAGTGATACCACGGGGACTGGAACAAGCACGGGGGAAAGCACGCCGGACGTGTTTTGGGGGGATGGGAAAGCGGCGGAGGCAGCGGCACGGACACGCGCTCAACGTCTTGCAGCAGGAGGACACGTACGGCTGGGGCTAGCCCGACGAGAGGCATGTTTACAGGCTCCCGTTGGGTTTGATGGGTATGGTTATGGACTACGGGACACGACGGGGGAAGCGGTTCATTTTTCACGGCCGCGGCGGTTTGGAAAGGGGGATGGAGTGATGAGTGAGGAAGGGTTTGGTGCTGGGGATGTGATTGGATTACATGTTTATTTACCGCCTATTGAAAGTTATATGGGGAAACTACGTGCGCGGGATGGTAAGGCTGCGACATTGTCATATGGGACAGTGAGCCGGGACCGGATTCCAATTAAGTATAAGGGGCAGTTATATTTTGAGTTGCTTGAGTATCAGCCAGTGAAGGCGATGGAGGACATGATATTTTCCAATAAGCGGGGGCCTAATGGGGGGATTATTGAAGAGGAAGGTGGAGTGGAAGTTGGAGGAACAGCAATAGGACATGAAGAGTTTTTAGAAACGATACCTGGGTCATATATTGATGTGTATAAGAATGGAAGGTATTTGGGGAGGGCGTTTACAGATCTTAAATCATTTATGCCGCCGAGCTCGAAGCATGGTAGGAATAAGGATTTGGCGCCTCCAACGGCAGTAACAAAGGGGAATGAAGGGATTGGGACTGGGACTGGAGGTGAAGGGACCGGATGTGAAGGGACAGGAGATGAAGGATCAGTTTTTCCACTACTGCCGTTGCCAGCACCAGCACCGGCACCAGCACCAGCACCGGCACCTATAGTTTCTCGACGAAACAACAATAATAATATTCGCAAGAAGATTTTTTCACCTGATGATGGGCAGTTGGGGTATTATCCGGCGATTTCAGTATTTAAGGGAGGAATGGCACAGTTTAATTTTGGTCCACATTTTGATTGTTTACCCGATGAGATTAGAGCACGGATGGAATATTCCAAATGTTCAAGGTGGGGTGGAGGGGAAGATATAATAGTTGGAGAAGAGGAGGTGATTCGGCCAATGTGTGAGAGATATGATGAGCAAATTGCTGAAGATATTGTGTATGATGTGATTGATGAGATTGAGTTTTCATTACAGGAGTGAATGGTTATTATTATTATTATTATTATTATTATTATTGTTATATTATGATATTTATAAAGCAAATAAAGCAAATTTAAAAGCCAATAGGTTGGAAAGAAGATATAGGAGTTTGACATTCACGACACTCTGTGGATGGGGCCATTTCTATAAGACCTTCGTAACAATATTTATGGTATCTTGAGTTACATTGAGGAGTAGGACATGAGCATCCAATAGTCCATATTTGGGAGCATCCTGAGCAGTAACGAACAGTTGGGTCAGCACCTTCTGGATCAAAAGTTGAACGGATATAAGTATCTAATTCAGCCAGGGCTCTTGTTGAGAGAGTATAAGTGTATTCAGCTTGTGTTTGGGAGAGTTGTTTAGATAATGGGACAATGACAAACCATCCTAAAGAGACTAAGTTTTTAATTTTGGCAAGACCTTGAGCAGCTGTGAGTGTTGTTTTATTATTTGCATCTTTAGGGTAAGCTTGAACGATATCTGCGAGGTTTACTGCAAAATTATTTAATTGGAAGGATGATGAGGAAAATATTTTATGAAGGATATTTTTAAAATGATCAATTTCTGCTGGTGTAAGAGTAGTTGCGAGTTTAGTTCCTGCAGAAGAGTGCATATTAACAAATGATACACATAGTTGACCTGATTCTTGGTCACGAGTAATTTTAGTAGCAAAGGAGAAATCTCCTAATTGTTTATTAATAGTTTCTAGAACTGGTTGGATTAAGTGTTTTTCACACATATCATGGTCGATGGCAAAACGAACGGGTTCAGCATCTGGGTTTGTGGCAATATCGTGGTAGCCTATACTTTGAAGGTATGTATGATTTGTTTTTGCAAGAGCAGAAGCTACTTGTGAGAGGGGCATACATCGGTTACTGATGATGATTTGGAGGATAGTTTGTGTGATTGCAGGGTAAATTTGAGGTTCGAAAACGTCTGACATTGTTGTGTGTGTGTGTGTGTGTCTATATATGTTTGGTGATATTGAGAATGGAGGTTTTGAAAAAAAAAATAAAAATAAACAAAAATAAAAATAAAAAAAATAAAATAAAAAAATAAAAAAACGCGTAAAAACGCGACACGAAATAAATGGGTATTATTATTACAACATGTATTACAATATATATATATATATATATAAATTACCCTACCCCATTAAAAAATAAATAAAAAAAAAAGCCCATTTTTAGAATTTATTTTTTTTATTTTTTTTATTTTTTTTATTTATTTTTTATGGGTTGCTGCTTGCCATTCGGTCTGCCGGTGCAGCGCACTCCTTTTTTTTTTTTTTTTTTTTTTTTTTGGGGTGGTGGTGGTGGTGGTGGCTTCATTTTTTTTTTTTTTTTTTTTTTTTTTTTTTGGACTTGTTTTAGAGATTAGAAGTTTCTAGGCGTCTTCCAATCTTTTTTTTTTAATATTTAAATTTTAATTTTTGATAGATAGAATAATAATAATAATAATAATAATAAGGTGATTTGTCAATTTTTATTTTTATTTTTATTTTTATTTTTTTTTAATTTTTATTTGAATTGAACTTACAACTTTTCTTTTCTATTTAAGTCGCTATGCTGTGTTGTTGTTGTTGTTCTGTCACTAAAAAGCTATATATAAAATCTAATCCTTCCGTTACCCGGCAAGATAATTCCCCGGGATCTCACGTGATTGACATGTGTGTGTGTGTGTGCCCCTCCTCCAAGTACGAAAAATGGGAGGGGGGGTTTTTTTTTTTTTATTTTTATTTATTTAATTTATTTTTATTTATTTATTTTTTTATTTTTATTTTTTTATTTTAATTTTTGCGGGGAAAAGCCTTCCCTACAAATTTGTTTGTCTGTTTGTCTGCCTGTCTGCCTGTCTGCCTGTCTTTTTTTTACTTTTTACACAATCATCACAACCACCAAACCCAATTCGTACAGCCCATTGGTTACCTCTTTGCTTTCCTATCCTATAAATACAGCCTGATTTCCCACCATTTCATTATTTTATTTTTTTTATTTCTTTCTTTCTTTCTTCTTTTTTTTTATTTTTTATTCTTTTTCTTTTCCTATCTAACTTTTTATTTTTTTATTAAAAAATTCTTTTAAATCAACCTTTAAAATCCACTATATACAAAAAAAAAAAACTTCTATCTTATCTCAAGTATGTATAATAATAATAATAATAATAATAATAATAATAATGACGATAATAATGATGATGATAATGATGATGATCCACTTAAAATACCCTTTTTTTTTTTTTTATTTTTTTTTTGCCTTCTCTTATCTAACAATAATATATTTCTTTTTCCACTAGAATGGGTGTCACTGATGTTCTCTCTAGAAAGTCCGGCGTCATTGTCGGCGATGACGTTCGCAAGCTCTTTGAGTACGCACAAGCACACAAGTTTGCTATCCCAGCCGTCAACATTACCTCTTCTTCTACCGTCGTTGCCGTCCTCGAGGCTGCCCGCGATGCAAAGTCCCCCGTCATTCTCCAGGCTTCCCAAGGTGGTTCCGCCTTTTTCGCCGGTAAGGGTGTCGCAAACAAGAACCAAGAAGCTTCCGTTGCTGGTGCCGTTGCCGCTGCCCACTACATTCGCTCCATTGCTCCTACCTACGGCATCCCCGTCGTTCTTCACACTGACCACTGCGCCCACAAGCTCCTCCCTTGGCTCGATGGCATGCTCGAGGCCGATGAGGCTTACTTTAAGGAGCACGGCGAGCCCCTCTTCTCTTCTCACATGATTGATCTCTCTGAGGAACCCCATGAGGAAAACATTGCCACCACTAAGAAGTACTTTGAGCGTGCTGCCAAGATGAACCAATGGCTCGAGATGGAAATCGGTATCACTGGTGGTGAGGAAGATGGTGTTGATAACTCTGGTGTTGAGTCTTCTAAGCTCTACACTCAACCCAACGAGGTCTTTGCCGTCTACGAGGCTCTTTCCCCTGTTTCCCCCAACTTTTCTATTGCCGCTGCCTTTGGCAATGTCCACGGTGTTTACAAGCCCGGTAACGTTAAGCTCCACCCTGAGCTTCTTGGTAAGCACCAGGCTTATGCTAAGGAGCAGCTCAAGAGCGACTCTGACAAGCCCCTGTTTTTGGTTTTCCACGGTGGTTCCGGTTCTACCAAGGAGGAGTTTGAAATTGCCATTAGCTACGGTGTCGTCAAGGTCAACATTGACACTGACACTCAGTACGCCTACCTCACTGGTATTAGAGACTTTATTCTCAACAAGAAGGATTACCTCCTGACTCAAGTCGGCAACCCTGAGGGAGACGATAAGCCCAATAAGAAGTACTTTGACCCCCGTGTTTGGGTCCGTGAAGGTGAGAAGACCATGTCTGCTCGTGTCAAGGAGGCTCTTGAGTTTTTCAACACTGCTGGCCAGCTTTAAATTTAGGGAAATGTTTTATATATATATATATTTTTTTTTGTAAAAAATTTGAATAAAAATTGTGAATTGAATTTTTTTTTTTTTTTTTTTTTTTTGCTTGCTTGAATGATTGCTTGCTTTATTTCTTTTATATTTTCATTTTATGAATTGAGTTGCGTGGTTAACTGATTTAAGGTTTCTGTAAGGCGGACGGTGGTGGCAACAACAATTAATGTGATGAGTATAAAAAGGCTCGGAATTCCCACCTTTTTTTTTTTTCTTCCACTTACTTCCTTTATATATATATATATTTCTCATCATCATCCATTTTATCAAAAAAAAAAAAAAAAAAGCATTTTTAATAACATAAAATATATTCATACATACCTATCTTTAGAAACAATGACTCTCTACTATACTTTAGTATGTTCTTCCATCAATTGCCTTCAAATCATTTCATTTTAACCTTTCTTTCAATAGGTTTTTGTCCTTTTGGTAGCTGAAATGTTTAGCTTTTTTGTACTTGTGGCCCCCCTCCCCAATGCAGCTCGTCGCAAACTACTTACTTTTTTGGCTGAATCGCCTCTAATCAAATCAGTCCAAACCTCTCTCAAATTTACCTTTGTAGCAATTCTAATTCTTTTTGTCGATTCTGTCAATAGAGTTTACCGTGTACAAACAGAATTGGCTGCTGCTCATGAATCAGTGGTTGGTTCAATGGGAGCTATGACTGATCGTTCAGAAATTCAAGCACGAAGATTTTATGCTCAACGTAACATGTACCTTTGTGGCTTTACCCTCTTTTTATCTCTCATTCTTACCCGCACTTATACCCTCGTCTTAGACCTGACAATTGCTAAAGATAAACTTACAACTTCTGACGGTGATTCTGCTCAGGTCCAGAAGCTTAAACAAATTCTGGCGCAAAAGGAAAAGGATATCGAAGCTCTTAAGAAACAGTCACAAGGCCTTTCCAAAGAATATTTTAAGGTCTCTGATGAACTTAATGAAAAAACAGGAGTTACTTCTGCAGACAAGAAGTTGGATTAATTGTATAGTAATTTATTTATTTAATAAATATATATATATATATATAAAATAAAATAAAATATAATATAAAATAAAATAAAAATTTTCAAATCCTAACCATTAATGGCATCTTCTGGTTGACATCCAGTGTTACTGTTAGAATATGCATTACTCTTGTGCTTGGGTGTAAAATCAAACCCTTGACCAGCAGGCCCCAAATACATTTCAGTCAACTTGATCCAGTCCCGGTAATCAGAAGATCCAAGCAATGTCTCCACCTCATCTCGACCTTGCCATGGTGGTGGTCGGTCATTAATCCGTGGAGGCAAATGTGCTAAAATTCCCACAGGTACATACCGGTGAGTAAAAGACAAAAACTCACACATATATCTGCGAGTCAAATTCACTCCATACTCATCACTACCCCAATGCTCCAACCCAAACTCAGCATATTTTTGTAATAATTCCAATCTCTGAGTCCCAGATTTGTCCAAATGCTGCTTAGCTTCAATCTCTTCAAAAATCCATGGTTTAATAAGTGCACCTCGAGCAACCATCACACTATCTACCCGCTTATTTTCATCCTCACAATCAACTGCATTATACCAGTCTTCCCAAGAATAAACATCACCATTACCAATCACCCATGGCTTCACATATCGACCTCCCTTTTCATCCAAAGTTTCTTCTCGCAATTGTCGCACCGTCGATGCAACCTCCCCAATATACCCCCAATCTGCTAGCTTCGTGTATCGTTGAGCGCGCGATCGTCCATGAATCGTAATTGCTGCTACCTGACCTTCTGAAACCAATCTTGGAACTAGCCCCACTGCAGTTGAACGGTCATCTCTAGTGCCCGTACGAATCTTAACTGTAACTGGAATTTCTCCAGACACAGCATTCATACCTTCTAAAATACGTACCAATCTGCTTGGGTTATCCATTAACGCACTTCCAGCCCCAGATCGATAAACTAGGTCAATTGGACATCCACAATTAAGGTTAAGTTCCTGAAGTGCTCCAGGAGCACTTAGTTTAGAAATAGCCTCGGCTGCCTTAATAGCCTGCCAATGTTTAGCTGCCGTGATTTGCACACCAAACTTACCAATTTCTGAAGAGTGTGCGCGTGGCAATGCCCACTCAGACTTTTGACCCATCACAATTGGCAATGCAAGTGCCATCTCGCCATATGTCACATCCGCACCAAGCGTCTTCATCAGCCGCCGGTATGGTAGATTGCCCACAGTTGTTAGTGGTGAAACAATATACTTGCGGTCCAAATTAATGCGTCGCTTTTCCGCAGGTTGGAAAGGAGGATCAATGTATGTGGCCCGGTTGTCTTCCACTGCCGTCTTCTTTCCGCTTTCCGTGGAAGCTTCTGTGGAAGTTTCGGTGGAATTCTTGGGAGCGTCCGAAACTTCCGTATCCTTAGATTCTTCCTTAGATTCTTCCTTAGATTCTTCCTTAGATTCTTCCTTAGATTCTTCCTTAGATTCTTCCTTAGATTCTTCCTTAGATTCTTCCTTAGATTCTTCCTTAGATTCTTCCTTAGATTCTTCCTTAGATTCTTCCTTAGATTCTTCCTTAGATTCTTCCTTAGATTCTTCCTTAGATTCTTCCTTAGGTTCTTCCTTAGACTCTTTCTTAGGCTCCTCAGGAACATCCTTGGTGTGCATCCTGCGGTTAAATGCAACTCGTCCATCCAAATACTTAATGTACTGATCACTCAATGGAAAATCAAACTTCTTGCGTTGCAGCAAGTTCAGTGTCGCAGCAGGCACCCGATTTACCTCGTAATCCTCCTTCACAGACTTCTCGTACTTGGCCTTGTCCACCTTTAACTCACCCATCGATCGGCCCTCTCGAACAATATAGTGCGAATGCAACCAACGGCATCTCAACCCTGATGGACAATATCCAATGGCTGCATACACAGGGCACACTCCTGGCAAGTCCTCAGGCTTGGCCTTGAGATACGTTGCTGCGTCATGCTCAAACCGGCACGAGTCACCATACACGCACTCAACAGGAGGAACTTCATCTTCAGGTGCGCTAGAATCACGCTCCGCAAAATACTTGACAAGTCGCGTGTTAACAGCATCACAAAACTTGACCGTATCCTTAGCCTGTACCATTCGTCGGCCCTTGTTCTGACCCCGTGTCTCTTTGCGCTTTGCCTTACGCTCTCGTCGGTTTTTCCCAGCATCACCTGATTGACCGCTGCTTTCGGCGCGTTCGGCAACACCACCACCCTCGGCATCATCATCAAAAGAAGTGGCAGAAGCAGGTTCTGGTGCTGAAGTTGTAATGTCCCGTACAATAAGATACTCAGGCTTGATAGGAGTCACGCCTTTGACGCGCTCTGGAATAGCAGCCTCTGTTTTCTGACGCTTGGCCTCTGGAAGTATGTGTGTTTCCTCAGTCATATTGTATTTATTTATTTATTGATTAAAGAATCAATAGTGTGGTTGATAAAAAATGAAAAATCCACGATTGAAAAAAAAAAAAAAAAAAAAAAAATTTTTTTATCTCATTTTGGAAATTCACATTTTATGGTTGCTATTTCCAGTTAATGTTTGAAAAAAAATTTTTTGTATTTTTATTTCAAAATTTTTTTTTTTTTTTTTTTTTTTTTTTAAAAAATCATATCTGCCTTTCCTCTCGGCCATGTCCTTGTGCAAGTTCTTCAAAACAATCATGACCGACCGACCGCAAAATCTCACACTTACCGAAGTCATTCTGCCTCCGGAACACCTCAAAATCGCCTCGCGCAACCCGGAAAACCACCCGGTCTCCGTGATCCAGCGCATCGCGGCCCAGCCCTACCTCGATCCAGCATCTACCACCACCAGTCGCCGTCGACCAGCCTTTATCTGTGGACCCATGGTGCGCTACTCCAAGCTCCCATTTCGCGAAATTGTGCGCCATCATAATGCCGACATTGTCTACACACCTATGATTCTTGCTCGTGAGTTTGTGCGCCACCCCTTTGCGCGTGACTCGGACTTTAGCACAAACGCGGCCGACGCGCCAGTCATTGCACAGTTTGGCGCAAACAACCCCAAGGACCTTGTGCGCGCAGTCCAGCTTATTCGCCCATATGTTGACGGAATCGGACTCAACTGTGGGTGTCCCATTAAGGATCAAGTCCGTGAGGGCATTGGTGCCGCACTCATGACCAAACCTGATCTTGTTGCAGAAATGGTGGCCGCCGTTAAAGCTGAGTTTGGCCCTGGGTTTTGTGTTGAAGTCAAAATTCGTATCCACAAAGATCTCAAAGATACCGTCGCCATGGCATGCAAAGCTGAAGCTGCAGGTGCAGATTTTATCACCGTCCATGGGCGACAGAAAACTACGCGCTCGTCACAACCCGCCGATTTTGAGGCCATCAAACTCGTCAAACAAAGCGTAAGCGTCCCCGTGGTGGCCAACGGTGATGCGTTTAGCGTCGAGGATGCTCTTTACATAGCCGATGTCACTGGATGTGACGGTGTCATGGCGGTACGCGGGATTCTCGCCAACCCTGCCATGTTTGATTTGGCAAGCTACAAGCGCCGGACGCTATGGTATCAGCAGCCCCAAAACAAGGATTTACGGAAGCCAGCACGCAGATTAAGTCAATCCAATATTACCAAGTTCCCCTTTGGTCGTCATACAAATGATCCCCAAGGATCTCAAACCCAACTATCACAAAAACAACTGGTTCTTAATGCTGTTATCCCCACAGAGTCCCAGCTATTAGTTGATGGGCTGCCTGTTCTAAGCACAGACCTTAAGAACGTGACGCCGTGGGCCACCGTTGAACGGTTTTGGGACCTAGTAACTGCTTACGGGTTACCGTTCCGTGTTGCACAGCATCACTTTTCCGAAATGCTTGAGGGCTCTGTGACCAAGCGCCAGAAAAAAATTATGAATGATACCCACAACATGGCCGAGCTGTTGGCGTGGTTCGATTCACGGTTGGATTTACGACGACCAAAGGAGCCAGGCTTTGGAGAGCACAGAGAGTTCCCCTGGCGTGAGGAGTTTTTGGAACGCGAGAGCCAGGAGATAATAGAAGAGGAAGGAAAAGAAGAAGAAGAAGAAAAAGCGGAAAAGAAAAAAATCACTGAACTGGCGGAGGATTTGGAGAAGCTGGCGGTGGCTTGAAATGATTTGTTTGATTTGTTTGATTTTATATACATTATAGACTAATAATAGAGAATCTCAGAGTTGACCCACTGGATCAGGGCTAGGGCTTGCTAAGGTCACCCACAGAGGGGCTTATAAAGAAGACTGGGAAAAAAAAAATTTTTTTTCACCTATAAATAGGAAGACTTTCCCACCATTTTTTTTTAACCTAGGAAAAAATTTTATTTCTTTCTTTTTTTCTGCAAAATATCAACAACAACAACAACAACCCAAATGGTAAGTCCTTATAACCTTCTACAGTGGTTTTCCCAGGACAGTGTTCAGATGAGGATAATTTCATTTATTTTGGAGCGAGTCATTTTAGGCTTTCCTTTCGTTTTGATTGGGGTCGTTTCGCATTGACGTTTTATTTTATAGTCATAGTTACACTGATGTTTTTAAAATACTCTGTACTTTGGGAGTCCACTTTAAATTTTTTTTCTTATTTTTTTTAAAAAATTAAAACTAACTTCAAACAGGAATTAACCTAATTGGAACGCCATCAGCTACTGATAACGTCAAACTAGAATTCTCTTTGGGCTCGCCAATAAGCGCACTTGGAGCAGCATCAATGCCCTTGAAATTCTGAAGCATTCGTACAATTGTATACGACACTTCAGTCAAGGCAAATTGCTGCCCAAGACAAATCCGTGGACCACCATTAAATGGAAGGTAATCCCACGGGTGAGTGCTTTTACGATTGGCCCATCGCATAGGCTTGAACTCACCGCTATCGGGACCCCACAACTTGGGGTGTCGGTGCAACACGTAGGCAGAGTACATAATCATGTGGCCCTTGGGGATAAAAATGGGCTCAGACTCGTCCGGACCTCCCCCTCGTGGCAGTGACGTATCCTTGAGAGCGTACCTGAAGTTGTTAGGCACAGTAGGGTACAAGCGAAGTGTTTCATTGATGACATAACGTAGATAATCGCACCGCTTAAGAGTCTCAAATGTCACCTTGCTCAAATCTCTCCCGTCGCCAAAATGCTCCAGGATAACACTTCGTAATTGTTCAAAAACATCTGGGTGTCTTGCCAACATTAGAAACACCCAAGAGAGGAGTGAGGCTGTAGTGTCACGGCCTGCAACTAAAATGTTGAGTGCCTGGTCTCGCAGCAGAATAGGGTTACGGGTTTCCTTTGCAAGTTCGTCCAAAAAAATGTATTTCTCGCCCTTTTCGGCCTTTTCATTTTTTTCGCCATTGTAGTTTTGTGTACGCAAAAGAGCCAAGTTAACATAAGAGCTGGTAAAAGTTTGACACACTTGGCACCACTTGCGGAAATTTGCTGAATTTACAAGCCAGTAAAAATTTTGTGCCAAACTGCGGTTACGCAAAACCTCTTGTGCATTATTAAACGCGTCTTCAAACTCAAGCGCATTGACCAGCTTACGGTTACCTCCAGACAAGAGGTCAGTGGACTCGCCAAACAAAAACTCAGTCGCTGAGTCCAGAGTCAACTTGTAAAAAAAGGGCTGGATATCCAAGTACCCTTCTTTGTTGTTGTTTCTGTAAATCTGAATAATCTTTTGCAAATGATCCTCAATAATGTGAACGTGTGAGATTTGCTCCCGAGTAAACTGTGGACGTAGCATGGCTCTTGTGTGTTGCCAGCCTGGTCCGTCAAGAGTAAATGCTCCATCTCCCAACAACGGGAAAAAGTACTTGTATCTGCGTGCGTGTCCAAAGTCCTTGAACTGTGTTGCCAGTACGGCCTTGATGTTTTCCGGGTCCATGGTCATGACGAAAAAGGATCCCATAAGTTGGCTACGTCCCGTCATTGTGGGCAAAGCCAATGACACATCGAGTGTGCGCCGGTTCATGCGGTGGTTTTGGGCAGCTCTAAGAATCTGCACAAATTGTGGGATTCCAAATGGAAAAGACCAAATTACTCGTGGCGTCGATAGCCCATGCCGGCGAGCTTGCAAAAGGTACCACATGTGAACAAGGTATGGATAAAGAAAAAATGCGCCCAGCGCACCCAGAAATATGGACAAGAGGGTCATGGTTGTTAGATATGTTCTTGGAGAGAAAATAAAGGACCTTCCAGAGGTATTTATATACAAAATGAATTAAAGTTAATTCTGCGGGGGAGAAAAAAAAACAGAAGAGAAAATGCATGATTCAAAAGTATTTCATATGAATTTTTTTTTTAAAATAAAGAAAGTGATTCCAAGAGCCGAGCGTTGAAACTCCCAGACAAGGTAATTAAAGATCATCTAGAGCCGAGTTTATTAGGGGGGGAAGTAAGTAATACACTACAACCAAAAGACTCATTAAACTTCACATGAAATTCGGAACTGGTTTGCCATTAGTTTTGGTTTCCCTATTTTGAAAAAAAAATCATATTGGAGCAATAGTTGGTCCGTAGAAGCAATCAACAAAGAGGAGGGGTATGATTTTGAAAATAAAAAAATAATAATAAATAAATAAAAAAAAAACAACGTTTTCAAGTTTGAATGTCTTGGTTAAGATCATCAGACTAGGCCATGTCTTCGGCATGAGATTTAAGATTGTTTTAAAATAGTAAACTTGGTACTATTAGGGTATTAAGTAAAAAAAAAAATAAGTTTATAATAATTTCAATTCAACAATATAGGAAATCGTGCAATTCTTTCATTTACACGACCTGCCCTTTGTCAAAATCAATAATTGAGCAGTGATTTCTAAGATTTGTAAGATTTATTTTTAAGATTGGTAGCATTTTAAACGGCTGAGAAATCACATAACCCTAACCCATCACCAATTCTTACTCATACCTCCTCTTTGTAATCTTGTTGTATCTAAAGTGTTTCTTACTAATTGCTCAAGCCGTCCAAAAAGTTAACCGCCTACTGCCATTATAAATCACCACTAAGCACGTCTTGCCAGGTCCTATTTAAAGCCTTGGATTTCTCATTTCTTTCCGTCTTTTTTTTTTTTTTCTTTACTTTACTTTTCTTTACTTTACTTTACTTTACTTTACTTTACTTTTTTTTATCAACTTTTTCATTAATATTTCATAATGAGCAAAAGCGCCCCAGGACCTCCATTTAACGACTACATCAAGTCATACGATATCCACACCTACTACAACGTTGGCCACGAGCCCTCGCGGCAAGAAGCCTTTGAGCTTCGCGAAAAGCTCCAAAAGGACTTTGCCAAAGAAATTGCCGCCGGCGAACTCAATGTCTACCGCATGTGGGATAAAGCCATTGGCCCTCACATCACAGCAATGTGGGAGTGCGATTTCAAGTCTCCAGAACTCTTTTCGCGAATTGTCCCATGGTATCAATGGAACCACGGCAATCTGTCCGTACTTATCCACCCGCACACTGAAAGAGGTGGATTGATTGATCACACTCAACATGCCCTGTGGCTAGGAACTAAGATCCCACTTATTGAAGACGTTCTTAAACAATAAAATAAAATGTATTAATTAAAAGAAAAACTCAAAACCCTATTTACTTTCTCAAATCAATTTTTCCAATCTTCTCCTCAATCTCCTTGTAAATAGCATCACTCTGAACACCACTGTTCTTATCAAAATAAGGACGCTCACCAACACTAATGGTCCGGATACCCCTTCTGGTCCCCAGATAATCAAATGTGGCTGTATGATATGTCGAACGGTTGTCAAAGAAGGCAATATCATTGGTGCCTACCCAATCAATACGCACCTGCAAGTCGTGAGAGTTCACCAGTGTGTCATTGATGAAATCCTTTACTCGTTGACTCTCAATAGGCGTCAGCTCATTGATCTGTTGGAAATGGTTGCCCACAGCATAGATACTTTTCCAGCCAGTGACTGGGTTAGTTCGCACAATTGGGTGTGTGCTTTCAAGGCTATCACCAACGTTTTCTGGGGCACCACGAGGCTCGCTGTAAAGCTGGAAGTTGTTGCTCTTAGCAAGACCGCTAAAAACAGGCTGTGAGTATCTGCCAGTAAGGCCTTCCAAGAACTCTTGGTATGGCTTGGAAAAGCGTTCGTAAAGTGCATAACCGTTAGCAAACAAGGTAGCACCACCGGAACCTTCCTCGGGTTGTTCGACAATCTTCAGAGCAGAGTAATCTGCAGGAACAGGCTCGAAAGTAATATCAGAGTGCCAACCATAGGAAGCAAATAGAGGTCTGGACTTGTACAACTCGTGCTGGCGGCGATCAACTGTTGAAGAAACGTAAAAGACTTTGGGATCAATTAAACCGTCTTCACCAATAAGCCCACCAGAGGGAGCGCGAGGGTGGATATGCAGACCGTTTTGTTCAGGGCGGCCAGTCAAAATACCCAGGTTATTAGTAAAATCCTTCTGCTTTTGAACAGTCAGTTTGTGCTGGTTTCGGAAGACCACAACACCCTTGCGAGAAATCTGAATGGCAATGTCCCGAATAATGTTGCGCACGCGCTCCTTATCCTCCTCAGAGGCTTCAGGGTTCTTTAAAACATCAACAAAGTCTGCAACTTGGATATCCTCAGGATAAACAACACCGAGAAGAGGGGTGATATCTTTCGAGTACTTGCCGTATTCCTTTTCCCAAACTCCAGAGGCAACCAAGGGTGCTTTTCTATCTTCGGGCTTAATGTATGAAGGACCCTCAGTGGGAGTGTGGGCATAAGGAGAAGGTCCAGGAATGTGCTTGACTTCAGGGAAGTACTTGGGATCAAACTCTTCGAAACGGAGATCGTCAAGAGAAGGCATTTTTAGAATTATTTTTTTAAAGATATAAGAAGATGATATATTAAATGGGGTACGATTATGAATTGAATTGAATTGACACAAGATTTTATGAAAATTAACGATTTTCACTTGATATTTATACTAAAACCCAAAGCCAGAAACTGTGGCTCCTCGTATTTACAAAAAAAAAAAAACTCAAAGATTAAAAAGTAAAAAAAAAACCTCCATCAAACTCAGATAGGACTCCGAGCCATAACGCGATTGCGTTCGGAGTTGGCGAGACAGGTATGTGATGTACAACATTTTATTGCGTAATTGCATTCCCCACCAACGCAATGTCCGAATACAAAAAAAGCCGTTGGGTTTGGCACAACAGAAAAATTAGATTGTGGCTAATCTTGGTCCCTGTAGCCAGAATTTCATATTTTGACTGATGAACTTTTATAAATTACACTGAATTAATCTGTGATTGGGGCCTTTCTTTCCAACCCCCCCCCCCCCAAAAAAAAAAAAATCTCCTGACACTGATCCGAGTTTCTAAAACATTTTCAAGTATAGTACACTAAATCAAAGTACTAACTCTTTTTCTTTCTCTTTTATTAAATTTTCTTTTTTAAAAAAAAAATAGCCGCGGAAACTATTCCTCTTACTTTCTAATAACTCTAATCATCTGAAGGCTTGATGCTTCTCAAATCAACAAGCTTATAAGGAAGATCTTTCCCCATAACCACATGACCATGACGCATTGTCGATTTATAAATGTTGGGCTCAGGATGTGGGTGGAACGATGACTTTGGGCACCGTCGAATAATGCTTGTGCCATTAGGATCTGTTAGTCGGTAAATATCCCAAGACGGCGTTTGCGTCGGTGCACACACAATCGCAATCGATTCCTTGAGCATCAACTGATATGAGCTCTGTGTGTGCAGGTCAACAGACGACATGAAGCACGACTGGGTCGGGTGTGTGTGGATCCATCCAAGCAGAATCAAATCATTGGTATCCAAATAATCAAACAAAATTTCCTCGTGGATCGTTGCACAAGTGTCTGGGGTGGATTCCTGGTGTGGTATCACTAAGTGTGTGATGAAAAACGCATTCAAGCTCAGCTTGCCGCAAAGCATTCCGCACGTCTCTAGCTTAGAATCGGTATTTGTCTGAGCAACCCGCAGAAAATCAGGTCGGAGACTCGTAGGCAGAAACACCGACCTCAACGGCTCACCGCCTTCGGTCGTTGCACGAATTCTGTGTAACACTGCTTTAGATTTGTCGGTGCTTGAAGGGCTACTTGATGGTGCAGATTCTTCAACAAGTGTATTGGCTGGTGTTAATGGTTTTATAGGCTCTGAAAGCGGTAATGGAGGTAATGGCGGGGGCTTCGAAGGTATTAGAGTCTCCATAGTCCCCTTAATAGGGACTGCATGCTCATATTGAGTTGACGGATAAGTGATTGAATTTGATGGTGATGTCGATACGGCACTCGATGACGACTTGGTACTACTGCTCCCAGGAGCTTGAAGTTTTTGAATATCAAAAAGCAATTTTTCATACTCTCGATCAGTTATTCCTTGGGACTGGCGTCGCTGAGCTTCTCGATATTGTTTTTGATAATGATTTATCTGAGCTTCTCGTTCATACTGTATCAATCGAGCCCTTTCCTTTTGTTCGTAGTCCCATGCAGCAACGCGTTGTTCAATGATTGGCTTAATTTCTTCCATCTTGTCAAGAGCACTCATAGTCTATATAAGTTAGCTTATTCCATCTCAGAATCATAATCATAATCATAATATACTTACATCTATTTTGAGTAATTTGACTTTTGCTTTATTTTGTCGGGTTATGTGACTCTTTTCCATTTCCTTGTGATCTGGGAGATACTCCAAAACTATTCTACAAACAGTCAGTTATCAATCCAAACAACAATCTTGTTACACTTACAATGTAAACCGTGAATATAAAACATAAGCTTGTTCAAAATCATGCTCATAATAATAAACATCGGCCTAGATACACCCCACACCTCGTTAGTAACCTAACATTTACTAAAGTCGCGCTGAAAAACAAAAAAAAAAAATGCATACCTGTTGTAAAAGCGATTTACAAACGTTGATCCAACGTGCTAAAGAAAGCCGTGAATCGAAGACAAAATGTCTCGCTTCCTCTGTAAGTTCTTTAACGGTAAAAGGTTTTCGTTCAGACATGATGAAGTTGTTAAAGGGAATACAGATTAAATGTAACTGTGGCAAATAGTTTGAAAGGGAATATGTAAAATAAATCCTCTCTCTCTCTAAAAAAAAGGAATCTTTTTTTTTTTTAAAAAAAAAAAAACAAATGATATTAATTCAAAAATCGCTGAACAATATCTTTATCAATGTTGGTTGCTTGAATGTTAAAAACTATAAGGTAGTTGAAACTTTGGATTTCAAGTTTCGCGTAGAAGTAGAATATTTTTAGTGTGTCGGGAAATAATTGAACGGTGGGAGGAGGACTTTCACAGTCAAACGTAAGCTTAACATTTTCGACCACGTGACCATATTAAATTAGGAGGCCAAAGGCCGCAAAATAATGAATTTATCAACAATTAAGACTCTTTTTATTTAAAATAACTTATTTAATTAAAAAATTCTGTTAAAAATAAATAGCATTAATAAAAAAAATATATTAAAAATTGAAATATTAACCTTTAACTATTATAAATAAAATAATAATAAAAGTTTTTTTAAGTTGTTGATGCAGTGGCTCAATGGTAGAGCATTGGATTCCAAATCCAAAGGCTGCAGGTTCGATTCCTGTCTGTGTCAAGCTTCTTTTTGTTGTACTTTTTTAAGAAAAGAAATATCAATATTTTTTATATTGAAATTTCTTAAACAGGGGCAATAAAGCAACTAATAAAAATAAAAATACTTTTTTTTGCTATTATTATTATAATTTGCTTTGATAATAACTGATATCAGTTAATATGCAAATAAACAGATTAAAAGTAAATAAGTAGATTTGATAAATCGAATAAAAATTTAACCTCTTTATTTACCAGCCTTGTACCAGCTTGTGAGTGCAACAAACCTTTTAAATTGATTACTGATTTGATTTATTATTTCCTCTATTTTTTCTAAAAACTAAAATATAAAATTACTGAATTTTTATTTGTTTTCATTAATTCTCGCCAGTTAATCAACACATATAGCATGAATATACATCATCATATAGATGTGTTTCAGCGCAACCAGAGTCACTATTAATGAAAAAACCAAAAATTTCCTTATATTTATTTTTTTTTCGAGATTTGGGATTCTTTGAAAAAAAAACATGAAGTCATGATTTTTTTTTCTTTTCTTGGAAATAGTCATTGAAAATTGTAGGTTTTCTTGAAAAATCCTTCATACACATTTCTGGTATATATATAGTTTGATCTAATCCATTCTTAACTATACTTATTATTAATAACATTTTTTTGTAAAACCAAATTATTCATTGATTATTTTTCTTTGTTATTCATGCACTCTTATAATTTTTACCACTATTTTTAACAAGAGCCTTAAAAATGGTAAATTTCTATTAGATAGTTTAATATTTTCAAAACCTTTGAAGTTTGAGCGATAAGCATTTGATATATCAGATGATTATATTTTTATAAGAAGATCTGATTTTATTAGATGGAAGTCCTTAATTTATTAAGGCTTGGTTTATTTTAGTGATCACAGCTCATGTAAGCAATGCTCGATTTTAATAGTTTTAGATCTTTTTGTATCTGATAAGCTGGGGTATAATATTTTTTTGCTGTTTTTTAAAATAAAACCTGTTTATTTAAATAACCAAACAAATTTGTTTATGTTCAAAAGGTTATAAAGGAATTTAAGCCATAATCAATTACCCTTTTTTTTTTTTAATTTTGAAAGTTTGTCTTCCAGAATATACCTTTTTCATTATATATATTGTAATCTAAATTTTTTAAATATCCAAAAGTTGAGTTCAAACACACACCCCAGAATTAAACGATAATTGATTTTACTATAAACCAAAACTCTATTTGATTTAATTTTCACTTTTTTTTATAAATACTCATAAGCATTTTAATTCGTACAACAAAAAAAATTTAGGTCGTAATTACCTAAGACTTAATTAGAGGGGATAAAATTGCTAGCTCATTACAAAAAATTTATTAAATTTTCATTTAATGGTAGGAAAAATGTTATAATTCAACATTATAATGTTAAACAAACAAACAAACAAACAAACAAACAATTACTAAAATTTTTAAACTTAATTAACTAAAATTTTTAAACTTAATTAAGTTTAAAATTTTTAGTAATTGTTTGTTTGTTTGTTTGTTTTTATTCAAGGGTTATAGAATTATATAACATCAGCATCTGCGCTATCCTTCTTGTCCATACTATATATCTTTTCATTTTAATAATAAACTTTTAATTTTGGCTTCAACATTACATCTCCAACAGCCCGAAAATAAGTCCTGATGCCAGCTTACGAGGAACAGGGAGTTAAAAATAACCAAACCTTCCCAACTTATCTCCACTTGTCTTCATCAACGCTGTATTTTAGTAATTGTTTGTTTGTTTGTTTTTATTCAAGGGTTATAGAACTATATAACATCAGCATCTGCGCTATCCTTTTATTGTCTGACTATGTGACTTGCCGGTTTTCATTTGTACCTTTTTAGTACGGGTGGTTTCTGTTCTGTGCGTCTCCGGTAGCCCGGAAGATGGGCCCTGATGCCAGCTTACGAGGAACAGGGAGAACCAGTCTGTCGGTCCCAAAACCTTCCCAACCCATTTCCACTTATCTTCACAGACGCCCATGTATTTCTTAATCTCTTCCGCCAGAGATACGGCCCGCAATCACCTGCAGGCTATTTAGACTGTACGGAAGAGTCGGCATTCCTGTAACCAGGGTAGCCTATGGTTTTCAGTTTAGGTGTATACTCTCGTACACATCCTCAGGAAAAGGGGGTATTCTGGGAATCGAACCCAGTATCTTCCGCTATCGAGCGAACGTGTTACCCTTTACACCATCCAGCCCTTTCCCCTTTATTTTAGTAATTTTTAAAGAAACTCAATGTTATAAACAATGTGGGCAAACTTTTAAAGTCTTAAAGCTTCAACTTTTCAAGTAAGGCGCCGTTGTAGTATAGTGGTTAGTACACTTCGTTGTGGCTCAAATATGATCGAATCCGAAGAAACCTCAGTTCGATTCTGGGCAACGGCAGTATTTAATTTTTTTCAATTATAAGCAAAATTGATTTTTTTGTCAAAATATTGGTGACTTAATAGTTTTTTATAAAATATTCTTAAGATTGTATATATAAAATCCAATATCTGGAAATAGTATAGGATTAAAATTAGAATTTAAACATAAAGACTTGAATTGATAATGATTAGTCAGAATATACAACCGTCACTTTTTATTTAATGATTCTATCTCAAAAACTAAAAATAGGTACATTGTAGTCTGAAAGTATGAACTGCTCAGCTATTGAACTATCTGGGTTAAGATTTTGGTTTTTGAGAAAAACCTTGATGGTGGTTGTGATTTAAAATTAATTTAAGTTTACTTTGTTCAATGACATAAACCCTAACCTTTAAAGGTTGATTGAGTCCCTCAAAAAAAAAAAATTAAAGATCCGGAGCGTTAAAACGTCACACTCAACTAGCTATAAACGGCTGGATACAAGTTTAGAAGTAATTATCAGAAAAACTCGTATTTTAATATACTACTTATAATATGGATATTCTGTATTTTTGTTTTTTAGAATGAACTTTGACTTGATAATTTTTTAAAGGCACTTGGGGCAGTCAATTACATTTCGCTTCAATTTCTCAATGTCTTCTTTGAGTTGAAGACGAGGACTAGAGTTTGGACTAGCCACCTTCATTTCCTCAACTTCTCCATCGCTTCTTTTAAAAATTTCATTGAGAAATAGTCTCTTATGTTCTGACTCAATAAACTTGATTTTTTCTTGGTATATATTGATTTTTTCCTTCTCAGCCTCAATCTTGTGGTCAAGACCATCTAAAAGTTCCAAATTATCAGGATCTTCACGAATAACTTTAGCTTTCAGAGTTTTGAGTCTTGATTGATTTTGGGTGGAAAGAGCCAGAGCCTGCTTTAATGCAGAAAGCATATCTTTTAATATTTCGCTAAGAGGCTTTTCATCATTTTCCGTTTTTGTTTGGGCAGCCGCTAACCCTTTGAGAACATCAGATAAAGTCATGGATTCATTTTCAGTGATTTTAAAAGCTTTTGCGCAGGCTGCCATTTTGATATTATTTAAATGATTAAATGATTTCAATAAGGAAGGGGTGTTGATTTAAAAAATGAAAGAGAAGAAAGAAAAAACTAAGGTAAAAGAGAGATATTGATGATTTTATATTTTTAACAAACTCCTGAAGGTATATCGTCACAGACCAAATGTAGGGATTCCAGTCCACTTTTTTTGCCTATTTAGGAAATTTATCTAGGTAAAGTATAATATAAACAAACAGTTTTTTTCAAAAAGCTTTCACGTGGTACAGAAAAAAGATATATAACCCATATATGGGGTTTACCTATAACTTTATCCAAAACTTTACACAAAGAGCTAAGCATTGCGTAAACCAAAAGTTAACTACTAATTCTTTTTTTTCATCTTTTCTTTTGAATTTCTTTTTATTTTTTTTTAAATTTCTTTTATTTTTATTTTTATTTTTTTAAAACTATAAATTTTTTTACAAAGTCATTCAATCATTAGGTAATAATGCTATGCTTAATATTCAGCTTTAAATCAAGCGTTATAGGAAGATTCATCCTTAATTTCAGTGCTATCATCAGCTAGAGGCTCCCAAGAAGAAGACTGGCGAGCACTGATACCAGACATAAACATTACTTCAATATTTTCCAACGTATGGCCTTTAGTTTCATAAACAAAAAAGTAAACGACAAAGATAGAAATAAAAGTGAAGAAGGAAAAGACAAAACCAAACTTGTAGCCAATATGCTCAGTAGCAGTTGGAGTCAAAAAAGTAATGCCGGTATTAACCAACCAATTTGAAGCGACTGCAAGACTAATGGCTTTTGATCGAATACGTTGCGGAAACATTTCAGAAATGACCACAAAGGACACGGGTGCCCATGTTCCGGCAAAAGCAACAATGAAAATACAAGCCAGTGCAATCATACCGCCTCCAACGCTACTCTTGACATTGTTTGCATCGTCATAGAGAGCAAAACTTCCAATGCAAGCAAACAAAATAAAGGCAACAAACATGGCGGCAGATCCCATCATGAGAACTATTCTGCGGGGATACTTGGAAATTATGGGTAAAAAGCATATAGTTCCAACAACATTGACACCACCAAGAATCATCGAAGTACCAAAAGGATTCATATTGCTGACAGCTTTGAAAAGAGACGTGCCATAATAGAAAAAGTAATTAACACCACTGAGCTGCTGAAGCATCATAATAGCAACCCCTAGAACAACACGGTAAAGAATACGATTTTCATGGCTAAATAGCTCTCTCCAAGTAGATTCACCGGTAGACCGGTCAGCTTCAACAGCGCGCTGAACATCTATAATTTCTTGTTCAATAATTTCGGCGTTAATTGGAATATTCATAACTTTTGCCAAGGATTGACGGGCCTCAGCGACGCGGTCTTTGGAAATCAAATAACGTGCAGATTCGGGGACAAAAAGGGAAACTGCGCAAATGATTGCAACTGCAAAAACGCAAATGCTCAACAAGGGGACCAAAAACTGGCCATTAGAATTATCCCAGTAAGAGCAGCCTAGAGAAATAGTTTGGCCCAAAAAGATACCAACTGTGATTAAAAACTGAAACATAGAAACCAAAAGAGCTCTCATATGACTGGGGGCCGTTTCGCTAAGATACATGGGGCAAATGGCCGAAAGACCGCCAATGGAAAGACCACCAACGCAGCGACCGATAAATACAGCAGGCCAGGACTGGTAAGCTGCAGCTTGAATCACAACGGCAACGTTGATGATTGCAGCGCAGCCGACCAGGGCCCACTTACGTCCGTAACGGTCGGCAACCTTTCCAAAACCAAAACTGCCAAACAGACCGCCCATACTGACACCAGCCACAATAAGGCCGGATCGCCAGGTGGGGATTGAATAAGTGTTTGTAGTCTTATCCAGGTCACCAACGGCTTCAATGTACTTGGTCATATTGACCATGCCGGAAATGGAACCAGTATCATAACCAAAAATAATGCCACCAAGAGCAATGGCTGTGCAAATGAGTACAACACGAATAATGCTAGGTTGATCGGGGGCCAAGGCGATATTAGTGGTTTCTCTCATATTGAAAGTTGTCAAGCTTGACTTGCTATTCATTTTTTCCTAAAAAGAGAGAGAATTAAAAGTAGATTTATATTCCGACAAAATGAAAGAGCCTAATGAAACGAATTTCAGACTATTCGAGAAGCTATAGAGAAACTATAAGTCAAAAAGGGAACTAGATTTGATGTGTGAAATAAAGCCAAACTTTTTTTTTCCTCAAACCCCATGGGGGATTTTGGACCTTTTTATATTTGTAAGTAATATTGGGAATCGACTTTGATTTTCATTTTTTTTAGGGAACAGATCGCGAGGACTTTTAAAAAAGAGTGAGGGGGTTAAGAAACTATTCGTGTTTTCACAACCTTGAAGACCCATTTCAGATATTCATCCGCAAATATTGCGTGTGGAAGATTTATTCAATAAATCCGATAAAAGCATAATAATGCGTGCCCATTGTAAACTCTTCACCTCCTTTTAAAAGTTTTAAATCGCATGACATCAGAGAAAAAAAAAGTAAATATTAGGTCAGGAGCTCTCTCCCCTCTTGATAAAACGTAAAATAAAAATAACCAAATTTTCAATACTCAGGAATCTCCGATGATTATTGAAATTTTTCAAATAAAGAAGAATTTTGAAAAAAATGTGCGTATACGGCTGTTATACATGTAACAAAAAGAAGCAAGATTTCTTTTTTCTTTTTTCTTTTTTCTTTTTTTTAAAAAAAAAATTGTCAATTGATTTATAAATAAAACTATTAATTTTTATTTCTTTTTGACTAAAGTGACCAAGATCCATCAAACAATTTAAACTGTATGGATTCCTGGAATCTAATAATACTTGCATCAACATCAAGCGGGCTCTTTACGACCCCGCTTTTGACCTCATTTCTCCAGAATTTATGGTATTTCTCCACAAGTTTATTGTGTAGCTTGGTTAATGCATCCGACATTTGTTTTTCTATGGTCGTAATGAGTTCTGGCAAGTTGACGTCTTGCGGGGTTTGTGCATATGTTTTGATCAGCTCGTAGACGCTCAATAAATCTAGATTGAGCAACAGGCCTCTATAGAGGAAACGTCCGCCAGTGATTTTTCTAATAAATAAAGACATGTGAATAGATACCAAGGCAACAGGGTACCATGCTTTTGTAAGATCGCCATTGAACGATCCAGACTCGGCCATTACATTTCTAGCAGACTCTGGGTCAGATAAGCAGTAGCTTTCAAAAAATTTAAGTCCAAGATGACCGGTTGCCCTAAAATCTGTGGTTGGGTTAGCACCTTGGAACCCCAGTGCAACCCAGTCTTTGCCCGCCTTATAATTTTCCTTTGGAGGTGGGACTCGAGAAAAAACGTCTAGTTCATAAAAAGATTTTTGAAAAAGGGGGTTGTCATTTTCTTCATCGTAATCGTCATGGGAGTTTGCTACACCGTTTTGAGCGAGAAGTGGGGAACTTTCCTCGTCATCATTGTCCACAGATGCCAGAGCTGCTGCCGTGTCTGCAGCAGCTTCTTCGGCAACCTCGACCGCATGTAACGGTAAAGTCTGGGGAGTTGCGGAGTAGGTGAGGTCAGAGGGGAAAACACGATTATGCATCTCCACAAGTCGTTTTTCCGTATCCTCGTCCCATTGTACTGCAAAAACGCTATCTTTTTGGACAGTACTTGTGATTTTGTTATATGCGACGTGGGTGGTCAGGCAGGTGATTAAAAAGAGTTCTAAAGATTCATGGGTATCAATTTCTTTTTCAAATTCAATGATTTGATCAAGGTTTTTAGTGCCAGCACTAGATGTTTGAGAAGTGGAGGGGTCGTTTGCTATGCTACTATCAAAGCGGCCAAACTCAGTGGTGGAGGTTAAAATCAGATGGCGGTTTACAAGGTAAATAAGCCTACTGAAGCCTTTGGTATCCAAAGATTCAACATATTGTTTTTTCAAAGAGGTCAGCCTGATATCATGCTCGAAATAAGTTTCTGGGAGATAAGGTGTAACGTGATCATAAATATATCGTGCTATCCAGAGGCCCTCTGTGATGGGTTTTGAGTTTATGGGGCATGGCCCGGTATCACTTGAAGAGTATCCTCTTAGAGCAATCCAAGCAGAGTAATCCAAAAAAGATCCCGGATGCGATGTTAGGAGTGCATAAAGCTGGTAGATCGATGTCATGTTTGTGTGGGTGATGTAGAAAAGAGTGAAATGTGTTTGAATTTTATATTGGAAGGAAATGAAGGTGCTCGAGGCGGTGTAGCAAAAAAGAAGGTGACAGCGCAATTATGTGTTACGTAAATGTTACGTAAGAGCAATTTATTTGCCCAGCTTTTTTTTTCATATAAACACGCAAGGTCACCGTCAATATTCTGACCGCAGCATATATATATATATATAAATATATATTTTTTTTGCAACATCAAACTTGTGTAAACCCCAAACACCTGAACCGGAATTACCCATGCCGAATTTTGAATTGCTACCTTTGGAATTGATTTCCATCATTATTGAACACCTCTTGGACCCACCAGAGAAAACAAAACACGTCAACAATGAGGTACAAGCGTATCAATCTGTGTTAAACTTAGCTTTGACCTGTTCGAGACTTTATACCATTTGTGACCGATACCTTTCCAAAAGCATTGCAATCCACAATGACGGATACCAAAAGTTTTATTACCGAGACCATCCGACCAAATTCTCACTAAACTCTATGGTTTTGGAGCATATAGTGTTTCGGCCGCTCAAGGAAATACCCGTATCATCGCTTGAAAATATTACAAATCTGGCCTTTTACTTTGCAAAGGGATGGAAAATACAGGCTGTTAGAAGACTGGGTGCTGAAAATAATTTTGATACCTTGCCAGGGGTCTCATGGCAGTCACTTACTAAAAATAATATGACTCCAAATTTAAAATCCATCACGCTGGGGATTGGGGGTGGATTGGGAAGGATGAATGGTTTTGGAGAAGAAGAACCTGGTTGGATGAAAGAGATTCGTTTTTTGGGTCGGTGCTTGCAGACGCATCCTGCCACTAAACAGGAAATTAAGATGCATTTGGTTTTCCTAGAACCTTTACCTTCAGTTTCCTTTTACGTATATTTGAACACGCTTCCTGTGACGTTTGAGAGCTTGGAGCTGGAATCTGTATATGGATTTTCAAACGTTGCACAAGTTGTTAAGCCAGGAGAGGTGGGGTTCATTTTTGAAGATGTGAATTTGTTTAATAGCACGCGAAACAGCTTTTGTGGCGTGTTTTCAGAAGTCAAGTCACTTAAGGTGTGGCGATACGATCCACTTCTGCAAAGTGAAAACAATCGAAATGGCGTTTTTGTCATTGCATCGTTAATACCCGGGCTCGAGGAGCTGTTATTACCCAAAATTATTCCAGGCACGACCCGTTGTGAACTTGGGAACTATGTAGTTTACCGTAAGCCTTTTAAAGTAAAGTGAAAGTGAAAGGTAGTTTTTTTGAGTTTATTTCTTTTATGTACTGTGTGTAGATGTTATTGAAAGGCCGAGATGAGATTTTTGATATGACTGAGATGAAACGTCCATAGTGGTTAAATTTCTAATCCAAGCAATTTTTCTACCAATTTATTTATTTTTTTTTTAATTTTTATTCTTCCCTCTTTTCTATATTCTATATTCTTGATTCTTTCTCTCGTCAAAAATTACATGCAATGGCCCGTTCAGTCAAGTCCTCAAGGCTATCTCTGGTCCAATATACCGCACCAAAACGAGGTGCTTCATCCGCAGCAACGTCATCTAAAGCCAAGTCAATAGCAGCTTCTACCAAGGGTTACCAACCCGTACGCAACAAGTCTCGAGTCTATGATCAACCTAGTAGTTTTGAAGAATCGCTTTCAGAGAAATCAGAGGAAGAAGAAGATAGTGATGATGAAGACATTGATGATGAAGAGTACGAAGAGGAGACTCCAAAAAAAAAAAATAATACAACAAAACGGAAACGTGTAACTATCAATGAGAACCTTCCCAGGAGATATGCACCAGATAAAGAGAACAATGATATGGGAAATGAAAAAGCACAGAAAGAAGGTTCAGTAATCAAAAAACGCGTCAAACAGCACCAAACAAGGGCTGTCAAAAAACAACAAACACCCATCGTGAAGAGCAAGTTCAGTTCTGTTGGCCGCGAGTCACATAGCAGCGATAAAGAATCAAACGAAGAAGATTCAGATCCGCAGTCTGCCAATAAAGGAAATGATGATACTGATGATAACAGTCAGGAATTTGAAGATTTCGACGCAGATGATCTGTGGCAGGACCCTCAAAACACAGATTCAGCGGCAGCTGCCATACTTGCAGCACTCGCCGAAGATTTCGCATCTCCAGAGTCCGTGTACAGGCTCGCCACCAGAATCTGTGCAGGAATCGGGTACGCACCAAGCAGCGTGGCAGCCAAGGATCTGAGGGTAGCGTGTGGCGCAATTCATGATTTAGGTGCGCAACATGTTGATGCTACATGTGAAAGTTTTGCAGAACAACCGGCAGCTGTTTCAGACGCTGTGTCTCTGCTGGTGCCTGTAGACTACTCTACAGTGGTATCCAAGCACGAATTAGAACTGCAGCAACAGGAACAGCAGCAACAGCATCACGCGCCAGAAACTCTTGGGATCATGGCGCTTCGCAAAACGTGCTCAGAGCTCGCAAAACGACTTACAGGGCATACGCAAGTACTACGGGAAGCTTTGGAGACGCGCAAACTCGCGGCGGACACGGCACGGGAGACTACGGAGACGCGCAAAACACAAATGCTTGGGCAGATGCTTGGGTACCTACGGCAGCTGGCAGCACGGCACGCTGTACACATGCGGGCACTGCGGGTGCTGCATGAGCGGGTTGGGGATGCGGCCGGGCTTGTTGGAGGTCCAGAGGCTCGGTGGGATGAGGCAAGTATGTTAGAGGATGCTGGGGTGCGTAAGGAGATTACAGCAGCAGAAATTGCGTTGATGGAAGAGCTTGGAGTTGGAGAGGATTATGGAATGATTGTGATTGATGAGGAAAAAACAGATGTGGAGGAATGAAAAGGGTGTACACAGGTTATTTATTTGTTTATTATCTAAAGCAAAAAAAAAAAAAACAAATTATAATTATATCGAAAGAGAGGGTATCAAACGAGGGGATTCAAATGGATGGCAAATAAAGCATCAAAAAAAAAAAATCAAGAATAATCAATCTAACGTGATATTCTCAAAATTCGTAGAAGAGGAGAGTGAATTGAAAAGGGAACATTGCATTGCACCCTTGGTTTGATTCTATATCACGCGTGGCAGGTTCAAATGCTTTCCGTGCTCGCGCCCGCCGAGCACTTTCCCTGTGGGGATTGGTTCCGACACGCTGTGCTCTGATGTCATTGATGACACCGAGCGCGTCGACATTGTAGAGGACCGTCGGCCCAAGGTATTTGTATTGCTAGAAGTTCCTCCGTTAGTTTGTTTAGCAGCGGCAGCAGCACGTTTAAAGTTTGCATAGTCGTCGTTAGCCAGCATCATTCCTGATGTGTCGAGAGACCCATAGAACCCGGACTTGGTTACTGGGCCCGTGTATTCATCATTGGTGTGGGCAGCCGACGACGACGACCCGTTGGGAGCTTCTGGCGGTGAGTTATTTGCAGAATGGTGTCGCGACGAGCGATGCCGGCGCCCGGAGCCGCCGACTGAGTTTGACGAGACGGCGGAGGATTTGCGGGAGAGGAGGGGTCGTTTATCTGGGGTTGTTGGTGAACCGGGCCCGCTGCCGCCGGCGGCATCGGCGCCCAAGATGGAGGAAGAAGAAGCTGAGGCGGTATTATTTTTGAGCAAGCGGCGGCGGCGGCTAAGGAAAAAGAGAAGGGCCACGGACATGACACTAAAGATAAGAATTGCGCCAAAAACGACACCGAGAAGAATGGCAAAGGGCGTGCGTAAATGGAAAGGCGGTGAAAAGGGAGGCATTGGTCTGGTAATCCAGTCAGGGGAAAGGAAGCGGTCGACGTAAAGAATGGTAGACTTGCATTCGGAAGGCTGTTGGTCAGATGAGCAAGCATAGGGAGTGGTATCGCCTCGATCTAGCACACGAATTTCGTGGAGCGAATCTCCCTCGACAATGCTGACAAGATAAAGTCCTGAGTCTATTTCCTTTGCTGTGAGATGGATATCATCCTGCATGGAGAGGACTTCTCCGCCATCGAGGAAGTCATTGATGGGGTTACCTGGTAGCACATGCATGCGGAGCAAAACGTCAATATCTGGGGTATGTACAGTAATATTATTTGCCTCGAGGACCTTGTTCGAAGGTGCAAGAATGGTATATTTAGATTCTTCAGAGTTACTATTGTCTAGGACATGAGACATGTTACGAGCCTGCAACAGTGCAATGAAGAGAGTTGAGTCAACCGACTCCAAGATATTTGTTGACGACACTTGGACCTGATTAGGAATGACAATTTCATTAACGGCATGGATGACACCGGATGAAGACAAGACATTTGCAGTTTCAACGTGATAATGGTTTGGACCAATGTAAAGGTCCAATGGCGCGTAATTGCCCATGTCGTTGCGAGTTTTCTTTTTGCCCTGTTTGCGGTGATGTTTTTTAAGGGCCTTTTTCTTCTTCTTTTTAATCACTTTACCGTCCTTAATTAGGTTATCGTCTTCATCTCCGTCAGTGGAAAATCCAGGATTGTGAGTGATTCTAGGAGGGGTTGAAGAAACAACAACATCAGTTCCATCAAATAGTTTTGTTTTCATGGGGGCCGAGTCGGAGTAAAATGGGGCACGCAGAATAAGAGATTCGAGAGTAAGACGTAAAGCCGTCATGTTAGTTTCCAAGTACCTAGTAACAAGACCAATAGACTTCCAGGCAATTGCGGTGGGCAAAAGAATGGTCCACCCATTTGATGCAGGAAGACCAAACAAGCCAAGTTGCTGAAGATAGGTTGCGGATTGGGCAGATTGCAAAACAGAACCCACGGCAAGGTCAATTGGAGGTGGAGGATCGAGGCTGCCATCAATAAGGTATATAGTTGTGTTGCCAACAATAAAGGGTCCGTCAGTGACCAAGTCGTGGCCATTCAGGTAAATTTCAGAGTCTGCCTCGTTTGCGGAGACGCGGATGCGCTGGAAGCCGTAACCAAGACGTTTGAAGGTTGCTTTTGAGACGAGCAAGTAGTTTGAGTTTATAATTTCGTCAATGTCGAGGGTGTGCTGGCCCTGGATAAAATGGTACATGACGGTTGGAATTGATTGGGTAAAGACAGTATTGTCGTCTTCATCGTCTGAAGAAGACAATTCACCTCGTTGTTTTAGAACGACATCAGGGTTTGAAGATATAAAGGTACGTTTCCCTAAAAGCAAAGAGCTGTCCGAGTCATCGCGTGGAGCAAAAATGGTTTGCTTATCTTGAGGATCAGAACCATTAATAAGGTATCTAAGGCCGCGAAACTTTACTTCCTTAACAAAGGTTTCTGCGCCAAGAACAAGGAGATGTTTTTCTGGAGTGAAATTGATTAAGGAGTGAATGTTCCCAGTGGGGGCAATGATAAAGTCATTGTAAAAATGAACGATGCCGTCATTTGCAATAATGTCTGCGATAGTTGGTGCCCAGGAACCATTGATAACCATGGAGGTGGATATATTAAGAGGACATCCATCAGCAGCTTTGATAATTGCGCTTGAATGATCATCAAGGGGCGTTTTATGAGCCAATTTGGGAATAAGCGCCGATGCAACTAAGCCCGAGTTGATTGTGTGACGGTTGATGAGAGCAACGCGGTCATCGTGGCCCCAGTCGGAAGATAGATATAAGAGTTCAATGTTTGAGAGCTGGTCGAGAAAGACGGAATTGGATGGTACGAGAAGGGTAGTTGGGGAGTTAAAGACCGGGCCTGAGCATTCGTGTTCAAGGAGGAAGAGGGAATAAAAGATGGAGTGGTCTGGGGAAGATGCGAGGGTTTCACAAATTGATGGTGGAGGAGCTAGGAGTTTGTCAATGACTTGGACGACTCCGCGATGCTTTGAAGCCTTGAGATCGGTTTCGACAAGCTCGGCGGAAGAATTTTGGGAGCTCCGGGCAACAATGTAAGAAGAAGGGTCAGGACCACGCGAGTCCGATTCTACTTTGGTGAATAGGACTGGGATTGCTGGGTAACCGATGGGGATAGTTGCAAGAGGATCGGAGACTTTTTCGACAGAAATGGGAGGAGCACCAGCATCAATATTTTTGAGATAATTTTGTGAGTGAAGAAAAGATGGGTGAATATTTGTTTGAGTTGAAGGATTTTGAAGAAAGTCAGAGGCAATGAAAGTGGTGTTAATAATGTGATAGAGAAGACGATCGCGTGTGATGAATGCAGGGTCAATGTCTAAGAAGGCATTATTTGATGGGGCCAAAAAGGTAATATTGCGAGCCTGGTTGATAAGAGGGACTAAGCCCAGATGCTGGAGGTGAGATATGAGGATAGAGAACTCTGCTGATTGAGAGAGGATATCTATAATGGAAGTTGTTGGAACATTTTTTTTTGGTGGTGGTGGTGATGATGATGATGGTGGTGGTGTTGGTTGATGAGAAGAAGTTGGTGAAGGTGGGATGATAGTAGTGGAAGATAATTCTTGGGAAGTAGCCGAGATAGATGCTGAAAGTAACGGCTGAGCATGAGAATATGGGATTGCAATGAGAGAAAAGAGTATTAAGGCCAGTGGCAAAAGCTTGCGAGATAAAGAAAAGGTCAAGAAAGAAAAAGAAGAAGAAGATACGCGTTGGTTTATGAAAGTGGGCAGGCTTTGAGAGCCCATGGGATTACTGGAGGTAGCACATTTACTACAGCTCGGGATCATACTAGGTGAGGGATGCAGGTTTTGAGAGAAGATTATAGTTAATGGGGAAAGAGTATATAGTTTTTGATTGTGTGATTTTTTTTCTTTTTTTTTTTTTTTTAAAAAAAAAAGGGGGGGTTAATGGGTAGTTTTGGAATCTAAAGTATATATATATATATATATATATATATATAGAGATGGTGATTGTTATTGTTGAAGGGTTTTTTTTTAAGGAAGAAGTTTTTTTTTTTTATTTATTTATTTAAAAAAAAAAAAAAATTGGTTATTGCCGTAATAAGGCTGAGAGAAAGTTCGTTTGTATGGAGGCTGGTTGTTTAAACAAACGCTTATTTAGGCTTGTAAATGAGGAGGGGCCAGTAAAGTATTATTATTATTATATTATGATTAGGTAAGTATTATGTAATTTTTTATTAATCTAGAACAATAAAAAAAAAGTAGAACTTGAAAAAAAAAAAAATTCTGGGGGAAAAAAATGAAGATTTTATATTTTATATATTTTGAAATAAAAACTTTAAAGGCACTTCTTTAAAAATCTACTTTTTTTTATTTTTCAAAAGAAAAATTTTATAAATAAATCTATATATAAAAAAAAAAAATTTTTTTTTTCTTTGGCTGCTTTTTGCTGTTGCTGTTTGTTTGTTTGTTTTTTTGCTGCTTTTTTTTTTTCTGCTGCTGCTTATATTTTCTGCTATTGTTGGTGCTGCTTTTTTACCATTTTAAGAAAATCTTGTTGGTACTACGCTGACTGTTACTATTAACAATCATATATACACATGACTATTTTACTTATATATACTTATAAGTAATTATTTTATTTTAAAGAAAAAAAAAAGAAAAAAGAAAAAAGAAAAAAGAAAAAACCTCTTCTCTGCTAGTTGCATTTTAGGTAACTACGATAGTTAATGTCTTGGTTGGTCGTGTGCACAAGTACCCACTTTGGACTTTGGTCTTGTGTGTTATTTTTTTTTTTTTTTTTTTTTTTTTTTTAAGGGGGGAGTAGGAGGAGGAGGGAAGGGATTGCCGAGGGATAACAATTAGGCTGGACTCGAGGGTTAGGGTGTGATGTTTTTTTTTTTTGGGTGCTATCTGATAACAAATAGTTGAGTGGCAAATGTGTTACAAGATTTTAAAAGGTGTAACTGTAATTATAAATGTTAAAAAAATGTAATTAAAATGTTATATTTTTATTCCATTTATGTTACATTTATGTTACATTTATGTTACATTTATGTTATATTTATGTTATATTTATGTTATATTTATGTTATATTTATGTTATATTTATGTTATATTTATGTTACATTTATGTTACATTTATGTTACAGTAATTTGTTTCTAAACTTATTCAGTAACTTAATTATTAACATACGATAACCTTTTATTTTTTTTTTTTGTAGATACGACCAAATCCCTCCACACGAACATTCACACACAAAAGTTTCTCGTCGTCTTTTCGCAAATTTATTCTATTTTTTTTTATGTTCTCCCCCAAAAAAAAAAAAAAAATTGTGTCTATCCCCAAAAAAAAAAATTCTCACAAAAAAAAAAAAAAATTCTCACAAAAAAAAACAATTCCATTCATTAATTTAAATTAAATATATTAAAAAAACAAAAAAATAGTAGTAATAGTAAGTTATATATATATAAAATAAACACAATTGCCAAATAGAAAAACATTCTTCATGGGGAGGGGTTTTTGGTCAAGCCCAAGAGACAAACTAGTAAAAAAAAATGGAGACCGGACATTAATATTCCGTTATTTATTTGTCAACTTAAGCTCTTCTTCTTTTTATTTTTTTATTTTTTTTTAGTAATGAAAAAAAAAAAAAAATAATAAAATTTCATGAATTCAATTGTATCAATTTGTTTTTCTAAAAAAAAAAAAAAGATTAATTCTTCTTTTTTTTTTGTTCTTCTTAATTCAAATGTGTTTAGAATATATACAAATCTCTTTTTTTTTTTTCTGAATAACCCGTTTCCCCAATTGCTTAAGCACCAAGTTCCTTAAGATCCTCTGGATGTTTAGCAGCTTCATCATTAAAAAGCAGTTCTGCAACAAGCCAGTATGCAACCACACCACTTGCAATGACAGTAAGGGTGAAACGGTCCTTTTCACCAAGCTCTTCAAGCTTCAGCTCTTGTACAGTATCCTTGCCAGCCTCCGAAGACTCAAAAAACGACAGCAGGTCGTTTTGGCCGCGGGTCAATGGCTCCGTATCTGACATTTGACTGGCCGTGGCCTGGCCGGAAACGTGTGAAATGTCACCCGCCTTAAACTCGGCAGTAGGCTTGGTACTACCACCACCAACAGTTACAGGCTTCAATGAGTTTAGAGTTGTCCAAGAATCTGGCAGAGATGGAATATTAATATGGCTGGACGGAAGACTGGTCGATACAGTCATGTCGGGGAACTTGAAGAAGTCAATTGTGGAGTTATCATCCTTGGCCATGCGGACCATAGAGGTTCCAAACGCGCGACTTTGGGTAATGCGGGTGGCAAGCGTGGTTTTTCTTGCGATACGAGTCAATTGTCTAAGAGCAGTCATGTTTGATATGATAAAGATGGTGATGATTTTCTTTGGTTGGATATAAGAGAGAAAAAAAAAGGCTGTGGCGTTTAAAAAGGGGGGGAATGTGAAGTGTTTGTTGGAAAGTAAAAAAAAAAAAAATGTAGATAGAAAAGAAGAAAATAAAAAAAAAAAAGCGGGATTTCGCAGGGTATTTTAAACCCTCCAGGTAAATTATAAATTATAAATTATAAATTAACCCACCACCACAACCACCAACCATCATTACCTCCACAACAACCCAAATACCTTTTTTTTCTTTGGTCTTCTTCCCCAGCTTATTAACGGTTGCCCAAAACAGTCAAAGCTGGCAATTTAGTATTGGCTTGCTTGTATTACTATGAGTATTTATTATTAATGCTATATATTTTTATATACTTTGTATTCTTTGTATTCTTTTTTTTTTTTTTAATTTTTAGAGAAATATACCTTTGGACTGTACATTTATAAACACACCACCACCACCACCACTTTTAACTTCAACAAGTATACTATAGATATATTTTAACACCCCGCTCTCATCTTTACTTTATTTTTTTTAAACCTCCCCTCCTCGGCTCTTGAGTTTGTTTGTTTGTTTGTTTATTTATTTATTTGCTTTTCATGTGAAATATTTATATGAATTTCTTCTATATATATATTTAAATATATATTGAATGAAAGAAGATAAAAAAAAAAAAAAAGGGCTCATATCCAAGCGGTGTTTGAAAACACGTTTTTTTGTTTTTTTTTGTTTTTGTAGTCTCGCCAAAGTGTAAGGCTGATTTCTGTAAAAGTCCATTTGGCTGCTGTAGGGGTTTTTTCATGGTGCTGCTGCTGCTTAAATATATAAAAGCCTTTAAAAATGTGTGCAGCTTTTTAATTTTTTCATTCTTTTTTTTTTTTTTTTTTTTAACCCCACCACCACCAGAACCATTAACATCTAGCCGTCCTTGATAAGCAAAAAAAAAATAAATAAATAAACATGAGCAAGCTGATTTGAAATGAATTTTTTTATATTAAATATTTCCCCTGGATGTCAATAGTTTTTTTTTTTTTTTAAAAATAAAAAAAAAGTAAACTGTGAAATAAAAATAAAAGAAATAAAAGAAATAATAAAATAATAAAAAAAACATACATTCTTCAATACCAATACCATCCACCTTCACAGAACCTCGCAGCCATTCATGATAAGACCTGTTTGTTGCATTATGGCGTCACTGTATGCTTCTTAAGACTCTTCTCTTATTCCCCTTTGCATGATACCTATCTATCTTTCTATCTATCTGCCTTAGGAAACCCTTCATCCGAGAAACTTTTATTATTTATTGCTTTATTTACCTCCAGACATTAATACAATACTAACAGGTAATCACGTGGCATCATGATATAAACATAAAAGAAAAAAAAAAAAAAGAAAGAAAGAATTGATCTTTTTAAACCTTTTGCCACAATAAGCAACCATACAAGCAACAACAGCAGCAACCTTCTTTTTTTTTTTTTATTAAAATTTTTATTAAAACAAATTCAAATTTATTTAATAATAATAATGACTTTATTATAACTATCCATATATATAACAAAAAAATTGCATTAAATATATTTACAACTCATGTTTCTTGATATCATTCTGGAATTCCCCCAAAACAAAAAATAAAATATGCGTTCAATAGAACCATTATGCTTACTTTATTCAACTTTACAGTTTATGACTTTTATGCAGACCATTTTCAAAATGTTTGACAATATCCGAGACGTGCTTTTATACTCCAAAAAAAAAAAAAATAATAATAATAATAATAACAATAATAAAGGTATAAATACCCAATGACTTTCCTTTGAATGTTTGTTAAAAGTTTATGACTTAAAAACTCATCCATCCAATTTATTGTATTCAAATAAAATAAGAAAAGAAAAGAGTATACGTGAAAATAATATTCACTTTGTTTTTATTTATTTCAATTCTTTTAAAGTATCAAAGTTAGTTTATTCCCAGATTTACCTCAAATCAAATCATTGAATAAAAAGAGTTATTAAAGATAAATTAAAAATTAAAAATTTTAAAAAGCACACTTTTACTTTTACTTTAACTTTTTTTTTTTAATTTGGCATTATTTTCGATTTTTTCAAATATCCCATTTTCATTTCATCTCTGCATTAATTCTTAATTATTGTTTTTTTCTTTCCTTTCCTTTCCTTTCCTTTCCTTTCCTTTTGTTCACTTCATTCACTCAAATTCAATGCGTCGCTCAACAAAAACTCCTAGACGTCTTGATCCTGAAATCAAGGCTAAGCTTCGCCTGGCTTTCCATTGCAAGGAAAGATCCCAGAATTTTAGCTATAAAAGAATGTGTCTGCCCCATGTTTTGACTTTTTTTTTGGGTCTTGTTTATATTTTGTCAACTTATTACGATACAAGTATTCAGCTTTTTGAATTGCTTTTGTTTTTTCTTTATACTCTCTACAATTTATACGCTTCTTTTTATTACTGTTAAATAAATAATCAATACATATACACACTCTCTTTTTTTCGTTCTCTATCTCTTTCTCTTTCTTTCTAATAATAATAAATTATGATTAACGAAATTCCAACCATACATCAAAGCAACCCTCACGCTTATGTTTGGGGCACAAGCCAGGCGCTAGGTCCCGTCTTTGTGACTGATTTTTTGCTAAAATACTTTTCCAGCCGAATTTGTGCTTTAGAAAATGATGATTATAATGATGACGACATTAGTGATGTTGACGATGATTGTTTTATATCAAAACTCAAGCCTAATTCTGATTCTCAAAAAATGGTTAAACAAAACCATCAAATTATTGAAGATCACGATGCTTTATTGGTTGAAAGAGAAATTATCCTAAATTTGGGAGTTCTTGAAGATTCCAAACATCATTCCAATTTTGTAAAAAAGACAAAGTCTAAACCAAAGGAAGGGAAAAAAATTACAAACTTGACAGTTGGTCAGATTTCAAAGTCTGGGGAAAAGAAAGTGGTGGTATCCAGCCCAAAATATCAAAACAACCCCATATGCAACCCTGTTTTGCAATCTAAAAAACTTGACCCCACCAAAAAAGAAATTTCTTGTGTTACAAACCCTTCAACAATACCTCAATATTCTACTACCTCTTCTTCTCCCCCCACAACTTCATTTTTTAACAAGTTGTCGAGTCTTTCTAAAACTGGGCACTTGAACCATGTTCCAATAAGAATTTCTGGGTCTTATCAAAAGTCTAATTTTACTAGTTTGAGTCCCAAAACTGATGTGAACCGTGTTTTAAAGAAAAAGGGTTTACGGGTGCCTAGCCAGTCTTTGGCAAAAACTACAAATGACTTGAAACAAACATTGCCAGTTGCAAGATCTAAAGCTCAGGATGAGAAGACTTGTAAAAAAATTGGCCAGGTAAAGGGGGCCTTTTTTTTCGGATGCAAGACTGTGATTGTTGAGAGAAGAAACATTAGCTAGCATTAAAGTGTGGGAAAGTTGATAAAGTGCAAGCATATAAACATGGATAAAACAAAAGAATAAGCATTAAAGTATAAGAATTATCATATATATTAATAATAATAAATAAAATAAAAAACTTTTATATCCATCTCTTTAAAACCCCTCAAGCTCTACAAGACTCGAAACAATAAGCACAACGGCCACAACACCCAAGGTTGTAGAGAGTCCCTGAAGTGCAGTTAGCACTAGAAATTCAAGCAGTCTTGTAAGTAGCATTGAAAGGGCGATAGTTGCAAGAAGTGCTAGACGGGTTGCTCCGTTTGCTGTTATTCCTTTTGAGGGGAATTGTGATTGTGGTATTAGTTTTTTTTCATGAGGTTGAAGTAAACTTATTGCTGTAGATGGAAGAAGGGTTTGAGAAGGTTTAGAAGAAATGGGAGTTGCAAATTCTTTTAGTTGCTTGTATGTCGTCATGATGTTTTTTTTTTTCCTTTACTTTTTTGTTGAAAAAAAAAAATTGTTTTTAAAGTGATAGATCTAAAAGGGTTTTTCCTCTTGTTGAAAAGTATATATGGTATTAGATTTTTGAGAATTGAGGGGAAAGGAGTATTCAAAAACCCAAAAATCTAAAAAAAATACAGCTTTCATGTTGTCCTTTTTTTTTCTCCGCACGTGGATCAAGGCTTGTTTTTATTATTAGTTTGAGAGCAAGTTCTATAAGATCTGAGAAAATAAATATATATAGTTAATTGTAGTTTTTCTATTAAGTATTTGAGGTAATAGGACGTACAAAATAAGTGAGTATATATATATATATATATATATATATATATATATATATAATAATCATTAAACCTTTTATTTTCTATTTGTATTTAATTATTTTTTTTTTCCCCTCCAACTCAAATGGTTTCCAAATGAAGAAGAAACTCATGAAGCTTTAAATGATTTTTTTTTATTTTAATTTATTTCTACTCTACTAAAAAAAATAAATCAAAAAAAAAAAAAAAAAAAATTGTTGCTCATTTCCTTAATTTATTATATATATACCAACTGCTGTGAATACTAATGGATATTAATGTGTTTGCTTTTGTGAAAAAGATTTTTTTTTTTTTTTCCAGATCGGAAAGCGTTTGGTATGAAATGTTAAGCATTGAAATTTTTCTTTTTTTACAATCAATCAATTTATTATATACCCATATATTTGATTAGTCAGCATTTTAAAAAGACACATGATGTCATTATAGATAAGCCAGCCACTTGCGGCTAATTTTTTTTTTAAAAGAATAAAAAAAAAATAGGTTGTAGCTGTTTAATAACAGACAATAAATAGACTCTTTTTTTTGTTTAATAGATTCTATAAACTGTAAGATTCAATTATCAAAAAAAAAAAAAAAAAAGAGAATAGTCAATATATATATAATCCAAAAAAAAAAAAAAAAGAAAAAAAAAGTCCTTAATCACTTCCATCCTAGAAATGCATCATCCGAATCCAGTCCTTCTGAAAAAATCTCCGGTGTATGACCTTTGCTTGCCTTGTACTCCTTCCACTTATCTGGAACAATATAACAGTCGAGCCTTTCGTCTGCCTGCAGTCTAGGCTCGTACTTTTTGCGTGCTGCCTCAGTGTCGACCACGGTAATTAGGTCCACTTGATTATTTGCCCAGCGTGAACCTTTCTTCATGTACTTTCCAAATGAGTACGCATTAGCCTCATGTTCTTGGGAAATTGAGTGCACATGGTGCGTTGCACAGTTGACCAAAACAAGCTGGCGTAAACTAGGGTGTGTGGCCACAAAATGATGGAACCGTGGGCAGTCAAGTGGACGGATATCAGAGCGCGTAACAGCCACAAGTTCCCGCTCACGACGAAAAGCCGAGTCTGAGTATCCAAGCTCAACGTAGCGTAATTTAGGGCATGCGGTAAGGGCGGAACCGAGACGCTCCCAGTAGCCACAGGAGCAAAGCTGGATCCAGTAAACAAGAATATCTTCAAGAGATGCACTATATCGGGTTCCAAAGGGGTCGAGAATGAAGCTAAGGAGCATGAAGAGACGTTCAAAACGGAGCATTTGTGGGGGGATAGAGTTTTTAATTTTAGCTTCGAGGTGGGCCTTTTTCTGGTAATAGGCAGATTTAGATGCTGGGGTCATTGCTGCGTAATTGTTGTACTTTGACTGGTCGAGATCAAGGATATCTTCTAGAAAGTTGAGGCGAATGAAGGTTAATATTTCTGAGATTGTTGTTTTAGACTGGGGTGGAGAGATTTTTCCTGCATTGAAGGAGGTGTTTTCAAAGACATTTGCAAATGCAAAGTGGCTGGGGGAAATAGCACGTAATAAGCGGAGTCTTTCAAGATGCGGGCAGCATTGAAGAACAGAGACAAGAAGACAAGAAGTGTCATAGTTGTTGACTTGGATGTCGATGAAAGATACGTGGGCAAAGATGGGGACTTTGGGGTTGTTTATTAGCAGAGAGAAACAAGAAATGTCACTTTCAAGCATATGCATTGAACGGAGGCGTGGGAAAGCTAAAGATTGGAGGAGGATTGGATAGCGGAGAAAGTAAGGCCCTGAGTTTTCACAAAGGTGGGTAATTTGTGGGAGCTGTAGATCGAAAAAAATGAGAGATCCAACAGGGTGATCCAAGCCTTGAGCACCTGCACCGTCCAGCAGTAGCAGGGCATCATCTGCGACTGTATCGTAGTTGCGGAATGAAAGTTTAAAAAAGGGGATATCTTGTGGGAGGGTAGCAAGAGCCTCGAAGAATGCTCTAGAAAAGTAGCCGTTTGTGAGAGTGAGTGCTTTCAGGTGAGGGAGAAAGTTTGAAATGTTAGTGACAAGAGTGATATAAGTTGATTCTGTGACAAGGGTATGAGGGCACTTGAAGATGAGAGTGTTTATGTTGGGGAAAGTTTGTGGGATATGAGTTGTTTGGAAGGCAGCCATGTCTGTTGCAGAGAGTGGAGTGAGGAGGTTGAACTCTAAGGAGGAGATTGTTTGAGCATAGTTATTTTCGGCTAGACTTGCTAGGACAGATGGGGAATGTATAATGAGATTAGAGGAGTATGGTGATGATTGAGGTGATTTGGGTAAAAGGATTGGTGTTAATGATTGAGCAAATCGGTCTGATTTCCCTATAAAGATGCGCCATTTGATTTTTCGAAGGTTTGGGTAAGATTTTGTAAAAGATTCATGTGAAAGGGCAGCTAGAAGGGCATCAGTTTCAGCACCAGCTTTACGGAAGAGTAAATTAGCAGAGAGAACAGAATGCGATGGAAACCAAGAGGAGTGACGAGAGGGTGCAAAGAAAACAGATAATGGGATTGGACGTTCGGAAGGATTGAAGAGAGTTTTTGCGAGGGATAAAGAGCAGTGACGGAAGGAAGCTTGAGAGTAAGGTTGGCGCAGGATTGGGTGGGTTTGTCCAAGGGCTGCGCAGTCAGTTGCAGCTAGAAAGGAGATTAGGGCAAGATGGACTTCTCTTGGGAAATCGAGAAGAGACGTTTGGCAGGTCATTTATTTGTGGAATAGTTGGGTTGGTTTGGGTGGTTTGGATGGTTTGGTTTGGGTGGAAGAGGAGGAAGAAGAAAAGAGTTTGGTGAACGGAATTAGGACTTATCGGTAAAATAATTAGAATAAAATAATTAAATTAATTAAATTAATTAAATTAATTAAATTAAACAAATTAATTAATTAAGATAAAAAAAATTAAAAAAATGATAAAATGATTAAAAAAAAAAAGATAAGAAAGCTTGGCGGAACACGGAACAGTGAACTCAAATCTAAAAGTCCCGATCGGGTGGTATTTTTAACGGAAAGAAAATACATATTATATTTATATATATTAGATATAGATATAGATATAGATATATATAGATCTTTTTTAGTTGGTTTTTTTCTTCTTCTTCTTTTTTTTTTTTTAGGGCTGCAAAGGGCAGCCATCCAGGCAGCCAGTTAAACAGGCATGGCAAGTACATAAGGCAAGCAGCCATATATATTAATGCCCATCAAAAAAAAAAAAAAAAAAAAAAAAAAAAAAACTTTCATATATACAAACAAACACACACACACAAAAAATTTATACACACAAACTCATCACCAGTCGCTACCATCTTTCCCCTCTCCACTCGGTCCATCAGTAAACATTTTTTTTTTAAATTCCATAGAGATAATATAAAAAAAAAAAAAACCCATTCTTTTCATAATATAGATTCACCAATTTTTTCTTTTTTTTTTTTTTTCTTAAAGGCCCATGAGACTTCCGTGGTATCCTATTCATCAATTTTCTTCCTTCTTTAAAAGAAAAAAATCAACTCCTCCCACATCATGATCTTCGACGAAAACCTCCCCCCACAACATTCTCTCAATGCCAACATCTATACAATCAAAATGCTCACCCGAAGACCAGGGTCTCCATACTTTACTCTATGGTTCATGGTCTCCACATTCACTCCAATCATGTCTGCTTGCGTCGGACCCCTCGCAAATATGATTTCTATCGGTGCCATTGTAGACCCTTGGCGTAATGATCCCTCAGGCTCTCACAAAATCCCAGATAGTGGTTGGGTCCTCGGCCTCAATATTGCATCTCTAATCATTGGCTTTGCAGCAAACATTTTATTAGTCCTTAACTTTACCGGTAAACTTCGATATGCCATTGCCCAAGTCGGGTCCACGGCGTTATGGTTGATGGCTTCCATAGTTCTCTCAGCAACACTCATTGCAGCATGGTGCACTGGCTACTTTGATGGATATGAGCGTTCTGGTGGCTTCTATCTAGGCTGCTTCACAAGCGGTCTTTACTTTGTATGCTTCTGCTTGTTAGCAGTCAACTACGGAGGATACTTACTAGGTGAGTATGATGCTACCTTCAATCTAGACCAGTCTCAACGTGGTCTCATGATTCATACTGTCATGCTAGGTGCATGGTTATGTATTGGTCCAGGTATGTTTATGCATCTTGTCAGTTCTGGGCCCTGGGATTCCTATGCAACCAGTTTATACTACACCATCATTCTTGTAACCACCATTGGTCTTGGAGATGTACTTCCAAAAAATAATGCAGGAAGAGCTTTATCACTGGCCTATGCCTTTTTCGGCGTCCTCGAGCTTGGTCTTATCATTTCGTGGCTGCGTCAGTTTGTGCTTTCCAACATTGGGCCAACCTTATTTTGGCACCGCCTCGAACAATCCCGTCAAAAGGCTAAAAGGGCACTAGAAGAACATAATGTTATTTTAAATGGCCGCCAATCATTTGAACTTATTTCCCGTCTGCGGTCCCGCTGTGAAATAATTCAAAAGCTTAGAAGCGTTTTTTTTACTCTGGGATTTTATACCATTTTCTGGCTAATGGGGGCTCTTGTTTTCACCTATGTTGAGGATTGGACTTATTTCATCAGTGTTTATTTTGCCTTTTTGTGTCTAATCACTATTGGTTTTGGTGATTTTGCTCCTGAAACCGCTCTGGGCCGCGCCTTTTTCGTTGTGTGGTCACTTTCCGCTGTTCCAATGATGACCATGTTAATCACCTCAGTTGGTGATGCCATGTTTGCAATTGCCTCTCATATGGATGAATTCTTGAGTTCTGTAACTGGCTTAAAACAACAATTTTATGTAGCTGAAGATGCCATGATTGAGGCCCATTGGTTTAAAAGAGAACTTGATACGGCCCGTGATGAGGAAGAAGCCCTAGAAGGGTTAAGTCGTATTTATACTCCTAACGGTAAAATCAGGCAGTCCCTGCATCGCCATCTCCCTAAACCCCATCTACAATCTCGCCGGTCTTCCAAAAATTATTATAAAAATTATAAGAATCGTCATCATAATAATAATAATAATAATAATAATAACACTCGAGAAAGTCACCACACTCTTCGGGAAGCAGTTCCTGAGATTCTGCGAGCATTATCACCTGGCCGTACTTTAAGAGCAATTTCTAGTATTGTGAGTGAGGACCGGATCCGTGAAGATATTGAGGAGGAGCAACGGGAGGAGCAGGCGTTACGGAAGGAAGAACATATGCGGGTGCATGGACGCGGTAGTAGGAGTCGGAACAACTCGGTTTTGGTGGGTGGTGATCAAATTGGGAGAAATGAAAGAAACCAAGAAGAAGTAGAAGTAGAAGTAGAAGGTGATGATAATGAAGGACGCGGAGACAATGAAGAAGAAGTAGAAGAAGAGGAAGAAGAAGAAGATAATGAAGATAATGACGAAAATGGAAACGAAAGTCTAGATCGAATCCAATCACAAGCATCTCCAGGAACGGGAGGGGTTGGTAATCACAGTGGTGGTGATGGAGGTAATGACAGCAGTAGCAGTTCAGACTCGGAAGAACGCATGATTCTCAACCATATTGTCATGGATGCGGAAGAATATCGCCGAGAAAGTGTGCGGATAGTTGACATGTTGCTTGCAAGCATTAACAATGACCCCAACAAGGTTCATTCGTTTGAAGAATGGGCTGCCATGTATTATCTTTTAGGCGAAGATCCCATGGAACCCATGTTATTTTTAAGTGATCATTCGCCATTACGATTCCCATTAAAAGAGGGCAATTACATGATGAACCGTGTAATGCGGGACCTTGAAAATCGAGTTGATTTATCAGACGAACCCGTGTCTTTACAATTGGGAGGGGATAGTCGTGCAGGATCAATTAGAAGAAGAAGACCGCGGAGTATAGTTAGATCTTCTCGTGCATCACAGGTCTCGATCCATGCGCGCGACCGGTCCCAGTCCCCACGACAAGTTTTGGAAGCTGAGAAGCCTTCTAGTCCAGTTACCAGAGTATCTTCCTCTTCACCTTCATCATCATCTACTTCTTCTTCTTCTTCATCATCATCATCGTCTAATTCATCTTCTTCATCATCTACATCTTCTTCACAACGCCCCGAGAGCTGTCCGCATTGCTCTGGAACGTGCACCTGCGGCTGCCGTTTGTCTTCTTCTGCCGCCGGGGTACCGCCGCACAGTACCAGCTAGCAAAGCCTTTAAATTCAACACAGTTTTTTTTTTTTTTTTTGTATGGGTATATTTAGACGAAAAAACGAGAGAGAAAGAGATAGAGAGATAAATGAATAGAGAAAAAAAAAATTAGAAAGAATTAGAAAGAGGGGCTTCTTTTTTTTTTTTTCATAGGAATTTTAGAGAGGATGAAAAGAATGAATTTTTATTTTTCAATTTATTTTTATTTTTTTATATAACAAAAAAAAAAGCGCATTGGATGTATTTTTTTTTTTTTTTTTTGCTTTGTAAATATAGAATTTTTTTATTTTTTTTTTTTTTATGTACACATCAACAAATTAATTTGGGTTTAAAAACCTCCATTTAGCCACCACCAATTTTTTTTTTTTTATAAATTTTTAAATTTTTAAATTTTTTAAAAAAAAACTTTCATTTATTTATTTCAATCAAATCTTATTGAAACATTTCATATATATTTATTTATTTTTTTTTAATAAAAAAAAATAAATAATCTCCTAATCTCCCCTTTATTCTTCCAATATCTATAAAAATGCTTAGACTTCTCTCTCGTCGTCGTCCTCAATCTGCTGCTGCAGTTACTGCCCAGCGTACTCTCAGAATGCTTTCTTCTGATGCTAAAGACCCAATCTTATCAAAATCTGACCCAACAGCTCAACCAAACCCTTCAACCACTACCACTACCACCACCACCTCATCAACCTCATCCTCAACCTCAACTTCATGTTCAACACACGACCCAACTCTTCATGAAACTACCCAATTCTATGGCTCTCCTCTTAAACGAACTACAACTTGGCTTCAAGCATTCCGTGCCCGTGAACAAAAACATCAAGAATGGCTTGAAAAAAATAAAGATGATATTCTTGCCGGCCGTCTTCATCCTCACCAATTCCCCCTCGAATCTTACTCTTACCAACATGTAGTCACAGAAAAAGTAACTAAAAAATCACCCAAAGATTCCTTCTCTTATACTATCTTACCCTTCAAATCAGATGAATGGTTCCTAGATGGTTATATCAACGCCTTTGGCCGTCTCCGTATAGGCCAACTCTTCCAAGATTTGGACTCTCTAGCTGGTATCATTGCATACCGTCACTGCTCTCCTGCCCTCCCAGTCATTGTCACCGCCTCTGTTGACCGTGTTTTTATGAAAAAACGTTTGGATAAAATCGCAGACTACAATGTCTCACTCTCTGGTAATGTCACTTGGACTGGCCGCTCTTCTATGGAAATCACAATCAAGGCTTGTACCCATACTGACCCCATGAACCGTGATACTACAGTCCTCACCCCAGATGATGTCAACGAATCAGATGTCTTTCTCACCGCTAACTTCACCTTTGTGGCCCGTCACCCCACCACTAAACGATCCTTCCCCATCAACCATGTCGTTCCAGAAACTCCAGACGAGCTCCGTGAATTCGTACGTGCTGAAAAATATAATACCGCTAAAAAGGAGGCCGCCCAAAAAACTTCCCTTAACCATAGACCTCCCTCAGGTGAAGAATCTCGTCTCATCCATTCAAAATGGCTCACAACCCTCCCTGGATACATTGAATCTCACAAAACTTCCCCTCAAATCCTTTCAACAACAATGGCTAAAACTCGTACTCACTCAACTACCATGATGCAGCCCCAATACCGTAACCGTCATTCATATATGATTTTTGGTGGTTACCTTTTGCGTGAAACTTTTGAGCTCGCTTACTCTTGTTCTGCTGCCTTTGCCCATGCTTCTCCACGCTTTGTTTCCCTTGATGAAACAACTTTCAGAAACCCAGTCCCCGTCGGTTCGGTTCTTTATCTCACCGCAACCGTCGTTTATACTGAATTCATCAACCGTAAACAAAACCCTGAAGCTGGTGAACCCTCTGCTCCAACCTCTGCTCCACTCCCTAACTCGGGCTCTGAATTCGCTAAAACTGCAGTCCCAGGAACCCTCATCCAAGTCCGCGTCGACTCCCTTGTCCGTGATATTAATCACGGTACTACTACAAATACTGGCTCCTTTGTCTTCTCCTTCTTCGCCGCCGCTCAAGCCCCTGGTGCCCCCGTCGAGGCTCCTGCAAAGTACTATACCATTGTCCCAGAAACTTATGCTGAAATGATGGAGTACCTCGAAGGTCGTCGTCTTGCCATTGAAACTGCAAACTTTAATACTTATGTCCGTATGATTCCCTCAGGCGAAGTTGTTTCAGAGTAATTTTTTTTTTTTGAATTTTTGAAATTTTTTTTTAATTTGATTTAATTTAATTTATAGATAAAGTCTTTACAATATAACAATCCCCATTCCTTCCTTTAATTTATTTATTTATTTATTTATTTATTTATTTATTCATTCATTCATTCATTTGTTTATATGAGACTCCTCTGAAAGCTCATCTAAAATTGAGTCCACAGAATCCCGCTTATGAATCGCCTCCAAAGGAACCCCATTCTCATCATCAGAGTCGTGAAACTCTCCCAACCCAATAGAGCTGGCCCCAGCTGGCGCATTGGCCCCCAGGTTCCGGTACTTGCCAGCAACAGGATCATTCGTCTTATGATTGAGTCGCAGGCTTCTTCCACCTCGTGATGGCACGTGCCACCGCGAAATCCCTGACAAAATGCTTCTGAAAAAGCCCTCTTCTCGAATAGGCACCCGTTGCTGTGCCTCATAATCCTCCAGCTCATCCTCATAGTGCACCCCGCGCCGCAGTGGTGTCCCATTGATGGCCAAAGCGTCCTGAGTAAGCCTCCGGTTCCGCCACACAACCATACCAAGCATTGCAGCAACAAGTGCAACAACAACAAGTGCAAACGCTCCAGCCTTGTAATACGGTGTCCATGTGGCATCCTCCTGCTCTCCAGACTCTCCAGATTCCCCTGCCTCGTCTTCAGGAACAGCTGGGTTGCTCCCACCATCATTATCATCGTCGAAATCCCCCTTGGTGTCATCACTCGGCTCCTCAGTCGTGGCAATATTGGAAGTCGGCTTGGGTTGCTGCTCCGCCCGTGAATACCCAGGAACTCCAATAAGCTGGTTAATCATTGCTTGTGCAACCTCAGGCACATCCACAGGAACCATATGTGACGCATTGAAAATCTTAATATAAGTCAAGTTCCGGCCTGTTTGAATCGTACCAGCTGCTGTTCCATTCACAAACCAATCCTCAAAAGGTTCATCCGAGCGGAACCCAGATGACTCCTCAGAAACCTGGGCAAGCATTTCACCCTGTCGTCCAAACACCTGCTGCCCCCATTTCAAAGATTGAATCAACTTTTCATTACCAACGTGATTGCAAATTAAATCCTGGTCTCCGTTAAACATCACCACCTCAATATCGTCTTCAATAAGTGTCGGAATAATCTTAATAGATGGATTCGAGTGCTTCGCCTTGAAAGCTGACCCAACTGCCCCAGAACACTCCCTCCAGCCGTGGCTATCAGGGACATGAAGAGCAGTCAGCACGTCCTTGCGACGCAAGTATGGCGAAACATTGGCAAGATCTGGAGGCCAATTCATTCCGCATGACGAAAACGTGTCACGCAGACGAATGTCGTACACGTTAACGCACGCATTAGGGTCTGATTTCTTAAGTCCTGATGCCAAAAACAGTTCACGTAAAATACCATCCAAAACTTCGTCACACACAGGGATGGCCAGCCCTGCCCGGTCATTGTCATGTGTCTCAAAGTACTCCGAGCATCGCTTGGTCTTGCTCTCAATCGTGGCAGCAATGTCCGACCCATGCTTAATCAGCCCAGACTGGTAAGCAAATGGAAGATATGTCAGGTACTGCGATGGAGGATCGATCCACCCATTTCCAATGACAACCGCCTTGAGGTCAACCCAAGGACCCGTGCTACGTTTTTCCTTGGGTCCGGAAGAAGCAGTGGCATCAGCAGAAGCAGTGGAATCAGCAGAAGCAATGGAATCAGCAGAGACAGTTGGGGAAGTTTCGGCTGTACTTTGGGAGGAGACAGGCTTGGCTGCCTTGGGCTTAGCCACGTCAGACGCTGGCTTAAGAATCTCCATTACTGGACTCGTCTTGTTGAGATTCTTATCCAAAATGGCTCGAGCAAGATACGGCAAGTATTGTCCAGCAAAAGACTCTCCAGCAAGATAATACTCGTCATTTTGACGCTCAGGGAAAATTTCAAAGTATCGCTCCAAAAAAGTCATCATGTCGCGAGCCATTTCAGGAAGCTCATGTAAATAAGACCCAGTAGCAGCCGTCGACAGGCCAGTGCCGACCGGCTGGTCCACAAACAAAAGATTGGCATGTTGGTGCCACGACCCAGGGTTCAGCTCGAGCTTGTCAGAAGAGTTGGGCAGACGGAAAGGCCCAATTTCCATTAAAGCGCCGTCCATAGACGAGCATCCAGGACCACCATTAAGCCAGAGAACCTACTATGGTTAGTAAAACAAAATAAAATGAAATAATATCAATCAATCACTTACGGTTTTTCTGCGTTCTGTCACGGAAAACTCGGCCTCAAAGCTCCAGAAAAACAAGTTGCTGTCATTTTCTGGTCGGATGGGAATATGACCCGCATGCATCGTGGGGATTTTCGCAGCTGGAATATTCTCTAGTCCTGGTAAGTCTTGTACGTAGTATGATGATGCCGGTTGTTTGACATATGGCTGAGCATTAGTTTTAATGTTGTTGTTGGTCTTAATAGGCTCCGGCGCACTGTCTCGTCGCTCGGCCACAAAGTTAAAGAAGCTCTCGGCTGAGTCTGGGATGGCTTGGACTCCGGGCACAGTGCCAGCCAGCGCCGCCAGAACCGCAAGTGCAGTGACTGCAGAGAGTCTCCATGCGGGCAAAAACGAGATAGTCCGCATGCTTAGAAGGAAAATGAAAAGAAAGCGAATGTTTTTGGTTGGAGAAATTTGGATAGAAAGTTGGTGATTATCAAGGGGGGAAGAAGAAAAAAAAATAAAAAATTGGTGGTGGAAAAGTCGGAATGGCCAATTTTTTTTTTTTTTAGGAGGAGGAGGAGGAAGAGAAAGAAGAAAGGAGCCAGAATAGAGGCAATTTAAACTACCATGACTAATCAATTAGGTAACATAAGTACCGATCACCACTACCCGGTCATTTCCCCCCGGGTTTCATAAGAAATGACTGAAAAATCAAAACTACTTAATTAAGTATTAAAACCACTTCATCATAAATATTAACTAACTAGAAATAAATAAATAACTTTTCATCTATATATATTAAGGACTCGGCGTGCCCTGCACAATGCGCAACTCCCCAGGCCGCATCGCCTCTGAACTGGTTGATACTACCGACATGGGTCGTGTACTCAGCGCACTCGCCCCGGCAGCTCGTGAAGATACCACAGAGGTCGGTGTCGCTGTATTCACTACTCTCCTTAAAACCATAGTGTCCGCGCTGGTGTCATAATCCGTCACCTGGCTTTCCTTGGTGTAAAACGACGTCCGGCGTGGTGTGCCGGCCATTGAAGGCTCAGACTCCCCAGTGGATGTCGTCAAACTGGACGTAGTCGCAATGGATTGTCGCTGGTATTGCACTGGCATCCCAGACGGTGCCCCAAAAACAAACCCAGGATCCAGATCGTGTCCAACAGGCGACTGTACTCTTGCACTCTTCTTAGGAGTCGACTGCTGGCCTTGCATTTCATCCTCATCAAACTCACTCTCATTGCTTCCCTCTTCATCCCCACTCTCACCGCTGCTTGCCGTTTGATATAACTCAGAATCTACTCGTGACTGCGTAGCTCCAGATTGTGGAGTGCCATAAGGCCCCGTGCTTCCACGAGCGAAAAATGTGCTACCAGTCCCCCCCGTCATCATGGTTCCGGCTGTTGCTGGTCGCACCACTGGCGTACTAGTGGCTGTTGATGGCATGGACCCTCCAAGCTGTGGGCTTTCAGGAACAGTGTCCAGGCCCGAAGTATGCGATGCAAATGGCGGCTCCAAAGAATGTATCAAATCACCACCTGCCCTAGGGCTCTCCGACGAAAACGATGATGACCCAATGGATGTCGAGTTGCTATGCGAGCGTCTCTCAGAAGACGTAGATGTCATGCTCCCCAGCCGCCGCAGAATCGGCGATGGTGTGTCTGCGACTTTGCCGCTCAGACTGCTGTATATGCTATTCGCGCTCTGGCTTTGCGGCAGCGCTGCGCTCCCTCGCTTATTACCCTCCTCGTTCACAAGCTTCACGCTGTAAAGCTCATCGGTACTAATTGTCGCAAGAGACCCGCCCTGCTGTCGTGAGTGCCACCGGCGCCCAGGCTCATATGTTTGTCGCCACGAGTTGCGTGGTTTGCCAGGCGTCTCGCCCTCGCTATTGTTGGAAAGAATGGATGATCGTCGTCCAGCACTACTATTGCTGCTACTGCTTCGACTGCCACCGCTGTTGCCATCACCCGCAATCACCTGCGCCATCGCCATTGATGATGCTGGCGCAATCGAGCTGTGTGTGCTAATGATGCTGCTGCGTACATATGAATTGTCGTCGCGCGAAGATGAAATCTCTAGTTGTGGCTGCAGCCCGGTCAACGACCGGCTATTTGGTCGACTGGTTGTTGAGTCACTTGTTTGCTCAGTCTGAGGCTCCGACGTGCTCAAAACATTGCCAGGATAATCTTGAGTGGTACCCACCATATGGCCATCGGCACCAGAAGAGTCGCCACTATTTTCACCCACATGAGTGCCTTCGCTGCTGTACCCCTCCGAATACGCGTGGCTCATAGGTGACCCATCTGCATTCACAAAGGGTTTATTGGGGTTGTCCAACTTGAAAAGATTGTATTCTGTGGCCATGATTGGTGTGCCAAAACTCTTCTTGTGATTCAGAGATGGAACAGGTGTTCCAACCGGAGTGGGTTCCAGCATGTTGCCAAAACTTGACTTGCGCGATGGAACTTGTCCGATAGAGTAGTTGACTTGGGGGTTCATGAATGGAGTGCTGGAGTTGTCGCTAGAAAACGACGTATCGTAATTGTGCGTGGTGTGTGCACCTCCAGCCTCGACATCCTTTTCGTTATAAATTCGGTGATTGTCGCCGTCACTTGGGTTAATGACAGGATTTGAAATCTCAATCTTCTTGTCGTTCTGCTTGCGTCTGCGGCAGAAAAAGAACAATACAAGCAGCAGTCCAATGATGAAAAAAATTGGAATCAGCACACCACAGAGAATAGCTGCAAGCTTGCTGTGGCTTTTCTTGACTGGCGTAGCTGCCTCAGTACTTGTAGCTGCCTCCGTGGCCGTAGCTGTTGCCGTGGCCGTAGCTGTAGCCGAAGTTGTAGGATTAGCAACCTTGCCCTGGATCGAGTTGAGAGAAAACTCAAACGTTTCCTTTGTAGTTTTATATTCACCTGTAAGAGTGACTGTGGTGCCCTCAAAGGAATCTGGTACAAACCCATTAAAGGTGACATTGTCTGAGTGAAACACAAGCCAGGTCGCCTCTGGGCTGTAGGAAGCGTCAATGGTTGCGTTTTTATTTTCAACAACGGTGCTAGGCAGTTGATACTGGAAGTACTCGCCCGTCGTGGCATTGACTATAATTGGTGTCGACATGTTAGAGAAAATGGTGCTGTTTTCAACAACTTCGGCCGCACGATTCAGCATAAGAGTGAAGGAAACATTGGAAGCATAAACGCTTTCAATGGTAACTTCGTATGCAGTATCGTTAAAGTTGGTAGGGACGGTTCCATACAAGGTAGTAAAATTAGTGCTCAACCAGGAGCTGCCGGTGGTGTTTAGCGAAACGGCAGAAATGTTACTGGGAGACAAGGTGGAATTGTCCAAAAAGATTTGGTCCAGAGGAAGCTTGTAGGAAAAGGTTTCTGTTCTATTGACAGTTTTGTTGACGAAAAAAACGTCTGTCGTGAATGTATGTGCAGAAACCGTAATGTTAAAATCGATGGACGCACTTGTGAAGCCATGGGATTGGATGGCGAGAATGGAAACAGGGAATGACTCGACCGAATCGTCTGAGCTCAAAGAAGGTGTGGTTCCAGAGAGTACAAATGTTTGGGAGTTGAAAGAGATCCAAATAGGAAGAGGAGTGTGGGATTGTGTAAGGGCAGTGTAGTAGGTGATAGGGTTTGCATCGGAGTCAGCCTTGAACAAGGTCGAGGGGAACTTGATTTGAAAGGATTGCTCTGGAGTAAGAACGATGCTGTCTGAGTTTTGAAACTCAATGGAGGAATCGAGAATGGAAGAAAGAGATGTATTTGTAAGAACGGATTCGACCTGCATATCCGTCAGTAAGAAAGAAGAATTAACAGAGGTCTCACCGGCAGTGTCGGTGCCAATGAGATTGAACCAAATCAGTGTGTCATTGCTGTCACCGTCATTTTCCTGAATTGTTGGAGCAACTCCGCTAAAGACTCTGGTGTTGGAGTCAAATGATAGCCAGTCTGGTAGATCTGAAGCGGAGTAATCTACCGAAGATTCTGAAGATGTGAATGTGTCTGATGGGAGCTGGTAAGAGTAGGACTGGCCATACTTTATTATTGGAGGATACTGGATTGCTAATGGATAGTTGTTTGTCGGCGCAGCTTCAGCAATGGTGCTGAGCAGTAATATGGATGATGATAAGTACTTTAATGATGCTAGTAGTGTCATTGAAGTTAGATTATTTGTGATGTTTTAAAGGCTAAGGACCATGATATTAAGAGATGGATTTTAGAAAAAAATGAAATAAAATGAAATGAAGATTAAGAATTAGGTATTAGGTATTAGGTATTAGAAATTAGAAATGAATGAATGACTATGGTTAGTTTATGGATTAAAGAATGACTAGTAGTTGGACCTTTAACGAGATGAATGGATCATGAAGAAGAAGAAGAAAAAAAAAAGGAAGAAGATTTTAAAATAAAAAAATTTTATTTAAAAAAAAAGGAGAAATATACCAACTTTTATTAAAGAAAGGGTCAGTTTCTTTTATTAAAAAAAAATTCAATAGACGTAAATAATTATATGAAATATATATAGAGAGCTGCCCCACCTGCACATAGACATTTGGGGAAGACTACCTGACAGCTCAATTTTGACGCGCTTGTTTCTGTGGTTGAACTTTCTTTTTTTTTCATTTTCTTTTTTTATGAAATTGATTCTAATACACGGTGATCTTCTTCATCTGCTTCTTCTTCTTCTTCTTCTTCAGATTCTTCTTCTTTTTTCCATCTTTTAATTTCGAATCGTTCTGAGACAATTTCGGAGCTTCATCAATGTTTCGGGCCTCATAAGCTTGCCTGGGTGCTGAATCAAGGGGTGATTTCTAATTTATCTGGTCCCATGAACTCATAGCACGCTTCCCTACATATGAAAAATCCCAGCAGCAGTAGCAGTTGCAGCAATATTTGATCAGCAGAATGACTCTCTGCTGGTGAGCGCGTCTCTTAATGCCGGCAGGGAGTAGTTTAGCGACCTAGAAAGCCCTAATATATATTTGTATATTTCTATCATCAACCAATTTTTAGCTGCGATGCGGCCCCCACCACATTCCAGAGAATCACCCTCGAAGGTTTGGCACGCATAAACGCGTACTTTTTTTAAATTTTTTTTTTCATCGAGTGGCTTTAGCAGGAGATCGGCACCTAGAAGAATATAAAATGGCTATATTGGGTAAACGTGATTGCGGCTTTTCCTATTTTAAGAACTTACGCGTGGCTGAAATCGCGTTTAAGTTTAAGCTCGGTATGCAGCGCCAGCCGCACCACTGCTTAATTTTTAGGGCCTGTGCCTGAGCGGATTAGCTAGCCAGTTTTTCGCCTCCATCTTTTCCAAGCTTAAAACGCTAGGGCTGGTATGCTTCTAAAACCATTAAAACCATTAAAACGTTAAAGCATTAAAGCATTAAAACACGGGGCTCCAGATGAGACTTGAGCTTGAGGTTTTTATCTGAGGTAAAGGGGAAGGAATTTTTGTAGCAAATGGTTAGAGAAGAAAACTGATCAAAGTCTAAATCAAACGAGCCTCATTGCCGGGTTTATCAAAATTGAACGAAGGGGTTAATTTTAATTATAATAATAATAATAATAATAATAATAATATACAAATTAGAAAGAAAAAAAACCACCATATGACGTTTGGAATACAATCTCCCAAAAAAAGAAGTAAGTGAGGCTAGTCAGTTATTTTTTTTTTCTTTGGAATGTAAGGCTTGGAAAATATACCTTAACCTGCTACAAAGATACCACCAACGGGTTCTGACATTCTTTTTTTGGCTGCATCCAAACTTTACATATGGCCATAACCAGTTTGTTTCTTTGATCGCTTTTTCCTAGTCTGGATATATAAAAAAAATTAAAATAAAATAAAATAAAATAAAACCTTCTTTTACGTTATTTTTTTTTTTTTTTCAGGGACATTTCTTTATCAAATTTCGCCTTAGTCCAGCCTCCAAGGATTCTCTATTAAAACTAAAAAAAAAAAACTCCTGATAATATTTTCCAACATCAATGATGGTTTCGTATTCAAAATATTCTAATCATTTTAATTAACAAACTTCAAACCTAAAATCATGTTTCATGAAATAAACAATCATAACCTTCGTCACTCTGTTTTTTTTTTTTTTGTCATTTCCTATTGTTTATCCTCTGTAACGCTTCTCCCCAAAACAGAAAAATGACATACAACTATTCTCCCTTAAACTCACGTGCATAGTAACCATTGTAAAGAGTTATATGTATTTTTATGAAGGCTAAATAAATATCATATCTTAAGCACTTTCCATTCATTGTCCAAAGTTAAAAATTCTCAAATTTTTCAAATTTGGAAAAAAACTCATTTACATAAATACCCAGCCAACCATTTATTTGTAGGAAACCTGGCCATAAGAAATCAAAAACTTTTTTTTTCTCTTTGTATTCCAATAACGGATGCGCCCAATAACTTAATTAAAATAAAGATTTTCCATTTCTGGAAAATCTATAAAAAATAAAAATAAAAAAATTAATGAAAAAGAAATCTACGTGAAATCTATTTAGCTCGTAATTTTATATAGACTCTATTTAATATATTAAAAAAAAAAAAATTCGCGTCGCGTTAAATGATTCAATCAATTCTAAGTTTAATGCCTCTATTTTTCCATTAGTACCATATCCTAAACTTGTTTCATTAATGACGTTAAAACAACTAAACTTTTGCTTCTATTTAAAAGAGATGAATCAATTTTTTTTTAAAGTAGCTCTTTCTTAAGAACTTGACCGATGGACAGTTCTTTTTTGATTCAGATATATCACCAATTTACCCATATGGCATTTATTATTAAAATCATCTGAACCCTTTCATATAGAAACCAGAAAGGAAAATAAAATAAAATAAAATAAAATAAAATAAAATAAAATAAAATAAAATAAATAAGAAAAAGAAAAAAAGCTGCTCTTCATAAAGGAGGTTCCTGAAAAGTGGAGCCCGGTTCTTCTTCTCCATCTTCAATCAAGTAGTGAAAATAATTTTTCCCAAGGTGATAATAGTAGGGTTTAGCAAATAATAAGGGTCCACCATAAGATCCCAGTAACGTGGGTCAAAAACACTCAAGGTGAATACAAAACGTTGATGGAAAAGAAAAAAAAATTATTATATACACTGTCAAAAGGTGCCTTTTCAGCAAAAAGGGCTCCGATTGAAAATAATATTTTTGATGAAAAAAAAAAAGAAAAATAAATGAATCGCAAATCATGTTTTCATTAATTAAAATTAAAAAATTAACAAAATTTATCAGACTTATTTTTAATGTAATTCCAATAATCTTTTTGTCTTTTTTTAAATTTTTTTTTGCTTGCATCAATTTATTTACGCCTTTACTGGTGTAACATACTGCTATTTTAAGACGCGTTTTTTTTTTCAATTTATATCGCGTTCACGCGTCAAATCATTTACAACAAATGCAATACCAAGTTGTTGGTAGAGCAACTACGCCAATCTTTTTGACGTGTTCACCAATGGCAAAAGGAATACAAAACCCTAAGCGGCTTTCACTGTTTCTTTTCCTCTTTTTTTTTTTTTTTTTTTCTCTCTTTCGTTGAGACGGCTTTCACTGTTTCTTTTCCCTCTATTTTTTCTCTCTTTCGTATGAAGATCTTAGTTTAACACTTTCATTCGGTTATATGTTCTATTAAAGAACAAATGGTTCTTTAAGTGTGATGTTTTTCCTAATGAAGAAGTTGCTTGGTTCAAAAAAAAGAAAAATGGAAAAAAACAAATGAAAAAAAAGACCATTATTCAAACTAGCAACTCTTAGTTAAATTTGTACTATGGGTAACTGGAATACTATAAATACTTATCCTATTTATGTTGACGACGCGTAGACAAGTCTTGATGCTTCACGTTATGTGCCCTTTTTACAGCTTCTACTAATGACAAAGGTTTAGCATTAATGGCGGCATCAAGAAAGACCATTACCATGGGTTTGATTTCAAGCTTTTTTGTTTCTGTCTCCTGAAATGTTTATAACTTTGGGTCATGGGAATACATGAGCTTACGAATAAGCTCATTTATAGGGATAGGGGGATTGTTTCTTGGTTGTTACAATTTCACATATTACAACGCCCCTGAAAAAAAAACAATTAAAAGAAAGGCGGTCATGATGGCTTACACCAGTACTTTTCATTTATATAGTCAAGTAGCATTATCTTATTGGATTTACATAACCTAAAGTGGAATATCAATCAATACTCGTTTGCTGCTTATATTTAACTTTATTATTTTGGGTAGTTTGCTTAAAAGCGAATAAACGAAATGACTTTCTTAATTAGTTTTTGCAACTTTCCTAATTTAGAACAAATTGGAATTTGTTACAATTTCTAATTTTTTTTTGTGTAACAAAATGAGTTGAATTATACAAATCTTCACTTAAAAAAAAGTTTCACTGTAAAAAAAAGTTGCAACTCCCTGAAATATCTCACAATTTCACAATATTTGCAAATAAATTTCTCATGAGAAAGATTTTGATTATGATAATAACCAGAATTTTGCTGCAAGACAATTTTTTTTTGAATTTGATTCAATTTTTAGATAGAAAACAATTATGAATTTATTATTCTTGATACCAATTATTTAAAACTTGCTGAACAAGTTGATGATGATAAAGGCTTTTCATAACCTTCTAAGGTGTCTCATACATAACCTATACCTACTTTAAATACATCACTGATACCTGGAATAATTTCTTTAAATAGATTCAAGACTTGGTTGTTTATTGGTTGACTTATATTTATCATCAACATGATGTTTGAGAATATATGGGTTTATGGTCACAGACTTATCAAGTTGTTAAAACAGAAATATAAGTTTTATTTTTCCAAAAAAGTCCCGAGTTTTTAAAAATATCATTGTGTAACCACAACAATTAAAATCGATCAAAAATATTTTCATTGATTCTTTTTTAATAGTAAAGAATAATTTACCTTTAATTCACACCCTATATTGAATTATGATATTTTGAGATTCCTGGTGCGCTATTTTAAACGACAAGAATACCTTGTTTTTTTTGTTTTTTTTGTTTTTTTTTGCAATATGGTCTATCTACACCTTGATTTTTTTTAAAGTACAGCAGAACACTCCATTTCCATCTAATGAGATACTTGCCAGACAACTTCATATAAACCATGATGCTTATACTTTTAGTCAAGTTATTTTGTAAAAATTTATCGCATATAATTACCAAATCCTAGTGACTAGACATATTGATATGATAAAATTGAATCAAGAAAAAAAAGGCCTTCAAAATAAACAATGACATTCTTCATATGACTCATTAAGCTCAGATATCTGTTTTTTATAAAGAAAAAATATTGTTTTGAATTTCATGTGCCAAAAAAAAATGATCAAATTTAACAATATCGAAAATATCGGCTAAAATCTAACGAAAAATTAGTCTAAAGTAATACAAATAGTTCACCTTTTTATTTTTGGTTATATTTTTGGTTATATTTTTTTAAATTATTTGAGATATATTTTGATTTATTGGTTCAACTATCTTATACCTTTCACTTGTTTTGTATCTACAACTTACGACAAATTATAGCTTATATTTTGCCACAAACGGACCTCTAAGAACCGGTTCTGTATATATAGATCTATGGGTTTAAGCTCTTAGTAAATTTATATCGCTCAAGGTTTTTTTTTAATGGAGATAGTCTTGATCACCATATCAAAAAAAAGGAGGTACCAAGCCAGCGACATTTTGATCTGTCTAACTAATCAGTTATATCTGACTTAAAACTAATTGACTATAAAAAATTGCAAACGATTTGCATTCAAACATGACATCTTTAACTGTTCTGAAAAAATTTATATGTTAGTCTTTTCATCTATACTAATAGTTGAAAAAAACCTAAAAAAAAAAAAAACAAAGCTGTTTTTTAATATCTAATAGCAAAATATGAGACTTACTTGTTGATTTTGTTAAGTTTTAAGTCATACCATATTACGTCTCATTCTACATTTTTTTAGATTGTTATGTTAATTAACTATATATATAAAAGGAATTGGAAATTATTATTTATTTATTACTATCTTTGATTCGTAGTTACAAGAAAATTTTGACATCTCGAAGATGTGCCCCACATTTAATAACCTTACTCTGGATATTAAACTTCGGACATCTCCGATACAGTTATTTTGCCTTGAAAAATGTCACAAAAACTTTATATTTTTGTAGTTATTTTTTTATTTATCAAAATACAAAAACGTACACTACCTATATCAATTTATGAATATAACCGGTTACTCTGAATAAATTAAAAGAGTTGAAAATAAGTTGAAAAAATCGAAATCAAAATCAACGAAAAAGATTCAAAGATCAAACAGTGATAATGTTCAGGGAAAACCAGGTAAACAATGAAGTCATAGCCTAGTTTCGAAACAAAAGCTTAATGGAATTAAACAAAGTAATAGAGCGTGTGACAAGACTAATTTAAGATTTTAGGAGATGTCCGAACATGATAGAAGGGAGGAATTTTACCTAAAGAAGAAGTTGATGTCATACATTACTTCTAGAAGAAAAGAATTCTGTCAACTAGAATTCTTTAACCCATTTAAAAAACGCCTTTAGTTTATTTTATATTGATTAAAAGACTTGAAATATTGAAATAAAGAAGATTTTAAAATAGCAAGATGTTTGATTTTTCATTAAATTTGCAAAATAACCTATGTAGTTTAAGTAAATTAAGTCAAGAAAGTAAAAAGACTTAAAAACAACAACTATTTATTTTTCTTTTCCATTTCCTTGGGTAAAGAAATGGAAAGCTATCAAGGAAATTTTTTACCATGAAGCCACAAAGCCACGTGCGAAATAACACAAGTCACAAACAGTTGCAACCGCCTTATTTTTCTTCATCTTTTACATATCCTTCTTCAATGTCCAAATCTTGTTAAATATCTTCTACTTTTTTAAGATTTTCGGGGATATCCAAAAACAAAAAAACTGGGAAAAAGAAAATAAAAGTCAAAAGACCTTAATAGTTTGCTCTAGTGCTTTAGGAGATGCCCTTGTTGATATGAGCTCAGCATGAAGTTTTTAAGTTTAGCTAGAAAGCAAACATGGAAAAGTCCCTTGTGTGTTAGATTGCTGTAACTTTGATCTTCCCTCCTTTATTTTTCCAAAAAAAAATATAAATACAGGATAATTTCTTCCATTTTTTCCAGCTTTATTAATTCTCTTTTTTATTTTATTTAATACTTCACTCTCAAAAAAAAAAATGAATCCATCAATATCATCATCTGAATCTTAAGCCAGCCTATCTTAGCAATATCCATGGCCTTTTTTAAGAATTACTATTTCAAAAAATCAAGAGAAATGTGTTTTAAGCATTAAGATATCAACATTAACAACTCCTCCATTCTGGGGTATCTTAAGTAGTTGCAAAGACTCCTCGATATAACAAGTTTTGTTACACATATTATAATGGATATTACCAGCTATCGCATCACTCCGACATGACAGCCGTATTTTTTTTCCCTTTCCTTCAGCCATATTACCCATAATATGTACCATCACACATTGATAAGAAATGTAACTCCAGAGTTTCCAGCATAGTGTTGTTGTTCTACAAGTCCATTTTTTTCCAATAAGGCATTCCCGCGGCACGCCCTTATCTTTCTTCCCCTTGAGTCAGACTTTTTGTAATAAATTTTAGTACTTTTTCTTATCATTCAACATTGATTTAAGGGTATATAAAAGCAACTTAGTTTTCCCTTCAAAATGTTTGAAAAAAAATTTTTTTTATTTTCAGGAATTTTTGCAGTAAATTAACAACAATGAAACCAGGGATGGTATTTCCAGCACATTTTTTTATCTGTATTTAATGAATTGATATCGGGGTATTGCATGATTTTTAAGCCAGCATAGTGATTTTAAACTATTAGTTAAAGGAATAGTTGTTGACTGACAATGGAGAGGGAGAAAAAAAAAGAAGGATATTTATGATTTTGGGTAAACAAAAGAAAAATACCAAAACTGTTTCTAAAAAGAAGTGGGTATACCCAGCTATAATAACCATGAAAAAACAAATAACAAATAACAAATAACAAATAACAAAAATAAAAATAAAAAATAAACGGACTTGAAAATATATCCGACGATCTCCAGAAACATAAAACTGGCATCTTTTGAAAGACTTGCATGTGGAGTGAGTGGTGGTAGTGGTAAGAATTTTATTAAAAGGGTAACGTGGGAGTGAAATTTCTTAGATGAGTGGACAAGCCCGAAGTTCGGATTAGTGCGAGATTTCAAAAATAAAAATAATAATAAAAATAAAAAAGCCAAGCATCAGTAATTTTTGCTGTCGTGGGGAAATTTTTATTATTTTTTTTGTAACATCTTTTAAGCATGTACTACTTTGGGTTAGTCAGTGGGATCTTCGGCGATGAGCGGTATCGAGAACCTCTTTAGGCGCTGTCTTGTGCTCAATTGGCGGATAAGCCCGAAATACCAGCCTATCGATAGGTTTATCGCAGATATCCGGACTAGCATGCCCCATATAAACTTTTGTTACACTTGATTACCAGCAAGTTCCTTTTTTAGGTAATAGACTGTTGGAGTGTCACGGAAAAAGAAATTATAATAATAATAATCGCTTTACTCCTAAATTTTCAAACCGTTGGAATTTTTTTTTTTCTTTTATTCTTTTATTCTTTTATTCTTCCATCTTTCTTAAAAAAAAAATAAATAAAGTCCGCCTAGGTTTCCTAATTAAAACTGAAAGCAAAAATTGTCCATAATTTTATTTTTTTTTCACAAATTTCAAATTTCAAAATGATTTGTTTAACATTTTTTCTTTCTTTTTCTTTTTTTTCTTGCCCTCAATACATCTTTATACATCTTCGATCATCTCCGAATAATATCCTATTTCAGCATATCACGATCAGCATACTTTACTATGGTTTGGAGAAATATCAATAACTACAATCCAAATTGAATTTAAAAACACGAGTAAAAAGAAACAAATAATATTATTACCACGGCAAGCCGTCGGTAACTTTTGGTTTTCAAGCAATTTTCATTTCTATTTTCTACAAAATATTTGAAAAAAATATTTGAATGAAATAGTAATGTAAATTTGTTATAATTCTTTCATGCTCTATTTTGATGAATCTAACTAGATGTATTTTTTTTTTACAATCAACGTAATTTTCTTTTAACAATTAGTTTATTCTTTTCTTTTGAAAGGACCTTTATTTTAAAATAGAATTTCTTACAAATATTTAAAAATAACAATTTATAAATTTGTTATTTCTACAATAACAATCCAAAAGAATGGATTCTGGGTCTTCAATTAGCCATGCCAGAAGCTTCTTCAATTTGGTACTTTAATTTTTTGTTAAAATATATGATATCGAAGTTATATATTCAACTTATTAATTTTACTAAAAGAAACTTGTATTCATTTAATCCAAACGTTGTTTTAATAGTGACCGTTATAATTTACAAAAATTCAAATAGAAGTTAAAGATGTGTACTCTAAGCCCTGCCAAGAAAAAAAGTTTAGAAATGTTTATCTTGGCCAGAATTTTTTTTTTTACAGACTAGTTAACAAGCTAGTTTTGAAAGAATGATTTTTAAAACAAACGATTTTATATATTTTTTTATCTGTATTATATATATTTTTGAAAAACACGAAAAAAAGAAAAACAAAACAAGAAAAATGAATTTTTTTTAAAGTCCATCACAAGAGTAAACTTCCATGTTTACTCAAACTCCTTAGAGTTAGGCTCGACCTCATTCTTGATGGGGTAGTTCTCTGTCGAAGAGACTTCCAACTCAGTGCTCTCACCTGTAATGGTATCACCGTCACCCTTTTCACCAGGAATAATAAGGTTCATGAGAAGACCAAGGAAACCAGCAACGGCAAAGCCAGTTTCCAAAACAAGAACAATGGCATCGAGGAAACCCTTAAGACCGTGGTTGTCACCCTCGTAAGTGAAGAAGTAAGAGAACCAATCAGGGACAAGAGTGGCACCAAAGCCAAAGAGGAGCGAGCAGGTAAGAATGAATCTGTCGCGGCGAGTGATAGGGTTAAGGGAAGCGATAATGGCAAGACCAGAGACTGCGACAGATGTGAAAAGGAAAGAAGTCATACCGCCGAGAACAGGATTAGGGATGGAGACAAGGGCAGCGGCGAACTTGGAGAAGATACCCATTACGACAAGGAAAAAGCAGTTCCAGTAGCCGACCTTTTTGTTTGCGCACTTTGTGATGGAGATAACACCGTTGTTTTGGGCAAAAGTGGAGACGGGAGTGATAGTCATAAGAGAGGCAATGCAACCGTTAAAGCCATCAGCAAGAAGACCACCCTGAATACGGGATTCGTACTCTTCACCCTCGACAGGAAGACGGGAGACATCGCAAGTGGCAGTGATATCACCAATAGCCTCCATAGCGCAGACCATATAGACAGCCAACATTGGTAAAATAGCTGGACCATATAATGTAAGCTTAAAAGTGTGGACCCAAATGAAAGAAGCGGCAGGAGCAACTTTGATACCATCGGGAGAGAAGTAACCGCAGGCAGCAGCAATGATACATCCGACAAGAAGACCGCAAATGACAGCGCAAGATTTCATGATTGGAGCGCCGAAACGTTCACAAATGACGATTGTAGCAAAGACTGAGAAACCCAGACCAATGTACTTAGAAGATCCCCAGACGGCAGCCTTGGGGGCTCCAAGATTAGGGCAGACAGAGTAGTAACCATCAGTACCAGCATTGCCGTAACAGTTGGAACCGCCGCCCCAGTTCTTGAAGCCATCCTCGATTAGACTTGCGCCAATGAGCAAGACGACAGGACCGGTGACGAGCTTAGGGAACATGCTTTGAAGGATTTTGGCGGGGACGAAAGACATGGCGATTTCGAGGAGGGAGCAGATGGCGGCGGAACCAAGAATACCACCGTATCCATCGGGGCAGGGAAGTTTAGTGCCATCAGCAGCAGTAGGGCAGGTGCCGTTTTTGTACATTTGGGGGATAGCGCCTGTGATAATGGTGATGGTTGCGAAAGAAGTACCAACAACTGAGATCAGACCTGTGCCAATGTAGTACTTTGTGTAGGGGACCTTGATGCGGATCATTTGGACAAAGGAGAGAAGGCCAGAGACAATGAGTGAGGTAGAGACGAGGTACTGGGTAATTTCAGTGTCGAAGTTGGCGACGTTGGAGATAATAAGAGGAGGAGTGATGACACCAGCAAGCATGGCGAGGGAATGCTGAAGACCAAGGATGGCGCCGAGCAAGAGGGGCATTTCACCGTGGAGGGGGAAGAAAGGCTGATAGACATCTTTCTTTTGGAGGAAGGGGATGTCTGGGGTAAAGAGGGCAGCATAACTGTAGCTACCAATGATACCTTCTTTGGTGGTAAATTTCTTGACAATACGAGTAGCCAGAGCCTTGGGGTTCAAGGACAAAGGCTTACGCTCAGGTTGGGCGTTGAGTTCCGACATTTAGTAGTGATGGAAGCTTTGCTGAGATATGACGATGAAAAAAAGCAGAGCACAGCAGAGAATTTATTAGAGAAGATTGGTGGTAGGTGGTGGTTTTTTTTTTTTTTTTTTTTGAGAGAAAAAAAAAAGTTTTTGAAATAAGGTTTACTTGATTAGTCGATAAGTGAAATTTGGTCAAGTGTAAAACCTATGAAGGATTATTTGATGAAGAGAAGAAAAGAAAGAAAAAAAAAATATGAAATCTCCAGGGACAGACTTAGTATTTATACTTAATGGAGGAGCTGATAAACCTTTTTTTGTGATTTTAGATATATATATTTTTTTTTCTTTTTTTTTTTTTTTTTCAGTGTTGATCAAAGTTTAGCGCTACGCGGTATCGGATACCTTCATCATAATAATTATTATTATTATTATTTTTTTTTTATTATCAATAAGTGATGGGAGATATTTTGGACATATCCGATATCTTTGTATATTGGCAGGTATATTATTATATTCCCTTTATGTTTACCAACAGTATGCACAAACCAAACATACTTTTGCAGACGTTATCAAGATATAACTGATTTCTATATCTTTCTTTTTTTTTTTTTTATCGCAATCGGACCTCTTTTCCCCACAAATGTTATATTTTTTGACTATGAGTAAAAGTAGTAGTTACGCATGAAGAGAAAAAAGGTTAAAAACTTTTTTTTTTTTTAATAATTTATCAATTTACAAATAATATAATAATATTTTACATTTTTTTGTTTTTTGTTTTTTGTTTTACCGGACATGACCAGTTGTGTTCTAGACCTAATCAATGAAATTGTAAACTGAAAATCATTTTCCTTAAAATAAAATAAAATAAAAAGGAATTTGATGGTATTTACTTGTTATTCATCTTTACAATAACAACTCCTAATTATCATTGACATTTTTTTTTTTTTTTCATTTATAATGTATTCTTCTTTCTTTTAATTTGATACTTCTTTTTGACGGAACATTCTTTTTCTTTGGTCTTCCATTTAACCCTCCCCTTTCAAACCGTAAGGCTTTCAATTGTTCTTTTTGGTACCTCAATCTACAATGAACCACATGGTTATCACTTTGGCATCTCGCCAACTTTTCGGGTTTGCCCATGAAGAAATGCAATTTTTATAAAATATTTTGAATAAACACGGGCTAGGAATTAAAAAAAAAAAAAGAGGTAGCCCATAAATATTATTTCTTCTTTTAAGTTGAATACTTGTCAAAGTAACTATTCTAGTTTTCACCATTGTATTATTCTCTTTAGTTTTTTATTTTTTAGTTTTTGCTGTTGGATATTAGTCTGTAGAACTTGCTTGAACATTTTTGATATTTTTTTTTATCTCCAATAACTGTAAGAATGTTTTTTTTTTTTTTTTTTAAATGAACCTTCTCTTTTATAGATTTTATTTTTTATTTATTTATTTCCAATATTGAATTTGATTTCCCAATATCAAAATAACGTCTAAAGAACCTTGAAAAGTCTTAGCATTAACAGCCAAGATGAAAAGTGCACGGCGTGGTGGTCTTGGCATACTCAAAAGTCATTTTTTCTATTATCAAAATGACAGGACAAGCTTTTTCCTAACCCTCAAAATAACTGCGGCACGCACAAGTTTGCACTCGGATCGAAAGACAAAAAAAAAAAAAAACCAAGCGATTTCTTGGCAAAAGAGAAAAAAAAGTAAAACAAAAAGAGTTGATTGACTAGCAGGTTGAGAAAATTGAGAGAATCAACCAAAAGTAGACAAAAGTATGTTTACAAGTTATGGTGGTGATAAAATCTATTTAGAAACATAAAAAGATATACCTAATTTTAATATTTTAATATTTTAATAACAGATTTTTGTATGGAACTATTATTTTTGATTTCTTAAATGGAAATGTCCGATGGTTTAAGTCGGAGATCAATTGACAAATAAAGCTTTAAATTCTTGAATATGATTTGAGCTTGAAGAAAACAAAAAATCCTGGGTAGCAAGTGTGTTTTTATTTTTATTTTTATTTTTATTTTTATTATTTGAATTCCGAACACCCACTTTAGAATTAAACATCTGAGGGGATTTTTTTTTTATATCTTAATAGACCTAAATAATCTTTCTACTTTAATTTGAATTTTAGGCTTTACAAGAGTTAATATTCCGACAAGATTTTTAAACGAAAAGCTCATTGTTATTTTCTCTTTTTAAATTTTTTTTTTTTTTCTTTAGCCCAGTATGTTTTTTTTTTCAATCACGATGGTTTTTAAGTATTGGTACAATGGACGAGTACTAAATGAAATTTACCGTTTAACTGAGAGCAAAAAAAAAAAAAAAAAAAAAAAAAAAAATTGTAATTAAATATAAAATTGAAAAGTTTAGGGGTTCACCGAGTGGAAAAAGCGCTTTTTTTTTTTTTTTTTTGATGGATGGATGGCTGGATGGAAGGCAAAAAAAAGTCCTTGTAGGAGTCCAACAGATAGGTAGGTGACACGCCCGCCGAGGGGCTTAAGCTCTTTGACAAATTCAGCAGCCACTCCACGCTAAGTAAAAAAAAAAAAAAAATATATATATATATAAATATATAATATTAGGGTTAGGGTTAAGATAATAAAAATTGAAGGGATAATATCAAACCAATAAGGAAAGCCAAAAATATATATATAAAAAAAAAAAGAAAAAAAAAGGAAATTTCAAAGTTCGGATCTTTGATTTGAATTAACATCCGAGTAGATTGTATTAGTATAATTATAAGAAGAAGAAGAACATATATAAAGAAGAATTAAAAAAAAAAAATAAGAATTACAATTAAATAAGAAATAAAAATAAAGAAACCTTCATTATGACAGCTATTTCATGGACATACATGAAAAAAAAACTATTTTATTTTGGAAGCCCTAAGAGCGGAAGGCCTTTAAGCGACAATTGCATTATCACAATAACGGTGGATGAGCAACAACAACAACAAAACTCCACTCTAAAAGAGAGAAAGAAAGAAAGAAAAAAAAGTGGTCTTTGTATTTTTTTTATTTTTTTTTACTTTTAACTTACCATAGCAAACATTCAATATGTTTCACTAGTGGGTTTATTTATTATTTTCTTAGTGGATGCAGCAACCAATAACCGGGAAAAAAACAACCCAAGTGGATTTATCATCTATCTTACCACCACTCGAGTCTTATTTTTTCTGAAAATAAAATAAATAAATTAAAAAAAATAAACACCATCTTAAAGAGAGAATATATTATGGATTTTGTAATTTAAGGCACGCAAATAAAAGCAATGCTTTTATTTATTTTTTTTTTTTTTGAAGAGCGTTAATACTTTGCATCAGGCTACTTTTGATGAAAAATATAAAAAAAACTCCTGACATGCAGTGGGTTTAAAATTGCTACCATGTATTTTTTATTTCCTTTTAAAGGAAGACTTTGGAAGACTTTAGATTATTATTATTATTATTATTATTATTATTTTTCTCATTATATACAATGACTCAAATATTGACTAAGAGATATTTCTGATAACACTTTAAGACTTCAGTGGCCAACTCTTTAACCAAAATCAAGTATCTACGTAATTTTTTAAATGATCTGGGACAGGAAGGGGTCCGCACAAGAATTTCTTACACAACAGTAGTAGAAGCAGCAGCAGCAGCAGCAGCATCATCATCATCTTACAATTACAGCCGATGAAGGTGTACAATCGTCATCATCATAGTCATCATAATAATAATCACTTGAGGGCGTATTTAAAAGTTAATATTGCTTTTTATTTTTTTTTATACTAAACTAGACTACTAACAAACTTGGCACTTCACATTATACTGATATATTCATTGTAGAAAATACGTCTGTGATAAGAGACAAATTTTAATGATGGAGGGCATTTAGACGAGGATGGATATATATATTTATATATATATATATATATATATAGAAAGAATAAGAGAATAAAATAGCATCATAGGTTTATGATAAGAATTTCAGTAACCAAATGGATAAAGGGAAGAATAAACCAAGAATCAAAATTATTTAAATCAAAGCTCATTGGGGGAAGAGTCAAGTGGAAAAAAATAATAATAATAATAATAATGATCAGAATGGGAAGAAATAATTAGTAACTTAACAACAATCAATCACAAAGTTTTTTATTTATTTATTTATTTATTTATTTTTTGATGAAAGGGCTTTCCAGAAGCCTGCTTTGTTTGGGAATGGAACCAACCAGGTACAAACATTCAATCTTTAACTTTTAACTTTTAATATTTAATATTTAATCTTTAATCTTTAATCTTTAATCTTTAATATTTAATTTTCAAAATATATTTTTTTTATTGGTTTTATTTTTATCTTGTATCTTGAAATTAAAAAAAAAAAAAACTTATTTCCTTCTATGGATTTGATGTTAAAAGTCTTGATTGTTTGAATGAAATAAAGAATATTATATATATATATATATATATATAAATTGTCTTTCTCCTCTTTAAAAGTCTTAGTTTCAAATTGGGGATATTTAATTATCCGGGTCGTGTCTTCTAGTATTAAATTATATACATAAAGTCCACCCACCTTGATCTTCTCAAAAGTTGAATTTTGAGTGCATGGGAACCAAAAAAAAAAAAAAAAATTAAACAAACAAATAAATAAAAAAATAATAATAATAAAGCAATTTATTTTTTTTATTATTCTTTTCTTCCCTTGCATCATCATCATCATCATATTATTATTTTTTTTTAAAGAATATACTTCATCATGATTTAAAGGATTTGAAAGATATTGTATTTTTTTTTTCTTTTTTTTTTTTTTTATTTCAAGTTGTGAAAATCCCCTTTATATGGTCTGCCTTGTTTAAGTTTTCCACCCAATGGAGAAAGGGCGATAAGACTTTTCAACTACAAAAAAGCTTATCTTACGATAGGAGTGAACGATAAGCCACAGCCCAAAAAAAAAAAAAAAAAAAAAAAAAGAAAACGTCCTTAAAAACATCAACATAAATTTCAAGTGGCAGAAACAC